CGTTGTATACCTCTTTTCGTGCGGCGCGAAGTGCGCGTGGCGGCCGAAGATAACAGATAGGAGGTATACAACGTGTAGCAAGTTAATTTAGAAGGTGTAACTTAAACTTATTGTGGGAGCAGGATAAGGGTGTGGTTCCAATGGCCACGTAGCAGCGTGTGGACACTGACCATAACAATGTAATAACAAAGGAAATATAAGGAGTTATAAACTTCCAGTTTACCTCATAGAGATTAAAGTCGTCACAGTGGCAATACGTAGCGTTTCATTGAAATTAAATTGCCTTTTCTGAACAGCTGTCTCCGATGCGGCAAAGTTCAAAAAACTGATTATACAGACTGATTATAAAAACTGATTTTAGTTAGAGAGAGAGAGAGAGAGAGAGAGAGAGAGAGAGAGAGAGAGAGAGAGAGAGAGAGAGAGAGAGAGAGAGAGAGAGAGAGAGAGAGAGAGAGAGAGAGAGAGAGAGAGAGAGAGAGAGAGAGAGAGAGAGAGAGAGAGAGAGAGAGAGAGAGAGAGAGAGAGAGAGAGAGAGAGAGAGAGAGAGAGAGAGAGAGAGAGAGAGAGAGAGAGAGAGAGAGAGAGAGAGAGAGAGAGAGAGAGAGAGAGAGAGAGAGAGAGAGAGAGAGAGAGAGAGAGAGAGAGAGAGAGAGAGAGAGAGAGAGAGAGAGAGAGAGAGAGAGAGAGAGAGAGAGAGAGAGAGAGAGAGAGAGAGAGAGAGAGAGAGAGAGAGAGAGAGAGAGAGAGAGAGAGAGAGAGAGAGAGAGAGAGAGAGAGAGAGAGAGAGAGAGAGAGAGAGAGAGAGAGAGAGAGAGAGAGAGAGAGAGAGAGAGAGAGAGAGAGAGAGAGAGAGAGAGAGAGAGAGAGAGAGAGAGAGAGAGAGAGAGAGAGAGAGAGAGAGAGAGAGAGAGAGAGAGAGAGAGAGAGAGAGAGAGAGAGAGAGAGAGAGAGAGAGAGAGAGAGAGAGAGAGAGAGAGAGGAGAGAGAGAGAGAGAGAGAGAGAGAGAGAGAGAGAGAGAGAGAGAGAGAGAGAGAGAGAGAGAGAGAGAGAGAGAGAGAGAGAGAGAGAGAGAGAGAGAGAGAGAGAGGAGAGAGAGAGAGAGAGAGAGAGAGAGAGAGAGAGAGAGAGAGAGAGAGAGAGAGAGAGAGAGAGAGAGAGAGAGAGAGAGAGAATTTTACCGAAACTGTACCGAAAAAACCAGTTCTTATAACTCTGTAATAACATTCTGTAATCACCACCCTCTTGCAGTTTCGTAAACACTCGTTTATAACAACACGAAAAGGTGTCTGGTGGTCTCACATTCCAATTGCTATTGTTTTTTTTTCACTAACATGCTGCCATGTGGGATGTTTAAGAACGACAGTATCATTTCAATTTTTATTATTTCGATCTGACCCAAATTTGAGGAGCTTGCTACAATGATAATGTTTAAAGCTACTTTATCCACCCTTCTAGCCCTGGTCTTTGCTCTTGCAACTTCTGATGATGGCACCTGTAACAAGAACATTGGTGGATGCTGTACCGATGTCGAGTGTTTCCAGGGTGATAACCCAGTGCCATTCAAGGCACTGGCTCTAGGCACTCAACTGACGTCTGCAAACGGAAAGTATGAGTTGAAGATGCAGACAAACGGAAACTTGGTGCTTTACTGCAATAAACCATGGCTTGGTGTTTTAGTGCCGAAGAAAATTTGGTCCTCAAAAACATTCAATTCAAATGGTCTTTTCTTTTTAGCTTCTAGCAACCTCGTCATATACAACGTGACTACTGGTGATTACTGGGTTAGCGGTACTGAGAACACCGATGGTAACAGGTTGAAAGTTCAGGATGGCGGCAACGTCGTTCTCTACAATGCCAATACTGAGATAGTCTGGAGTACAGGGACTGCTGGAGAATGTTAGAACTTGACAATAGATCAAAATGTTTTCAATAGCATAGGAGTTATTTGAAATTATGGTCAATCAAATGGTGCTACTCTAATTATATATCGCATTTTAAAGTTATTGACTGTGTTTCTTTTTGTTTCGTTTCAAACAAAGTAGTCAATTAAATTTTACTCGGCGTGCTGGGTACGAGCGTGCTAAATCACTCCACACTCGAACTTTGAAATTTTTCTAAAAGGGTTCCTGGTTGTTGAAACCAATTTGAATCTATGTATTTTTTAACGGTGATTCCGCCATGGGCTAAAATGCTCCCCTGGCGAGTTATCGGCTAAAAACGTTTTCAATCAAGTGACATTACCATTGACCATAGATTTACAAGATTTGCAAGATTCAAAAAATACAATTTATATTACATAAGTGTAATGTCAGATATACGGTCAATAAAAAGAAAGTAATAAATTGAAAGTTAAAAACAACTAAAACAGTTGTTTTGTCAGGGGTAAATGTTTGTGTCTCAGGTTCAGATGTTTTGGTCCTTGACAAACAGTGCTGTTGTTGTTGTTGTTGTTGTTGTTGTTGTTGTTGTTGTTGTTGTTGTTGTTGTTGTTGTTGTTGTTGTTGTTGTTGTTGTTGTTGTTGTTGTTGTTGTTGTTGTTGTTGTTGTTGTTGTTGTTGTTGTTGTTGTTGTTGTTGTTGTTGTTGTTGTTGTTGTTGTTGTTGTTGTTGTTGTTGTTGTTGTTGTTGTTGTTGTTGTTGTTGTTGTTGTTGTTGTTGTTGTTGTTGTTGTTGTTGTTGTTGTTGTTGTTGTTGTTGTTGTTGTTGTTGTTGTTGTTGTTGTTGTTGTTGTTGTTGTTGTTGTTGTTGTTGTTGTTGTTGTTGTTGTTGTTGTTGTTGTTGTTGTTGTTGTTGTTGTTGTTGTTGTTGTTGTTGTTGTTGCTGTTGCTGTTGCTGTTGTTTGTTGTTGTTGTTGTTGTTGTTGTTGTTGTTGTTGTTGTTGTTGTTGTTGTTGTTGTTGTTGTTGTTGTTGTTGTTGTTGTTGTTGTTGTTGTTGTTGTTGTTGTTGTTGTTGTTGTTGATGTTGATGTTGTTGTTGTTGTTGTTGTTGTTGTTGTTGTTGTTGTTGTTGTTGTTGTTGTTGTTGTTGTTGTTGTTGTTGTTGTTGTTGTTGTTGTTGTTGTTGTTGTTGTTGTTGTTGTTGTTGTTGTTGTTGTTGTTGTTGTTGTTGTTGTTGTTGTTGTTGTTGGTGGTGGTGGTGGTGTTGGTGGTGGTGGTGGTGTTGGTGGTGTTGTTGTTGTTGTTGTTGTTGTTGTTGTTGTTGTTGTTGTTGTTGTTGTTGTTGTTGTTGTTGTTGTTGTTGTTGTTGTTGTTGTTGTTGTTGTTGTTGTTGTTGTTGTTGTTGTTGTTGTTGTTGTTGTTGTTGTTGTTGTTGTTGTTGTTGTTGTTGTTGTTGTTGTTGTTGTTGTTGTTGTTGTTGTTGTTGTTGTTGTTGTTGTTGTTGTTGTTGTTGTTGTTGTTGTTGTTGTAATATGGTATTTAGAGATATCTTTTAGGATATCTTAGTTTTAGTATAACGTTTACGGGACGTAGAATTTAGTATGTGTTTCCGGGTATATAATAACCAATGTTTTTATATGTTCGTATTTGGGAGTTACACATTTTGAGTGTAAGTCGGTTGGCTGGCAGAACTACTGTCAGACTAACTGTCTGAAACGAGCCGTCCGCTCACTTTGCACCTGACTTACAGCCAGGCCTGTGGTTGGTCCTCGCGACCACAGCGTGACTGCTAGTGGAGTGCTCATTGGCGAGACGGCGTGTCACGTGGTACAAGCAGATGCGTTGTGCCGTCACGCAGTGTGGCGTGACGAAGTTTTGAGAGTATACCCGGAGAGCCGGATGTGGAGAGCTCACTTCTTAGTTGCCCCTTAATCACATTAAGGGATTCGAATTAACGGTAGCCAGTCTTACTGAGCACTACCAGCTGTGATTAGACACGTCGTGTGATCTATAATCACGTTAATCGATTTGAGCGAACACTTGGAGGTTTTTATCTGTTGACGTTCACTTTGTATTACTTTTCCTTTTAATTTATTATCCCTTTTAATATACTCGTTTCATTTCTATCTTACGGTACGCCCTGCCGTTCGTGCTTCGTGACTAGAGCTTGACTAGCATACACTAAATACTAAGTAAGAGAACTCCGTTTTCTATATATATATGGTTGTTGTTGTTGTTGTTGTTGTTGTTGTTGTTGTTGTTGTTGTTGTTGTTGTTGTTGTTGTTGTTGTTGTTGTTGTTGTTGTTGTTAGTAATCCACCCACTTCTTTTTCTTGAAATAGTTGTTTTCTTGAGGGAGTAGTCGACGAAGGCATGTCATATAAGGAAGTCGGTCTAATTTCTTGTCACGGTTAAAGTCTTAGCATATGCTTCAGTTAGAGATTGAGTGAGAGTAGAGGTGCCATCTAGAGAACGTGTTTAAAAGTAAGTTACGTTATTGTCGAGTGTCTCAGTCTGTTTAGACCGGGTAAAATTCAATTAAAAACCAGGAGCGGAGATATTTCAAAAAACCCAAAATGCAAAACGGACAATATCCTCCTGGGGAGGACACAAAGAATCAACGAAAGAAGTATTTTGTACAAATGAATCAGACAATTAAATTAGACAGTGTAAAGCTAATCTGGCAAGTATAAAGTACTAGTAGTCTCCTAAAAAATGGTGGTCACACCGCGCGACCGTGAAAATTTTAATTGCTAATTGTCATGCGCCATGCTGATGCATGACTAAAACTTCATAAGTGACGGAAAGACAGTGTCAGTAAAAGGATTGACCTGGCCTCGAGCAGAGAGAGAGAGAGAGAGAGAGAGAGAGAGAGAATTTTACCGAAACTGTACCGAAAAAACCAGTTCTTATAACTCTGTAATAACATTCTGTAATCACCACCCTCTTGCAGTTTCGTAAACACTCGTTTATAACAACACGAAAAGGTGTCTGGTGGTCTCACATTCCAATTGCTATTGTTTTTTTTCACTAACATGCTGCCATGTGGGATGTTTAAGAACGACAGTATCATTTCAATTTTTATTATTTCGATCTGACCCAAATTTGAGGAGCTTGCTACAATGATAATGTTTAAAGCTACTTTATCCACCCTTCTAGCCCTGGTCTTTGCTCTTGCAACTTCTGATGATGGCACCTGTAACGGGAACATTGGTGGATGCTGTACCGATGTCGAGTGTTTCCAGGGTGATAAAGCATTCAAGGCACTGGCTCTAGGCACTCAACTGACGTCTGCAAACGGAAAGTATGAGTTGAAGATGCAGACAAACGGAAACTTGGTGCTTTACTGCAATAAACCATGGCTTGGTGTTTTAGTGCCGAAGAAAATTTGGTCCTCAAAAACATTCAATTCAAATGGTCTTTTCTTTTTAGCTTCTAGCAACCTCGTCATATACAACGTGACTACTGGTGATTACTGGGTTAGCGGTACTGAGAACACCGATGGTAACAGGTTGAAAGTTCAGGATGGCGGCAACGTCGTTCTCTACAATGCCAATACTGAGATAGTCTGGAGTACAGGGACTGCTGGAGAATGTTAGAACTTGACAATGGATCAAAATGTTTTCAATAGCATAGGAGTTATTTGAAATTATGGTCAATCAAATGGTGCTACTCTAATTATATATCGCATTTTAAAGTTATTGACTGTGTTTCTTTTTGTTTCGTTTCAAACAAAGTAGTCAATTAAATTTTACTCGGCGTGCTGGGTACGAGCGTGCTAAATCACTCCACACTCGAACTTTGAAATTTTTCTAAAAGGGTTCCTGGTTGTTGAAACCAATTTGAATCTATGTATTTTTTAACGGTGATTCCGCCATGGGCTAAAATGCTCCCCTGGCGAGTTATCGGCTAAAAACGTTTTCAATCAAGTGACATTACCATTGACCATAGATTTACAAGATTTGCAAGATTCAAAAAATACAATTTATATTACATAAGTGTAATGTCAGATATACGGTCAATAAAAAGAAAGTAATAAATTGAAAGTTAAAAACAACTAAAACAGTTGTTTTGTCAGGGGTAAATGTTTGTGTCTCAGGTTCAGATGTTTTGGTCCTTGACAAACAGTGCTGTTGTTGTTGTTGTTGTTGTTGTTGTTGTTGTTGTTGTTGTTGTTGTTGTTGTTGTTGTTGTTGTTGTTGTTGTTGTTGTTGTTGTTGTTGTTGTTGTTGTTGTTGTTGTTGTTGTTGTTGTTGTTGTTGTTGTTGTTGTTGTTGTTGCTGTTGTTGTTGTTGTTGTTGTTGTTGTTGTTGATGTTGATGTTGTTGTTGTTGTTGTTGTTGTTGTTGTTGTTGATGTTGATGTTGTTGTTGTTGTTGTTGTTGTTGTTGTTGTTGTTGTTGTTGTTGTTGTTGTTGTTGTTGTTGTTGTTGTTGTTGTTGTTGTTGTTGATGTTGTTGTTGTTGTTGTTGTTGTTGTTGTTGTTGTTGTTGTTGTTGTTGTTGTTGTTGTTGTTGTTGTTGTTGTTGTTGTTGTTGTTGTTGTTGTTGTTGTTGTTGTTGTTGTTGTTGTTGTTGTTGTTGTTGTTGTTGTTGGTGGTGGTGGTGGTGGTGGTAGTGGTGGTGGTGTTGTTGTTGTTGTTGTTGTTGTTGTTGTTGTTGTTGTTGTTGTTGTTGTTGTTGTTGTTGTTGTTGTTGTTGTTGTTGTTGTTGTTGTTGTTGTTGTTGTTGTTGTTGTTGTTGTTGTTGTTGTTGTTGTTGTTGTTGTTGTTGTAATATGGTATTTAGAGATATCTTTTAGGATATCTTAGTTTTAGTATAACGTTTACGGGACGTAGAATTTAGTATGTGTTTCCGGGTATATAATAACCAATGTTTTTATATGTTCGTATTTGGGAGTTACACATTTTGAGTGTAAGTCGGTTGGCTGGCAGAACTACTGTCAGACTAACTGTCTGAAACGAGCCGTCCGCTCACTTTGCACCTGACTTACAGCCAGGCCTGTGGTTGGTCCTCGCGACCACAGCGTGACTGCTAGTGGAGTGCTCATTGGCGAGACGGCGTGTCACGTGGTACAAGCAGATGCGTTGTGCCGTCACGCAGTGTGGCGTGACGAAGTTTTGAGAGTATACCCGGAGAGCCGGATGTGGAGAGCTCACTTCTTAGTTGCCCCTTAATCACATTAAGGGATTCGAATTAACGGTAGCCAGTCTTACTGAGCACTACCAGCTGTGATTAGACACGTCGTGTGATCTATAATCACGTTAATCGATTTGAGCGAACACTTGGAGGTTTTTATCTGTTGACGTTCACTTTGTATTACTTTTCCTTTTAATTTATTATCCCTTTTAATATACTCGTTTCATTTCTATCTTACGGTACGCCCTGCCGTTCGTGCTTCGTGACTAGAGCTTGACTAGCATACACTAAATACTAAGTAAGAGAACTCCGTTTTCTATATATATATGGTTGTTGTTGTTGTTGTTGTTGTTGTTGTTGTTGTTGTTGTTGTTGTTGTTGTTGTTGTTGTTGTTGTTGTTGTTGTTGTTGTTGTTGTTGTTGTTGTTGTTGTTGTTGTTGTTAGTAATCCACCCACTTCTTTTTCTTGAAATAGTTGTTTTCTTGAGGGAGTAGTCGACGAAGGCATGTCATATAAGGAAGTCGGTCTAATTTCTTGTCACGGTTAGTCTTAGCATATGCTTCAGTTAGAGATTGAGTGAGAGTAGAGGTGCCATCTAGAGAACGTGTTTAAAAGTAAGTTACGTTATTGTCGAGTGTCTCAGTCTGTTTAGACCGGGTAAAATTCAATTAAAAACCAGGAGCGGAGATATTTCAAAAAACCCAAAATGCAAAACGGACAATATCCTCCTGGGGAGGACACAAAGAATCAACGAAAGAAGTATTTTGTACAAATGAATCAGACAATTAAATTAGACAGTGTAAAGCTAATCTGGCAAGTATAAAGTACTAGTAGTCTCCTAAAAAATGGTGGTCACACCGCGCGACCGTGAAAATTTTAATTGCTAATTGTCATGCGCCATGCTGATGCATGACTAAAACTTCATAAGTGACGGAAAGACAGTGTCAGTAAAAGGATTGACCTGGCCTCGAGCTGCCCTTTCAGGCATTTGTAAAACAGGACCATCCTTATCTTGCTTTTACATTTTATTTGGAAATTTCAAGCGTAAGTTTTTATTTTTTAAAAAAATATAACGGTTTGACAAATTTTTTGCTTATATAATTTCGTTATAGCGATAAATTTTCATACTATACGTTGTATGACCATTGACCCGCCGCGCACGCATGCGCAGCTCCCCCTGTATCGTACTCGTAGAAACTCTACTATTATTATATAGTGAAGCGACAGGGGGGTCACCCCCAGGAAACCTTACTGGTAGGGGCCTAACTTCGCGTTCGAAAATAAAAGAGATAGAAACGTCTGGTTTTCAACAAAATGTCCGCTTTGTGAAAATAACGTTTCCTTCCCAGGAGGAAAATTCAAGACAACTGACAACGTAGATTTCAAAATCAAATTATCGCGAAAAGTCTTATTTTGGGCCTTATAAAAGTGCGCAGCTTTAACTCTGCAGATTCTTGTTCTCTAATTGGCTGAATCGTATCACGTGGTGCAATTGCATTCTTGGAATGTTTGCAGCGTGCAAATGCAATGAACCTACGAGCGCGCGCGGAGTTCAACAGTAAAGCTGTGAAGACGCAATTACCTGTAGTAATATCGCCAGCCAGTAAGGTCTGCTGGGTAAACAGTAAATACTGGGGTCCCCAGGTGGTATGAAATATGATAAAATACGCGGCCATCGGATCGGGAAATTGAGCAGCCATCCACAAAAGAAAAGCGGCCGCATTTCTTGTTATATTGGCCATATGCAGCTTCGACACCTAGGTCATTTCTTCACTTTGAAGGTATTTATGTCCAGCGACCAATAACTAAAAAGTGTGTTCACTATGGATGGCACAAGATACGAATTTTGAATTTTGAAATGGCTTTACAATTTAAAAGATATAAACTCGTCGAACTATGCTTGAAAAAATCAACAACATAAAACATATCTGGATCATTATTCGATATCTGGGTCACATTCAGATATCGGGGACACATTATACAATAATGCTATTTAGAATGATCACATACATGAATCTATCTGGGTCACAAATGAGATTTATGATTGCAAATAAATTACTAAATATAAAAAGGGTCTCAAACTGAGACCCTGATCACTAAGTGATGTTAAATGTATAAAATATTATTGAAGGTGATACTAACTTAAAATATACACAAATATTATTCAACAACAATAAAAGTTAATTTTTCCCAAATAAAGCTTAATAAAACAGCTTCAAGGTTTTTTTCGTCAACACTGGAACTTTAAAATCCTGGTTCAACTAAATCTAAGATCCTCTTCTTCAAGACGAATGTAAATTATCCTCCAAACTAACTAAGGAAAGGTCCCTCTTAACGTCCCTCTCCTCCCTAGCGACCCCCCTATTAGCGACATGAGTCAGATAAGTAGTCCACAGCACGCCCACCATATTACTCACCAGCACTCTGTGACTAAGAGGTATGAAGGTAAGGAGGACGAAGTGAGTTGGTATCCAGATCTTGTAGTTTGTTAGGATTATGAAGGGAGCCTCCTGTCTGGAGGAAGGAATGTGGTATTGAGACGGTTACTAATGGTTACTAATGGTTACCAGATCTTGTAGTTTGTTAGGATTATGAAGGGAGCCTCCTGTCTGGAGGAAGGAACGTGGTATTGAGAAGGTTACTAATGGTTACTAATGGTTACTAATGGTTACTAGTGGTTACTAATGGTTACCAGATCTTGTAGTTTGTTAGGATTATGAAGGGAGCCTCCTGTCTGGAGGAAGGAACGTGGTATTGAGACGGTTACTAATGGTTACTAATGGTTACCAGATCTTGTAGTTTGTTAGGATTATGAAGGGAGCCTCCTGTCTGGAGGAAGGAATGTGGTATTGAGAAGGTTACTAATGGTTACTAATGGTTACTAATGGTTACTAGTGGTTACTAATGGTTACCAGATCTTGTAGTTTGTAAGGATTATGAAGGGAGCCTCCTGTCTGGAGGAAGGAATGTGGTATTGAGAAGGTTACTAATGGTTACTAATGGTTACTAGTGGTTACTAATGGTATCCAGATCTTGTAGTTTGTTAGGATTATGAAGGGAGCCTCCTGTCTGGAGGAAGGAACGTGGTATTGAGAAGGTTACTAATGGTTACTAATGGTTACTAATGGTTACTAGTGGTTACTAATGGTTACCAGATCTTGTAGTTTGTTAGGATTATGAAGGGAGCCTCCTGTCTGGAGGAAGGAATGTGGTATTGAGAAGGTTACTAATGGTTACTAATGGTTACTAGTGGTTACTAATGGTATCCAGATCTTGTAGTTTGTTAGGATTATGAAGGGAGCCTCCTGTCTGGAGGAAGGAATGTGGTATTGAGAAGGTTACTAATGGTTACTAGTGGTTACTAATGGTTACCAAATCTTGTAGTTTGTTAGGATTATGAAGGGAGCCTCCTGTCTGGAGGAAGGAATGTGGTATTGAGAAGGTTACTAATGGTTACTAATGGTTAATAATGGTTACTAGTGGTTACTAATGGTTACCAGATCTTGTAGTTTGTTAGGATTATGAAGGGAGCCTCCTGTCTGGAGGAAGGAATGTGGTATTGAGAAGGTTACTAATGGTTACTAATGGTTACTAGTGGTTACTAATGGTATCCAGATCTTGTAGTTTGTTAGGATTATGAAGGGAGCCTCCTGTCTGGAGGAAGGAATGTGGTATTGAGAAGGTTACTAATGGTTACTAGTGGTTACTAATGGTTACCAAATCTTGTAGTTTGTTAGGATTATGAAGGGAGCCTCCTGTCTGGAGGAAGGAATGTGGTATTGAGAAGGTTACTAATGGTTACTAATGGTTAATAATGGTTACTAGTGGTTACTAATGGTTACCAGATCTTGTAGTTTGTTAGGATTATGAAGGGAGCCTCCTGTCTGGAGGAAGGAACGTGGTATTGAGAAGGTTACTAATGGTTACTAATGGTTACTAATGGTTACTAGTGGTTACTAATGGTATCCAGATCTTGTAGTTTGTTAGGATTATGAAGGGAGCCTCCTGTCTGGAGGAAGGAATGTGGTATTGAGAAGGTTACTAATGGTTACTAATGGTTACTAATGGTTACTCATGGTTACTAGTGGTTACTAATGGTTACCAGATCTTGTAGTTTGTTAGGATTATTAAGGGAGCCTCCTGTCTGGAGGAAGGAATGTGGTAATGAGAAGGTTACTAATGGTTACTAATGGTTACTAATGGTTACTAGTGGTTACTAATGGTTACCAGATCTTGTAGTTTGTTAGGATTATGAAGGGAGCCTCCTGTCTGGAGGAAGGAATGTGGTAATGAGAAGGTTACTAATGGTTACTAATGGTTACTAATGGTTACTAGTGGTTACTAATGGTTACCAGATCTTGTAGTTTGTTAGGATTATGAAGGGAGCCTCCTGTCTGGAGGAAGGAACGTGGTATTGAGACGGTTTTATTTGACAGAAAAGTGGAATTTGTACGAATGTTTGTTGTTTGAGGACCGGTTTGTTAGCAAACCTTACAAATCGATGGGAAATTAACTTTTTCTTACTTGATGTAATGAATGATGTAGTCTGAAGATTTAGCCTGGAGGATGTTGTTGAATGTAACAAATAGAGTAGCAGTAAAGGGACTGAAGCAGCTGATGAGACCAATTTTCTTTATCGAGTTCAGAGGGGTCTGAGATTTACCGAATACCTGAAATAATAATAATACCTGTATTACAAGTATTTTAGACAAACTCTGATGTTGTCAATTAACAATTTGTATACTGATTTGTACATCAAAGTCAGTCTCTAAATATTTAAAACTCTGATTCTTAACACGCACAATGATATTACTTCTAAATAACCCAATACCTTATCAGCGAGATTGTACACCAGAGTAATAACAGGAGCTATGTAACAAGAGCCTAGGAATGTAGATCTACAGGTGCGTTCAACTTCATGCCTCCCTCCCTTCTTCTCTATAGCCTGACAGGATACGTGGTGTTTGAACCTTCAGCAGGAAGTTTAATCTCGCAGGTTCTATCACAGAATAAGGACAGTTTAAATAAGGACAGTTTAAATAAGGACGTAATGAGAGAAGAGTTAGAATATTAGTTAAGATAAAAAAGTTGTACCTGCTGATAGTTGTATATATATATATGTACAATATGTACTATACCTGCTGATAAAAATTTTATATTATGTACAATATGTACTATACCTGCTGAGCCAGTACATCTCCACAAAAGAAAACACAGCCGCTAGTAACCATGTTTGTAGCTAGCTGATGTCTCTGTAACATGTGAGAGTAACACCGCATAAGAGCCCCCATACTTTCAAGTAAAGTCCCCCCTGAGTCTGCTCCGTTGTTGGATTTAAATCTTTGTTCTTATCCAGTTGCTCAGTGTCAAAGACTAAACTTCGAGATAGTGATGGAACAGCTTGAACGAGTGAAATATCAGAGGTTATGTTTAGCCATCTTGCTTGTCACCCGCTGTTCTCCCTTTTAGTGTCACCCATGACCCATAATAGCTGCAATGAGAATCAGTTCGGTTTCATTAAGAATATTTGGGCTTCATTGAAATCTGGGAATCTAAAATCTTTTACATGTTTCTCCAATAATAATCTAATTACATTTTCCAAATTGACAGTATTCAATTTCCATGCATGGCAGAAACTTGAGCCTGACCACTGAGCGATTTGGTACTTTATCAACAGATACCTGATGGATATTCAAATATATCAGCTGACAACAATTATCACCTGATGGTTTAAAAGCACCCGTGAAATGATACAATCAGATATAAAACCATATAATAACTATTTACAAATAACACAATCCTTTTTAATAATTCAGTTAATAATTCTGTTAAAGTCGGGTGAAATAAATTGTAGATATTGTGTAAGTATCCATACCTAAAGGGCGCATAAAATCTATAAACAAAATCGCCATATTTTAATCGAATATCGGGGAATGTTAGAAATAGAAATGGTAAAAGTCGCCACTGACTGAATGAGTTATGAACTAATAAACTAAATAAATTCTTAGACTAAGCTTAACTCATAATTAGTGTCCACTCTAAAATGAATATCAATTCACAGTTCAGCTTCACATGCAATTGCTTAAAAGATTAAATATATAGATAACAGATAATATGTACATCTTTAAAATTACTTTTCGATAAATTCCCTTGTCACGATCAATAATCTCTCTCCTCCTAGGTCCGGGCAGGTCCTCTGCCTAGGTCCGGGCATTTGAGACATTAGTCAAATAACAAGTCCACAGGACACTCACAAAGTTACTGAAGAACACTCTGTGCCTGAGCGGGATAACAGTGAAGAGGAAGAAGTGAGTTGGGAACCAGATCATGTACCCAGTCAGCACTATTCTCGGAACATCCTCCGCTATCTGGGTCATGGTGTAGTCCAGGGGTTTGGAGCGCAGCATGTTGTTGCACAATATGAAGCCGGAGTTTGTTAGCGGACTAAAAACAGCGAGCAGTCCTATCTTCTTTATAGTGTTGAGAGGGGTTTGTGTTCGTCCAAAAACCTGAATAAACGGTCGCCATGATCATTGATAAGGTATGTTGAAGGTAAAAACAATTATATATCATGATATTAAAAAGCTTGTTATGTGACATTTATATCATTGCAATCTTTCAAGAAATCTATCATGTATCATTTTAATGATTAAACACCCAACATGTGAACATATAAGCTAAACTTGAAACAGTTCCAAATAAAATCGTTAACCAGTACTACTGTACAGTCGTAGTACAGTAGAACTGTAAAATACTACTGTAGTTACCTGATCGACTAAGTTGTAGAGAAATACGACTATGGGAGTAGAGTACAGGGAACCGACAGCTACTGATCTACCAGTACGCTCTAGATCGTGGTCTTTTCCTTTCTCCTCGACCAGCTGAAACGTTATTTTACTGTTCAAGTTACTATGGTTACCAGCCTGTTACTATGGTTATCAAGTACGCAGTGATTTGGTATCGAGGAATCGATCCACATATGGAGAATTAAACAAAAGAAACATGAACACAAAAAAGGATTCCAAAAGATAAAATTCCATTACCTGTTGAGAAAGAATGTCCCCAAGACAGAATACACTTCCTGTAGTCACCATGTTCATCGCAAGAGGGTGTCTCTTTAGGTTGTGGGAATACCATCGCATAAAAACACTCATCTTCCCACCGCTCACTATTAGTAGTCTGCTCACTATTAGTAGTCTGCTCACTAATAGTAGTCCGCTCACTAATAGTATAGTAGTCCGCTCACTAGTCCGCTCACTAGTCAGCTCACTAGTAGTATAGTAGTCCGCTCACTAGTAGTATAGTAGTCCGCTCACTATTAGTAGTCCGCTCACTAGTCCGCTCACTATTAATATAGTAGTCCGCTCACTAATAGTAGTCCGCTCACTAATAGTTTAGTAGTCCGCTCACTAAAAAACACCCTTGCTGGAATGATTACACTTCACCGTCTTTTACACTTTTGTAGATCACAAAATCATATGGTTCAGGGAGGATTAACGACTTTTACTCGTAAAACTGATCGTTAAAATCACCTTCTTACTTCTCGGTAGTTTTCTTGATAAAATTATTCTTACATCATCTTATTTACCTAGTTTCAAAGTTACACGTTAGTATACTTATTTTGCTTTCGATATCCTAAAGCCAAGAACCGGGAATGTAGCCCAGATAAATTTCTCAATTGCTACAAATTTATGTTACATTAAATTCAACAATGCTTTCTGAAGCTTAAGCTACATATTTTGTCACATATTTTGCAAAATAAACTGAAATGCTCTTACAAAAAGTACAAATCTAAATCAAACTGGGCATCTATTTCTAAAAACCGTTACTGTTCGTACATGTCATCATATAAATCATAATATTCCAAACAAAATAAAATCTAACATAAAATAATAAATTGTTAGCTACATTGGATGAATATTTATTCACTCAGAAGACTCCTCCTCCTCCTCCTTCACGTGACTACTAGTATTAGAAGCGTGAGTAAGATAGCAGGTCCAGAGGACCCTGACCATGTTACCAAGCAGTACTCTGTGTTTGAGGGGAGCAACAGTTAACAGGATGAACTGTGTGGGGACGGAGAGGCAGTAACCAGCCAGGATCATCCTCGGTACATCTGTTCTGAAAATGGGGAAATTAATAAAACATTTCATAAATATATCTTAGGGTTGGGTTCATTTCATGGATTCATTCGACATTTGCCACTCTAACATCAATACAAAGTTCGACTTACCGACTTAGGGCGGATTCAACTTCCGAACAAAAAATACAAAGTTCGTCTACAGTAATAAAATTAAATCGACGAAGTAATACAATGTCGAACTTCGACATTGGGACTTCGACATTGTCGAAGTCCCAATAAAAGCCTCCTTCATAAATCTTACTTTATTTGATGAATGGTGTAGTCGAGTGATTTAAACTGGAGCGCATTATTTATTATAACGTAAGTAATTATATTGAAGGGAGTCAGCATGCCGATCATCCCCATCTTCTTAAGGGCGCTGAGTGGAGATTGGGATGATCCAAATACCTGAGGATGGAAGATTTAGGGAGTGTTAGCTACAGGAACAACTACAAGTTTGAAAGTGGGGAGGGCGCACAAGCGAAGATTCTCGATGACCTCAACGTTTTTCAGGATAAACACTGGGCTAACTCAGTCACTCTTACGAGGAAATTATGTTTTAATTAAATAATTATATAAATTTACATTAATTAACTATATAAATCTACCTTGTCCACAGAATTGTAGATGAATGTAGCGGCCGGAGCTGTGTAGAAGGAGCCGATAAGAACAGATCTCACAGTACGGTCCACCTCGTGCAGCTCTCCTTTCTTCTCAACTACCTGGAATAGAATATTAATGGTACAAATATTAGGGGATCATAGCAAGGGGTTCGTGTAGGTGTTGAAATTTAAAATTCGGTATAAAGATTAAAATGGAACCAATTTGCACTCCTACCTGTTGAGAGAGGATGTCTCCGAGGAAGAATACAGCTCCTGTTGTGACCATGTTCACTGCAACCTGGTGCTTTTTTAAGTGGCGGGAATACCACCGGAGAAAAGCACTCATTCTGTCAGTCTAATCTCCCGATGTCTCAAACAATGCGGTCAATGTTTTATTTAAAAAGTTTTTATTAGAAATGTCTAGGCAGCTTGTCGTCACAAATTCATGAATATATGGGTTTCCGCTCTGCGAGTCTGCGATACAATATCAGACTTTATTGTTTGTCGTCACATTTTTGTTTCCTAGTAAGAAGATGTGTTTTAAGTCAACTAGCGCAGAATATAACATGTAAATTGTATTTTATACATCATACAGTTACAGTGATTACATATATGAAATTAATTGGAATAAAAACAATCGAAATTAAAAACTGTATATATACCCCATATAGCAACACTAAAAAACTGAACTGCAGAATTCTGACTGGATTTTTACCAACCCTCGAATAAGAATTAATATTGTTAATATTTTCATCCCACACCTATGAATAACAACAATATTGAAGCGCTAGATATATTCTTAACACACAATAATAATAAGAAATGCATAAAAGCCTTGAAATTGTAAAGCTGTTTTAGTGAGTTAATAAAAACATAAAAAACTAAAAATAACAACGGTACGCGTATAACAAACATGTGAAAGAACTACCAAAAGTAACAAGTTTAAAAGGTACCTTTTGTAAAAAAAGGTTAAAAGCATGTTTGGTATGTTTTCCACATTTGTTTAGGAATCAACTGCTATGTTATACGTTTTTACATTAACTAAAATACAAATTGAAATCACTCCAAGCAGACACATCAATCACAACTATTCGGAACTAAAATTTGATATAAATGAGTATTTAATCTGGTCTCTGGATATAAAATTATAAATGTAACATAAAATAATCCAAGTGTAAGTTACAACTTCTTCTCCTTCTCCTCCTCCTCCGCCCCATGTTACCCAGGTTACCAAGGTTACCAAGGTTACCAACGTTACCCAGGCTTCTTCTCCTTCTCTTCCTCCTCCCCCTTCACTGTCCCATGGGTGCCAGTATTAGAAGCGTGAGTAAGATAACAGGTCCAGAGGATCCCAACAAAGTTACTGAGAACCATTCTGTATCTTAGAGGGACCACAGTCATCAGAATAAAGTTAGTAGGTATCCAGATCTTGTACTGAACTAGGACTATCGTCAGTAAATCGTCTCTGGGAGGTTACAGATATAATGTTATCCATCAAATTAGAACAGATGATTTAAAGTAATTAATATAGTTACTAAGTCACATGATGGGTATTGGGTATCCATTACTTTCAGGGGTGCTTAGGTAAACCATGAGAATCGAATAGGTGCTTCTGGTTCAGGTGGGCAGCAGGTTATTACCAAGGTTACCCAGGTTACCAAGGTTACCAAGGTTACCAAGGTTACCAAGGTTACCAAGGTGGGGAGCAGTTTCTATCTTGCGTTATGGACGTGTAAAGTTCCCACTAAATACTGTATTCTCAGAAATTCATACTAAAATTCTCACTTCAACTGATTGATGGTGTAGTCAAGGGGTTTGTTTTGGAGGACATTATTGCAGATGACGTATCCAGCACTGGTGATCGGACTCAGTAGACTTAAAAAACCAGTTTTCTTCAGAGAATTTAGCGGCGTTTGTGACGGACCACATACCTGAGATAACAATAATTAACCTACTTAATAATTTTGTAATTAACAATAATATTAACAAACATATTTACGTCCTTCTAAACACAGACAGAGTATTACTCCGCCGTACCTTGTCAACAAAGTTGTAGAGAAATGTGATGACGGGGGCGATGTAGAACGAGCCAACTGTAACAGATCTGACAGTTCGTTCCAGTTCATGATCCTTTCCCTTCTTTTCTATTACCTATATTGGAAAGTCGTATATATTGGAGGAAATACCATTCCCAAGCAAATTCTGTATTTAAGGAGCGCGAACATTTTGTAGAGGATTAAAAATGAAATGAAGCTGATCACCAGGAGGCAGGAACTCGTTAGTTTTTGTACCTGTTGAGAGAGGATGTCGCCGAGAAAGAACCCGGTTCCTGTTGTAACCATGTTCATTGCAAACTGGTGTTTTTTCAAGTGGCGGGAATACCACCGGAGAAAAGCACTCATTCTGTCAGTCTAATCTCCCGATGTCTCAAACAATGCGGTCAATGTTTTATTTAAAAAGTTTTTATTAGAAATGTCTAGGCAGCTTGTCGTCACAAATTCATGAATATATGGGTTTCCGCTCTGCGAGTCTGCGATACAATATCAGACTTTATTGTTTGTCGTCACATTTTTGTTTCCTAGTAAGAAGATGTGTTTTAAGTCAACTAGCTTAGAATATTACATGTTAATTGTATATTATACATTATACAGTTACACATATGAAATTAATTGGAATGAAAACAATCAAAATTAAAATCTGTATTTATACCCCATATAGCAACATTAAAAACTGAACAATAGAATTCTGTCTGGATGTTTGCCAATCCTCGAGTAAGAATTAATATTGTTAATTACTTCATCCTACACCTATGAATAACAACAATATTGAAGCGCTAGATATATTTTAAACAAACCATAACAAGAATTTCAAATTAAACCCACCCCCCCCCCCCCCCCCCCCAGATAACCGGTTGTGCTACTCGCAGTCCTTGAACTGTGAAAACTGATAAAAACTACCGAATAAAAACCGTGCGATAAACGTGTGAACAAGAATGAACTACTAAAAGTATCTGTTTTTAAGATACATAAGTCATCTTTGGTATGTTGTCCACAGTTGTTTCATAATCAACTGCTATTTTATACGTTTTTACATTAACTAAAATACAAATTGAAATCACTCAAGCATACATTTATCAATCACAACTATTCGGAACTAAAATTTGATAGAAATGAGTATTCAATCTGGATATAAAATCATAATTTAACATAAAATAATCCAAGTGTAAGTTACAACACCCACGCTTATTCACTCAGAAGACTCCTCCTTCTCCACCTCCTGTGTCACGTGACTACTAGTGTTAGAAGCGTGAGTAAGATAGCAGGTCCAGAGGACTCCAACAAAGTTACCAAGGTTACCAAGGTTACCAAGGTTACCAAGGTTACCAAGGTTACCAAGGTTACCAAGGTTACCAAGGTTATTCACTCAGAAGACTCCTCCTTCTCCTCCTCCTCCTCCTCCTGTGTCACGTGACTACTAGTGTTAGAAGCGTGAGTAAGATAGCAGGTCCAGAGGACTCCAACAAAGTTACCAAGGTTACCAAGGTTACCAAGGTTACCAAGGTTACCCAGGTTATTCACTCAGAAGACTCCTCCTTCTCCTCCTCCTCCACCTCCTTTGTCACGTGACTAATAGTATTAGAAGCGTGAGTAAGATAACAGGTCCAGAGGACTCCAACAAAGTTACTGAGAAACATTCTGTGTCTTAGAGGGACCACAGTCAGGAGGATAAAGTGAGTAGGTATCCAGATCTTGTACTGGACTAGGACTATCGTTGGTAAATCGTCTCTGGGAGGTTACAAATATAATATTATCTATCAAATTAGAACAGCTGATTTGTAGTAAGTAATATACTTCTAACACACGATGGGTATTGGGTATCCATTACTTTCAGGGGTTCCTAGTCAAACAAAACAATCAAGAAAATCGAATAGGTGCTTATGGTTCAGTTGGGGTCCAGGTTATAACCAAGGTTACCAAGGCTACCAAGGTTACCAAGGTTACCAAGGCTACCAAGGTTACCCAGGTTACCAAGGCTACCAAGGTTACCCAGGTTACCAAGGTTACCAAGGCTACCAAGGTTACCAAGGTTACCAAGGCTACCAAGGTTACACAGGTTACCCAGGTTACCAAAGTTGCCAAGGTTACCAAGGTTAACAAGGTTACCCAGGTTACCAAGGTTACCGAGGTTACCAAGGTTACCAAGGTTACCAAGGTTACCAAGGACGTGTGTAAAGTTCCCACTAAATACTGTATTCTCAGAAATTCATACTAAAATTCTCACTTCAACTGATTGATGGTGTAGTCAAGGGGTTTGTTTTGGAGGACATTATTGCAGATGACGTATCCAGCACTGGTGATAGGACTCAGTAGACTTATAATACCTGTTTTCTTCAGAGAATTTAGCGGCGTTTGTGACGAACCAAATACCTGAGATAACAATAATTAGACATTAACCTACTTAATAATTCCTTGTTTAACAATATGATAGTATTATTTGTACACGGAGTAAGGAGATTGTTTGCAAGGAGAGATACATTCCGTGTACTTGAACTTTAGCAGACGTGCGAGCTAATCATTGCAACATCACGTTATGTGTACAATGTAACCACATGCAAAGAAATATCTTGACGTAGACAATACGTTTCACGTCTAAGTTTATCCCTATTTAGCAAAAGGAAGGAGAACAATCAGGTGAACAAATCCTCACCTTGTCAACAAAGTTGTAGAGAAATGTGATGACGGGGGCGATGTAGAACGAGCCAACTGTAACAGATCTAACAGTTCGTTCCAGTTCATGATCCTTTCCCTTCTTTTCTATTACCTATAATGGAAAGTCGTAATATATTGGAGGAAATACCTTTCCAAGGCAAATTTTGTTTTTAAGGAGTGCGAACATTTTGTAGAGAATTAAAAAGGAAATTATCACCAGGAATTCGTTAGTTTTGTACCTGTTGAGAGAGCAATTTGCACTCTTACCTGTTGAGAGAGCATGTCTCCGAAGAAGAATACAGCTCCAGTTGTGACCATGTTCACTGCAACCTGGTGCTTTTTCAAGTGGCGGGAATACCACCGAAGTAGTGTCCTCATTATCTCGGCAATAAGACGCTCTCAGTTTAATCAGACTGTTCTTGTTTTAGATTATCAGGTGCTAAGGCAACTCGTCCGGTTTAGATGTGGACTTCATATGTCACTAGCAACCGGAACAGCCTTTAAATACAGTAGTTGTACTGTTTACCTCCCTTATAAACCTTTGTTGTCACATCATATTCTGCAAACTATGGGTTGAGACGGTTAGTCGCTCGGGTTGAGACAGTTAGTCGCTCGGGTTGAGACGGTTAGTCGCTCGGGTTGAGACGGTTAGTTGCTCGGGTTGAGACAGTTAGTGGCTCGGGTTAAGACGGTTAGTCGCTCGGGTTGAGACGGTTAGTCGCTCGGGTTGAGACGGTTAGTCGCTCGGGTTGAGACGGTTAGTCGCTCGGGTTAAGACGGTTAGTCGCTCGGGTTGAGACGGTTAGTCGCTCGGGTTAAGACGGTTAGTCGCTCGGGTTGAGACGGTTAGTCGCTCGGGTTGAGACGGTTAGTCGCTCGGGTTGAGACGGTTAGTCGCTCGGGTTGAGACGGTTAGTCGCTCGGGTTGAGACGGTTAGTTGCTCGGGTTGAGACGGTTAGTCGCTCGGGTTGAGACGGTTAGTCGCTCGGGTTGAGACGGTTAGTCGCTCGGGTTGAGACGGTTAGTCGCTCGGGTTAAGACGGTTAGTCGCTCGGGTTGAGACGGTTAGTCGCTCGGGTTAAGACGGTTAGTCGCTCGGGTTGAGACGGTTAGTCGCTCGGGTTGAGACGGTTAGTCGCTCGGGTTGAGACGGTTAGTCGCTCGGGTTGAGACGGTTAGTCGCTCGGGTTGAGACGGTTAGTTGCTCGGGTTGAGACGGTTAGTCGCTCGGGTTGAGACGGTTAGTCGCTCGGGTTGAGACGGTTAGTCGCTCGGGTTGAGACGGTTAGTCGCTCGGGTTAAGACGGTTAGTCGCTCGGGTTGAGACGGTTAGTCGCTCGGGTTAAGACGGTTAGTCGCTCGGGTTGAGACGGTTAGTCGCTCGGGTTGAGACGGTTAGTCGCTCGGGTTGAGACGGTTAGTCGCTCGGGTTGAGACGGTTAGTCGCTCAGAGAATTTTAATAAATTGCTTTGAAAAAAAAAATTATTATAACAAGTAAACGGCACACAACTGTTTCCAAGTCTCGAATAAATCGTCTTAACTATAACTTAACTATATAAAAGTAGAACAAAAAATATAATATCAAAAACACTGAGTACACATATTCCATTTGTTGATAAACTCAAAAATTGAGCTAATAAATTAGTTTTCATATTGTAACTGATAGATAAGTTACAAAAATATCATTAAAAAACAAAAACCGTAAAAACAATGAAATATTTAACTATCCTCCGTAAACAAAACAATTTTCGCATCTTCAGGACTAGTTTGAGAGTTGGCTTTGTAGGCCAAGTAAGTATTCCAAAACAGAGCCACAACATTGGAAAACATCAGCCTGTACTGAAGTGGAATCAGTCTGAAGTTGAGCACTTGGGCTGGTACCCAGAGCATCCAGTTGGTAACTATAATGTTTCCGTACTCCAATCTGAAATTATCATATTGCAACCCGCATTTAAATTCATTATTAATATAATTGAAAAACACGATATCACAATCATATCATAAAGAAAAACGATCGATGAGTCTTCAAAAAGTTACAGAGATAAGAGGAAAACACACAACGCACCGCAACTGATTCTCTATCATTTCCATGGACTTCCTTGCAGCAGATTGTTGACGATGATAAATGCAGCCACAAAACATGGAGCAAACAACAGTTGATCTGTTACTAACTTCTTCGCAGCAGTTGAAAGCAACATCTGACTTCCAAACATCTAGAAAAATATCTATCATTATTGAATATTGATATTACTGAAATAAAAACACTTTAAAAATGATTAACAATATTTAAAATATACTTGTCAGAACTTGTACGAACGGGAAAATTAGCGAAAGCTCAAACATTATTCGACAAAAACAAATGAAAACCTTGTCAAGAGCGAGGTACCAATTGCGGAGAATTGGTGCTACGAAAAACCCGCCAATCGCAGTCATCCTTGCAGTGCGCATCCAGTCATGTTTCTTTCGTCTTTCTATCAGCTGCAGGAAAAACAGCAAGACGTTTAATAATTGACTGTGCCAAACGAGAATTTGGTGCCTACTTTGTTAACCCTGCAATTGATTGACTGGCACCACCACAATATGATCAGAATATAAACCTAAACTTGAACAAGTTAGAAGGGTAAACAAGTCAACCTGCTGAGCTATGACGTCACCGGTTAAGAGAATGGAGGCTGTGGACCAAATGCCAGTTAAAAGTGGACGAGAAGTCAGCTGTCTAGTGTACCAAGCAAGCATTACACACCTTCTTCTGGTTACCTTCTACATTTGTACAGCTATTGCAGTGATAAGAATGTGATACAAAAGTTTTGAAAATTAACCGATGGCAGCTGCAGGAAGTTTCGGTCAACAAAATTTAAACCGAGAATATGGAAAAATGAATTCATCTGGGGTCAGTAAAGAAACTCAGTGATGGAAAATGAAAAGAAATAAAATAAACTAAAAACTTTAACGTCAACTTAAATAACACGAATAGATAAATTTCAGTTGTTGTATCGACTAACTAATAAACATTCATCGAGTCGGTGAAAACTACCCAAAAATATGAAACATAAAACTATTAACTGAGGGCACAAAACATGAAAACATGTGAAACATAAAAGAAAGCAAAACAGACGTATTTCCACTGTGTTACCGTGGTAACAGGTAGCAGACGTATTTATCGGCCCACTTTCCCAAGGGTTGTGTCAGTCTTAGGATCTGCAGTTTGAGACTGAGCTGCCACTATTGCCTCGTTGATCTGGGTCTGCAACAATCTTAAATCCTCGATGTGGAGAAGACGCAAAGCTTTTCCTGCTTCGTTGGAACTTTTCTCTCCGAGGTCAAAACCGATCTGTTGTGATGAAATTTGTCAATTTCAAGCTCCAACGAACCAGCATTGCAATCAAAAAATTTGTCCGTGGTAATATGTTTAAATTGACACTGTATTTACTAAAGCAAACAGTAATTTCAATATGAAAATACAGCAAACCTCGGCGGAACCAAGTGTCATCTTATCCCCAGTGCGTTTCACTGCGCCGGGGCTAAGTCGCTTTTCTATGAGAATCCTGCAGGCTTTCAAAACCTGAGAGTTAGCAGAATTTACGAAATTTATCATTCCAAGAGTTTTACTGTTTTAGGGTGTACTCAAGAAATTCATGTTTTGAAAAGCAAACTGTATGTGACATTGTTAAGATATTGTAAATAACATGTCATATCGCGCGCCGCCCGCTGCGCGTTTTACCTGATGCTTATAAACAATCAAAATCGGTTCGGATTTCGCGCCGGGGTTACAGTTACTCGAGGAGTACGGAAATAAAGTCGAGAAAGATCTGTCTATCCCTATTTGGGCTCGGACAGTTATCTTTTTATCTCTTGGAGCACTCGCCTGTAAATAGTCGTGATGGGGAGGTATTCTGAGGAAATCTCTGAGCATGTTTACACTGTTTTTAAACTGAACACTATTCACGTCAAGTGCAGCACAATCCTCATCCTCCGTAATCCTCAACTTAGCTGCTCGCTCACTATAGTTACAAATATATGAACATTAGGATTTCTAATCAATTTGAAGTGGAGCAGTGGCGTAACGAAAGGCCCTGCTGACCCCGCTGTGCAGGGGGGCGCCGTCTTAGGGGGGCGCCAAATCGTCGTTTGAATGTGGGACAATTTCGAAAACTTAACTAAAGTACTAGCAAAACTGCGCGTTTTGCTCTAGATACACACTTTTTTAGAGATTTTACCGGCGTATTCTTTAAAATCACCTAATTTGTTCAATTTTAGGGAGGGGCACCAAAAGGGGAGGGGGCGCCAACAGGGGGGCGCTTTTTTCGGCAGGGGGGCGCCAACAGGCAACGTTACGCCACTGAAGTGGAGTCAAATATATTCTCGATTTAAACTTGATAACTAAGATTTTCACAAAATTACTATTAAAAAGAGTAGTCCTCACTTGATGTTGTCCTTCTTATCAGAGTATTCCAATCTAATAGCATAGTTCAATAGCCAATCCAAAGCTGCATTTTGATATTTCTCAAACCCATACGGACATTTGAGTTGTTTGAGATACGAAGCCGAGTTCGTTCTCCAGTCTTCACCTTGCAGCACGCCTCTATCTTCAGTGCTATAATATCTGAAGATTAAGCGCAATATTTACAGCTGTAAATAGAACTTTTGCAATGTATCAGAGAATCGTATTTGAGTAAGAACTGTACGCTTAGGTAACTAATTAACTTAGATAACTAATGACTCATAAAACTGGCAGTTAAAACACTCCGTAGTTAAAAGCATAGGCAGTTAATTCAGATCTGTTTATTCAAAAACATCGAGGCTTTTAACCGACCTGATTTTCTGGTTTTCGAGCCAGTTCAAGATATTCTTGACATCCTCCTCGCTATTTAAAGAGAAGTGTTCGGGAGAATGATATTGTAGTGTCCTTAATTTCCTCTGGATTGAGAGCATCTGCTAATTGAGGGGGTTCACGTAAAAATCATATAATATAATATTATTAGAGAGAGAGAGAGAGAGTCTGATTGAAATATAAGTCGGGGACTTTAGCAATGAATAATGAAAAATCACATATTTCGTGAGATTCTGATTGTCGACTCATAAGTAAAAATACTGTTAATTTTTCACGAAAACATATACATTTATAGTTAATTAACAAACAACTCTGAAGTATAAGAAGTACAAATCACAGATTTGATTCATTAATCAAACCAACAAACCCCAATTCAGAAGTACCAAAAGTCTATCATTTTCCTAAATTCACACGACTCGTCAGAGAAATGGCCAAAAGATTAAAAAACAAACTTGAATCTCTATCTCATGTATTTTTGCACGGTTATGAAAGTCTAATCAAAACACAAACAAAAAATCACTTAAATAACACAATAATAATACCAAAAACCACCTCCCCCACTCAGCGACCATCTATCAGAACTATCTTCTGAGTGTTACTAGCTGGTTACTAGTTGGTTACCAGCTGGTTACTAGCTGGTTACTAGCTGGTTACTAGCTGGTTACCAGCTGGTTACCAGCTGGTTACTAGCTGGTTACTAGCTGGTTACTAGCTGGTTACCAGCTGGTTACTAGCTGGTTACCAGCTGGTTACTAGCTGGTTACCAGCTGGTTACTAGCTGGTTACCAGCTGGTTACTAGCTGGTTACCAGCTTGTTACTAGCTGGTTACTAACTGGTTACCAGCTGGTTACTAGCTGGTTACTAGCTGGTTACCAGCTGGTTACTAGCTGGTTACTAGCTGGTTACTAGCTGGTTACTAGCTGGTTACCAGCTGGTTACTAGCTGGTTACCAGCTGGTTACTAGCTGGTTACTCGCTGGTTACCAACTGGTTACCAACTGGTTACTAGCTGGTTACCAACTGGTTACTAGCTGGTTACCAACTGGTTACTAGCTGGTTACTAGGTTACTAGCTGGTTACTAGCTGGTTACTAGCTGGTTACTAGGTTACCAGCTGGTTACTAGCTGGTTACTAGGTTACCAGCTGGTTACTAGCTGGTTACTAGGTTACTAGCTGGCTGGCTCCGCTCAGCGACTAGCTTTCCTTCTTCTCAGCAGCAGCTCCGCCCAGTATCTTACCCCTCTGTTTCAACATGTGCATGTAAAGCTTGGGAAGGTAGGGGAAGTAACCCATCATGTAGATGATCAGGAAGGTCGGGTAACTGAAGGACACGTTCAGCTTGTTGGGCAGGGAGACAGAATACATTCCAGAGGCAGTGACGTAGGGCAGGACGCTGGGGAGAATGTGCACTTAGTTATTGTTCAGTACCTAGATACCTTGGGTAGGTAGATTAAGTGGACTCATATTAAGACTAATATTCTCAGTTTGTTATCAATTTAAATCTTTCAAAAGCTTTATTCTTATTTCACTCAAACGAATGATTAGTGATTACTGTACCTGTAAATAGTGAGGAGTTCACCAGACACTCCGATAGGGTAGAGGAATGTGAAGAAGGAATACCTCGCCCAGGTGAGAACATACGGTACTTTGTCTACCAGAGATAGAGCATAATACAAGTACCTGAACCATACAGAGACAGTTAGATAAACATCATGGTACAAGCATAATACAAGTACCTGAGCCATACAGACAGTTAGATAAACATCATGGTACAAGTATAATACAAGTACCTGAACCATACAGACAGTTAGATAAACATCATGGTACAAGCATAATACAAGTACCTGAACCATACAGACACAGGGACAAAAGGATTTCGCGGTAATTTTGACCAAATTTCGCGGTACCGCGAAATTTAACAGGCTATACATTAAACTATACATAAAATTTGTCGCGGAGAATGGGAAATTTCGCGATTTCGTACATGCCGCGAAATCCTTTTGTCCCTGTACAGACAGTTAGATAAACATCATGGTACAAGCATAATACAAGTACCTGAACCATACAGACAGTTAGATAAACATCATGGTACAAGCATAATACAAGTACCTGAACCATACAGACAGTTAGATAAACATCATGGTACAAGCATAATACAAGTACCTGAACCATACAGACAGTTAGATAAACATCATGGTACAAGCATAATACAAGTACCTGAACCATACAGACAGTTAGATAAACATCATGGTACAAGCATAATACAAGTACCTGAACCATACAGAGACAGTTAGATAAACATCATGGTACAAGCATAATACAAGTACCTGAACCATACAGACAGTTAGATAAACATCATGGTACAAGCAAATTATGGTTTATAAATGCTATCATGTAGATTTTAAAGTGATAATTTCTTCTTATTTTAGCTAACCTGACTATTTCAGCAACACACCAGGCAATAATCATCATAGGAACGTTAGAATCAGCTTGTACTTCCTTCACAGGGTCCAATACTAACCACAGCACCACTAGTCTAGATTGAACCTGGAAATTAGAAATTTATAATAAATAGTCAAGGAACTTAAATTTACATTATCACACTTTAAATTCAATTAATCATTATATATATATATGAGATTTAAGCGTAACATTTCAGCCATGCAAATTACATTAACATTATTTTGATATTTAAAACTAATGGTAAATGGAAGCAATGGTATCGCATCATAAGTTGCTTAGTGATATGAGTGGCAGGATGAAAACTAACTAAAACACCATGACAACTAACTACAACACCATGACAACTAACTACAACACCATGACAACTAACTACAACACCATGACAACTAACTACAACACCATGACAACTAACTACAACACCATGATAACTAACTACAACACCATGACAACTAACTACAACACCATGACAACTAACTACAACACCATGATAACTAACTACAACACCATGACAACTAACTACAACACCATGACAACTAACTACAACACCATGACAACTAACTACAACACCATGACAACTAACTACAACACCATGACAACTAACTACAACACCATGACAACTCACTACAACACCATGACAACTAACTACAGCACCATGACAACTAACTACAACACCATGACAACTCACTACAACGCCATGACAACTAACTACAACACCATGACAACTGACTACAGCACCATGACAACTAACTACAACACCATGACAACTAACTACAACACCATGACAACTCACTACAGCACCAACAGATCACTACCTGTATGAAAGTAGTAAGAGGAGAGGAGCGGACAAGTCCGATGGCAGCGTGAACAATCTCCAGAACAGCAAGGGACTGGGACAACTTCAGGGCTACTTCCACTCTCTTGTACACTGTAGTAGTTGACTCAGTGCTGTACAGCTCGTATATAGTGTACCATAGGACTGTACTCCAACCAAAGGCCAGACAGCAATTGTACAACAGAAGATATACTTTTCCCAGCATTATAAGCCTGCATTAGTTTTATAATTAGATATGTCTGGCATCTGGCAATTTATTTCAAGTGTTAAGATTAATTGAAAGGTTTTACAATTGTGTACTTCGATCATATCGTACTGATGGTAATTTTATGTACTCACTTAACAATTTATGTACCAAAGTCCAAAATATGACTGGCATCCAATAAATATTATATTAAGATTGAATCACAAAACTTTAATACTCTTCAAATTTTACAATGGTGTCAAAGATCTATCAAAATTACATTCAAGCAACATAAAACGTAAACAAAATCGATTCATTTATGTACAAATCATACTTATAATTTAATTTGATAATTTAAGAGGGTCACATTCCTAGGTTTCAGATTCAAGGTTTCTAACATCAATACCCTATAATAATTTATCACGTGCATACACAATACACACTTCATCAATCTTTTAGTACTACAGAAACTGATTCGCAAATAAGGATTAACGAGGGCCGTCCTAAAAATAAAGTATATAAAGAATTCATAAACTCATTTAAATTGGTTATGGAGTCCATTTAATTTATCCATCAACAAATCCACGTCAGCTTGCTCAGATTTGCTCCATGCTAGTGGGAGATGCTTCCAAACAATTTGTCTGTCCTGAAAGAATTCACCAGAGCTCTTTGGATCAGTTGCTGCTGTATTGTTGGAAACAGCTAGCCATACCACTGTGTCAGCTCCTTGTTCAACTGTCCTAAGTTTATCTTTCATTTTCTCATAGAAACCAGGCATTGACGTCCGGACTGCTGGAGTATCTGCCCATCCCGGATGCATTGAAGTAAATTGAACATCAGCATATTTTTTGGCCCATTCCTCGGTCATAACAACTTGTTGCCTTTTATTTTGAGCATATGCCATTGTACCCTCAAAAGGACTCAAATTCTCTGCCATCAAATCAAAAGGATCCAGCTTGTTAGTCAACATTCCTCCTGATGAAACAGTGACAACACGTGCTCTTTCCTCAGCACTTCCAGTTTGTAGTAATAACGGCATTAGGCTTTCAGTCAGAATGTATGTCCCAAGAGTATTGGTAGCAAAGTTTTTTTCGAGGTTATCTTCTGTTAGTTCACGTTTATTGACCATACATCCAGCATTATTGACCAATGCATGAAGGCCTCTTTCGTTATTTTCTTGTGCAAACTTTATTGCAAACTTGTGAACAGCTGCTGGACTGGACAAATCAAGAATGTGTACATGAATATTCTCATTGTTAGTGCCTTCAATGATCTCCTTTTTAGTTTCTTCAGCTGAGACAGGATTTCTGCAAACTAAATGAACTGTTCCCCCTCTTTTAGCTACCTCAAACGCTGTTTGTTTCCCAATACCACTATTAGAGCCAGTAATTAAAAATTGTTTTGACGAACAGTCTACTTCTAAATCACTGGCTTTAAAATTTTTAGAAGCTGATAAAAATCCTCCACGAGTATATTCCATCAAGCCCTTCGCAATCCATACGGAATTACGGTAAATCGACATTCTGAAACCAATTAACATGAGCACAGATAAGACGAGAATCCATACAGATGAGCGTAACGAATACATTCCTATATGTAAGTGCTTAATGAATTGTATTTGTGTCATAGGATGGTCATCATTATGTGACCAACCATTTAATGAAAGACTAAGTTATGTAAAAAAAATCAAGAGTGAATATAAGAGTCATCCTCGAAGATATTTTATCAATGTTGATAATCATGTGTAATAGATACATCGTCCACAGAATTTCGTGGAAAAAAACAACAATACCAATAACTGTGAACTATTACATCGAATCTAAATCGAGTTACAGGAGAAATAAGTGACGAAGAACAAAATGCTAATCGCATCATGATAAGTAAACAAGAAGAGGTTGTAGAAGGGATATGTAACGAACTTCCATGAATTGTAACGAGTATTGTACTGTGTAGAACATTAAAATGGAACATTAAAATACTCCGCGGTGCATGTAGTGAGAATGTGACAAATTTTGATTTAGCGCTCGATTTTCACAGTACGGCAAAAAATGCGCGGCGCGCATAAATTGTAATTTTATCTAAAACTTTAAATTATATCATTGATTATTGTGGATCAGTGTTAAATTACCATTCAATATACTGTAAAATTGAATATTTAAAGTTGCGCACTGTTTATACTTTTTATTAAATTAAGCAATAATTTTTTAAATGTTCAAAAATAATTTAACATGTAAAAATATTTTTTTTTAATTTGCCTATTTTGCACATTTTAAATTATTGTGCGTTGTATGAAAATTACATCGCATTACACAAAACTAATATTAAGCAACAATACGTTAGTACGCAATTGCAATTTTATTTTATACTATAACTGGTCGGCTATCTAAAATAAATTATAAAATAATAAACACAACAAAATTGAAATATGATTTATAATCTATAAAAATAACAAACAACAAATTGGATTAATTTAAGCACATATTTATACTATCAAAGATATGCAAAAAATTTTAATAAAATCAAACATACGATTTTGTAATATATAATACATAATAATATAATGACCATACAAATATTTTAAAACTCAGGTTTCGGAGCGCCGCGCATATTTTTGTAACTCGTGTAGACGCATTGTGACAATCGAGTGATAAAGCTAAATTGCTCTTATTGTTAATTCCAATCCAGTTAGTCGTGCTGCTGTTTAACATCGAAACACTTAACACTTCCTTCGTGTATTTAAATATCGAGTCAATGAAGAGTTCCAACGATCTTTGTGTAAATCTGGACTCATTTTGTATCACATCAATGCTAGTGTGACGTCAACATTTTTCAATTCACATTGATTGATAATGGCACACAATATTGCAAAATACATGTAATTGTTAGAAATTATCGAGATGTAGTGCAAGTTACTTACTTAAATGATTTCATCATTTATGAATTGCTAGTCTGATGCTTATCTATTTGTCATAGCTTGTTTTCTATCATCCAATCTCTCCATTCATTCGAATGTTGGGAATGTTGAGACTTGATTAGAGCCTCTACAAAGTAAAGTAAAATTTATGACATAACATCATCACACATGTCTACAAAATGCAGTTGTAACCAACATGAGCCGATGTATATTTGAACGGTTATTATTATTATCTCCCCTCTTTATACAGGTTTCAATTGCTTCCCATGACGAGTGACTGGCTTGTTGAACGTTTGAATCATCCGATCATGTGGATTCTCTGTCAAAGCCAAATGCTGAACGTTTTAAAGATAATCACGTGACAGCAAACTGAAGTAATCATTAGTCAATCGATCCCGTGAAATGACTTAGAGTCTAATTGTTAGCTGCTATTATTCGACAACATCAGTCTTGGATTAATTAATGCCACACTTTACTCCTATGTAACTTGGGGACGGGGTCAGTGGCGTAACGTTGCCTGTTGACGCCCCCTGCCGAAAATGCGCCCCCCTGTTGGCGCCCCCTCCCCTTTTGGTGCCAACGATTTTGTGCCCCCCTAAGATGGTGCCCCCGGCCCCCCCCCACAGTGGGGTCAGCGGGGCCCTTCGTTACGCCACTGGACGGGGTGGGCAACCCCATAGGCAAGTCTGCAAGCATCACTGAATCAATTACTGCATACCATCACAGTTACACTGTCGTAAATATTGTTTTGATTTTGACCAAATTCTGACTAATTTTTGACTGAAGAATGTTGAAAATGATGCCCATTTTGCCCATTTACTCCCTAACGTTTGGCCAGAAGGGGCATGGGCATCTATGGGGTTGCCCCCCCCCCAGCATTTGATTTCAATTATAAATATAGTAATAATGATGTCTGTTTCTGTAATGGCCTATTTTTCAACTTCACGCTCCCTTGAGGGCTGACCTCTTTGAACCTTGACCCTTCCACCAGGCCTGTACCTTAGCAAAACCTATACTTCAATTAACAGCTACTGCTAATATTTTCAGCAACTGCTAAGATTTTTCGTTAACAGAAAATACTTCAGAATGGCATCAGTCGTTTTGACAATGAATAGCCCCCACGATGGTCAGCAACAGTCGAGCTCATCTCCGATGATCATAAAGAAGAAAACTAGAAGAGCCCCTAAGAAACAGAAAAAAAATAAGAAACCATACTTCAAGTTGTCGTGGAAAGAAAAGGAAGAATTAAATGAAAAAGATCGTATGAAAGGGGAAGCAAGGCTTGCTAATGCAAAAATATCTGCCCCTAATAACACTACTCAGTTTTTGATGCAGGAACATCCAACTACTACTCCAAACCGGACTCCAGTGGGCATGTCTTATGATTCTGACGATGATGAATACAATTCTATGAGCAGTGATGACAATGCAAATGAGATCCAGCCTGGAGCTTTGGAAAGTCCTGGAGTATTCATGGAGAACGATTTTGCTGAAACTTTTGAGAACATGAAGGCTGATATTCTGGAGACTAAAACCAGGTCACAACTGATTACTGAAATAGTAAGTTTGGAAAAGGCAGTCAATGAGCTGGTCAAGGAGAATGGGAAGGTCAGACACAATTCTAATGACACTAATACTGAACTGATGAGCCAGTTGAATCAACTCCGCAAGGAAAACGAACTGCTCAAAGTTGAGAACATGCTCCTGAAAGCAACTAAAGTGAAAGATAACTCTATTCCTATTACACCTGTGAAAGATAACATGATCTCCTTGGATATCGACGACAACAGTAATGCTTCCCTGACTTGATGTTACCCTCTGTGCCCTATTAGATAGAACGTAAACGGTAAATTTTAATTTTTTCTATCCTAATTCTTAAAACACTCATCAAAATTTTGAAGGTTCTGAGCTCGATAAATGCTCTCTCTGTGTGTCATTTATTCTGACAGCTCTCTGACTGTGTGCTGTTTTATCATGTACATGATGTAACGTACACTGATATCATGATAATTATGTGTACTTATAAAATGTGCATGTACATTGGAGTGTATAATTATAAAGCACTGCTAATGGCTCAAACACAGGTGCAACTGTAGATTTTAAATCAGTCCTCCATTGTTGGAATGATGGGCGCCTCCACTGAGTGTTAAATTCCTAGGAAACAGGATCATAGGTTCTATCTAAATATGGTAAGCCCTGTAAGTGTGCGGTTACATGCAAATATCTGCACCCCAAAACTAATTGTACTATTCTACTTAATACCATCATTGCCTAGGAAACTTGTACCGTGTGCAAGTTGGTACACTATTGAAAGTATTGGGTATTGATTTTATATTAAAGCTGATTTCCACAGGACACAGACTGCTAGAGAAAACGATCAGATTGCCAAGAAAGAACGGAAGAAGATAACGGACAATTTAAGACGAACTTTTACCTCGCGGGAATCTATAAATAGCATTGACTTTGTAATGTAATTTATGAGCTAACATCCTATCACAGAATGAGACTAAAATCGAAAAGGGATTGGGGGTGAAAATGGGAAGTGTTTTATCAAAATTACCTACATGAGCCGACTGGAAGCAAATTCCTTTGCTTTTTGGTTTTATCAGTAAAGGCGTTGAGCTAGCTACTTTGTTTATAAGGGATTTTGTCTAATAATTGTATAACTATTTAACTAAATATATTCAAATAAGGTCAGAAATTTGGTACGGGAACTTGTGGAAATTTTACGGAATGCAGTAATAATGATAATCACACCCAATGATATGCTGTCAATGAGTTTATTACATTTAATGGGCGAAAGCCCGGATTTGGATAAATGTCTTATTTCTAGGGCTGAGTTCTAGGAGTTAGACTGGCATTGACAGCTTAGTTTTGGATGAAAATACGTGTATTTAAGATTTGTTTACTTTACATTCAACTGTCTTAAACCTGATGATAAAACAGTTTGAGACTGACTATAACTCTATAAGATAATGTAAGATATTGGGGCAACTATTAACTTATGAAGCCACAGACCTTGGTTGAAGGTTTTGTGAAACATGCATTGTGCAATTATCGATTAGCTATTGAATATGTCAAGTCAGCATAATTATCATAACTGCATAATTGATATCCGCATTGCCGCAAAATACACAATACTAGAGTCTGTAATCTGTATGGTAAGAAATCATATTAGCTCATACTTCATAGTAACGTCCTGACAAAAATTGTATTGTCTCATGCCCACACAATAATTTTATTGGCATATGGCCAGACACTAACTTAGCTTATTGCTTATATTCGCAGCAGTTTGAAAGGGATGTGCTGTTGTACAGCCTTCAAATTCCTGTGAAAATGCATGCTGTACACTCTATACAGTATACATTATGCTGTACACTCTATACATTATGCTGTACACTCTATACATTATGCTGTACACTCTATACATTATGCTGTACACTGTATACATTCTGTGAATGTGATGGGACATAGTCCAGTGTATATTACTCCTACATAGGAGATGCTATATACAACGTCTACCAGATTTACGTGACTAACTTGCTATTTGACTTGGTGATTTCCGTGGATCAGAATAATGAAGTTGAAATCATTTTGAATCTTACAGGTGAAATGTGGACAATTTAAGTCGTTCTGAACTTTCCATTTCTTTGGTCAAATTGTTGAGACCATTCTCATTTCTCCCTTTTATATTTTATTGCGTTTGATTAAACATTTCCAAACTAGCTCTTTGTTTACACTTTACATGCAAAATGTTACTTATTTTAAGAATAGACGGGTTCATATCTAGTCTGTAGTTTAAATTACCAGCATCAGGAGTTTCATATCTCTTGTCACCTTTATTTAATAAGTACCTGAGAAAATAGTGTTAAATTGTGTGTAAACACGGGTAATAAAGGGATCCTGAGTTTAAATATCCACTTTATATACCCAACTTTATAGTTCCGTCTAAATCGCTAATAAATTTGTTTTATTATTATTAATTGTTATCGGGAAAAGCAATGTATTTTATAGTTACTGGAAAATCACAATCCAAATTTAACTTGGGACTGTTTGATATATTACGTAATATATCGAAATCGTATTATAGATTATTTTGGATTATTCCGTTTTTATGTAAAGATATGGAACCACAAGTAATTTTATATCGTATAGATAATCGATGGAATTAATAGAATTTATTGTGTTTTACTCAGTGTTATTGTATAACCTTTGTAATCTTTCCCAGGTTTGATAAACATTAAACATGTCGATTGTTGGCCTCAGTAAAATTTGGAAATAAATTCCGGTAAGCTAAGTCAGTCCTGGTCTCGAAAAATGTTAATTTAAACATTCTGGATTTCACAAGCAAAATTTACCAAAATGTTGCATATAATACTTAAACTGACTATAGCAGTTCACTTCAAAATCAAGCAATTTCAATGTTTATTTTACTGCAAAAGGAGTAAGCCGGCACCACATGTCTGTTTGACCCTTCAAAAGCCATTTGAAATTTATAACATTTGGTCCGGCCCTGTTATAAAATTTGTAAAATATCCTCAATTCCTCAGTCCTAGCATAATTTGGCGTTGTTTTCCCCTGCTTTCTGGCGTTGTCGTAAATAGTTCAACCAAAAATCATGGCCAATCCCGTTCTTAGTAAATGCCATTATAGTTGCACTAATAATTTCGCTGGCTAATCGATCACTGGATATTTAAAATTGAATATTCAAGAACAGTTGGCTTCTAAATTGTACTATTTAGAGCTAAATTGTACTATTTAAATAAATTGTACTATCTAAGTTGTACTATTTAAATAGGACATTAAACTCCGTTACCAGCAGAAGGTTTAACACACCCTATTAATAGGTACTAACCAGAGTCACTGACAGTACCTCGAATAGGTAACTCTAGTTGCTAGGTAACTGAATGTAACCATGGCATACCTAGCCAGAATAAGACCGGTTCAGGCGACACTGCGCGGTGTCGCGCTGGTGCCCGCACGTGGAGACAAATGGTACATTGATCCAGAGGAGGAGCGACAGTACAACGCTCCCTTCCATCTCAAATGGAGTCAGAGCTGGCCCCTATCTACGGGACCCTCCTGGCAGAGTCACACCTTTATGAACAAGAACAGCATGTACCCTCGCATGCCTTACTACCACAGATCACTGAAGAACCCTTACGTTAAATACGATACTGGTATTGGAATGAGGAAGAACTTCGGAGAGACATATCACATTCTGGAGGTAAAGTTAGTTATTACTAGATCATCTCACTAGAGTATTTATTGTACCCCACTATTCTCTTCATGGTAGCAGTAGTAGATAATAGTGGGTATTATCTTCAAGTATTTAACAGCTAGAAGTATATTTATGCCATAAGAGGGGTGTGTATTTGTATTACACATGATAAATGTTAATTAACTCTCTCTCTACCCCACCAGGTAACCAGGTAACCAGGTAACCAGGTAACCAGGTAACCAGGTAACCAGGTAACCAGGTAACCAGGTAAATGTTAATTAACTCTCTCTCTCTACCCCACCAGGTAAGCAGGTTACCAGGTAACCAGGTAACCAGGTAACCAGGTAACCAGGTAACCAGGTAAATGTTGATTAACTCTCTCTCTCTACCCCACCAGGTAAGCAGGTAACCAGGTAACCAGGTAACCAGGTAACCAGGTAAATGTTAATTAACTCTCTCTCTCTATCCCACCAGGTAACCAGGTAAGCAGGTAACCAGGTAACCAGGTAAATGTTAATTAACTCTATACCCCACCAGGTAACCAGGTAACCAGGTAACCAGGTAACCATGTAACCAGGTAACCAGGTAACCAGGTAACCAGGTAACCAGGTAAATGTTAATTAACTCTATACCCCACCAGGTAACCGGGTAACCAGGTAACCAGGTAACCAGGTAACCAGGTAACCAGGTAACCAGGTAACCAGGTAACCAGGTAACCAGGTAACCAGGTAACCAGGTAACCAGGTAACCAGGTAAATGTTAATTTACTCTATACCCCACCAGGTAACCAGGTAACCAGGTAACCAGGTAACCAGGTAACCAGGTAACCAGGTAACCAGGTAACCAGGTAAATGTTAATTAACTCTATACCCCTCCAGGAGTGGCTGACTCCCCAAGGCTCGGAGTGGGTCAGGGAAAATGGTCAGAGCAACTCTTTCTCCGGAACTTTCGACCTTGTCCTTATGTTCGTCGTTCTGTGGTTCACGCTCAAGGTATGTGTTTTAGTAATCGATACTATTATAATGGTCAGAGTTTTTTATTTGATCATTGATCTACGCGAAGCTTGGGTATTTGCATTGACTTAAACATGGATAAGAAAAGAGAAAGTTTTTAATCCTCATCATTAGCATTAGGAATGTTTCCTTGTCATACAAATGCGGTTACTGTAATGCGTGTGTAAGATACACACTATGTGTATCACTGTGTATCTTCACACAAGGCACCTTTTAGCAGTGTGCATGTTACCATTCCATGCTAGGTTACAGTTCACGCTGTATATTCCATGCTAGGTTACAGTTATCACTGTATATTATATAGAGGGTGGCCTGGCCTATACGTCAGTGTGCAAATGTTGGGCTTTTTTCTCAGTTACTGAGTGCCCGATTAAAATGATTATCTCTGATATGACTTGCTACCTGACTACCATTACTCATTCGAGGAATCCGTCAAATTAAAAATGTTTCGAATGAACTTTCATTTTCACATTTTAAAGATATTTCGGATGATTGGATCCAAATTATAATGCATCGTGTTAATTAGAATACAAATAACACTCGTCCTGAATATAATTGGAAGCTCTAGCTACTAGCTACTAGCTGGAGCTACATGAAGTGCAATTAGAGCGCAGTATAACATAGTAGTAGTAGTATTAGTAGTAGTAGTATAACTCAATCAAATGATAACCCCACGAAAAACAATTTGCTAACGATATGAACAAAAAGCTTGATAAATAATTTTTCATTTTATGTTTCGCCTATTTTCAGATCATGTTCCACATCTAATAACTGCAATATTATGTAAAATTGAAGTTTCTAGCAGGTTCCTTAAAACGGGTGTATAGTGTATACTGTAAATGTCGAAAGGGCTGCCTTCAACAATAGAATTTTATAACTTTGGCGACAGATTCCTCGAATGAGTAGTAAGAGTATGCTTTCTGCAAAGTTACAAGTCTCAACCTTTCATTTTTTACCCTGTATATAATATTAGATACAGCATGTATTAGATATAATATTTAATACTGTAATTAATTTCTTGGCTTTTTATGCTAATTACCCATTCTTATTTTTCAGTTTATCGACTACCTCGACAAAGAATATTGTATCAGTTTGTATGCGAAGAAAGTGTACCCCTTCGATAACCTGTGGACAGAGAGTGGCGGTAATCCGTTGGTGCCCAGCGAGAAGAGACCTTATATGTTCTCCCATATCCCTGTTCTTGCCCCTGAAGCTGGTCTACAGAAATGCTGAGAGAAAACTTTTGTTAAATAAGTTATTAATTAATTTGTAATTAGCAAAGTTAGTTACCATTAGTTACGGGTGGGAGAAATACGGTTTTATATTAATCCACCTTACACAGTGCATAGGTTTTGAGTACTGCACTAAGAAATTATTAGCGAATTAGCTCATAATACTGAATGTACACATTGACTGCGTAATGAATAGCGTAATTGGTTTCATATGCCCTGTTCTATTGTTTGGAATGGCAGTTAAATTATTAAATATCATGAGGCAGGTCACATGTCACTTCTTCACTAATTGTTCTTCTAGGAAACTATCTGAAGTGTGTGTCTAAATCGAGAAGCTTTTTAATTGAGTCACACTTCATAAATACATCACCTTTATCTTAGAGATGATTATGTTATTGTGCGATGTGAAATCCCAATTAATATCAAAACGAATTTTATGAAGTTTTATTCAAATGATCCATTCATAAAGAGGTGAGTGATTTCAACTTTAAATTTTCAAGTACGTTTGAGAGGGCAAAGTAGTAATGAAAATTCTGAATATGTGGTATAAGTTACATAAAAGTAGCTCAGTGGTGTGTTCACATCGCTTAGTGCATAACTCATTGTCCTGATAAGTGGTGCATACTGCATTTGTTGGGCCATCCCCGGCGTGCCTGCTGTCATCAACGTTAGCGGGACAATTTCGCAACCAGAGCCACTGTACTAGCAAAACTTTAGTGCTATCTGTGCGTGTTTATATTCCTCGCGCGCGCAGCACGCGAATATATTATATAAATCTTGTAGAATTTTGTAACTAACTTTTGCTAATACTTCAAGGATGGGCAAACGTAACAGAGTTCCAACCAAGCCCACTGCGGCGCCCGGCAAGGTCAAGCTGGGCAGCAGTCTCAGTCTCAAGAACAGGAGTAGCAAAACTCAAACTGGTATTCGAGACAAGGCAACTGTTAAACGGTTGAACATGTACAAGACGAATGGCCCAAAACGGAACAAAGATGGTAAAATTGTGGCTCCAGCAGAATACCAGAAGCCTGCAGCATCAGGAGAACGAGCTAGAATAGAACCAAACAGGAAATGGTTCGGTAATACCAGGACCCTGACTCAACAAGCACTGCAGAAGTTTCAAGTGGAAATGGGAAAGATTAAGAAGAGTCCGTATCAAGTTATCATGAAGAGCAGCAAACTGCCTGTCGGGCTTTTGAAAGAAACCTCCAAAACTGCCAACGTTCACATTCTCAAGACTGAATCCTTCCAGAGCACGTTTGGCCCCAAGAAGCTGAGGAAAAGACCCAAGTTAAATATTGATAATATCCTTGACATGATAAAGAAAGTGACTGAAGTCACGACCAAGCATGATGAAAAGGAAGAAGCTAAAGCTCCAGTACCTGATGGGAAAGATGCCCCTAATGACTACATATTCGCTGCCGGACAGAGCAAGAGAATTCATGCGGAGCTGTTCAAAGTAATAGACAGTTCTGATGTTGTGGTCCAGGTTTTAGATGCCAGAGATCCAATGGTTAGTTCTCTATTTAATCAGATATATCAGTCGGTACTTCTTTTGTAGGACCACCTACGGGGGAGAAACTGGGGCTTTTTTAGGATGGTATTTTAGAATTCCATATTGCGATCTCTTAAAATCCCTACTTTACTTTTCAGACTAACATTTTATTTCTTCTTAGTTAATATTCTGGCCTAATCAGGGCACGAGGTCAAAGTACATCGAAAGACATTTGAAGGAGGAGAAGTCCCACAAACATCTCATATTTATCCTAAACAAGTGTGACTTGGTCCCAACATGGGTAACAAAAGGGTGGCTGGTGCACCTGTCGGCAGAATACCCTACCTTAGCTTTCCACGCCTCTGTTACAAATCCTTTGGAAAAGGTATTGTCCGTTAATTATCGATGTTTATACATTGTACATTTATACATTATACATGTTTATGTGACATTTTAATATATTGAGTGTTATAGTTAGAAAGCATAACTACGTAGGATATCTACTAAATAGCCACAATGTGTGCATAATAACATATAACATAATGTTATAGGTGCCCTGATTAATCTGCTGCGTCAGTTTGCTAGACTACACTCGGACAAGAAGCAGATAAGTGTTGGGTTTATTGGATACCCTAACGTCGGCAAAAGCTCCATCATTAACACCCTCAAACATAAAAAGGTTATGGTTTACTTTGATGTCTACAAAATGCTGACTTTCATGTAAATTGTATAGCACTGTGGAAGTATCAAGCTACATTGATAATCAAAATGCACATCCTCTTGTGTATACAATATACATGTGTAAGATCGCACTAATTAGGAAGATTGCTTGCTTATGATTTTATTACTTAATAGTACAGAGTTTGTTTACTGGTTAACCTAGGTCAACTGAAATAAATCAGACATTCTCCAACCAATAACCCCCTCTCTCTCTCAGTGTTGTAAAGTAGCCCCACAACCAATAACCCCCTCTCTCTCAGTGTTGTAAAGTAGCCCCACAACCAATAACCCCCTCTCTCAGTGTTGTAAAGTAGCCCCACAACCAATAACCCCCTCTCTCAGTGTTGTAAAGTTGCCCCACAACCAATAACCCCCTCTCTCAGTGTTGTAAAGTAGCCCCACAACCAATAACCCCCTCTCTCTCAGTGTTGTAAAGTAGCCCCACAACCAATAACCCCTCTCTCTCAGTGTTGTAAAGTAGCCCCACAACCAATAACCCCCTCTCTCTCAGTGTTGTAAAGTAGCCCCACTAGCGGGAGAGACGAAGGTTTGGCAGTACGTTTCCTTGTTCCGTCGTGTTAACCTCATAGATTGCCCCGGAGTTGTGAGCAACACCTCCGATTCTAACGCTGACATGATGTGCAAGGTAAGGATTGTGCCTCTAACGCTGACATGATGTGCAAGGTACGGATTGTGCCACTAACGCTGACATGATGTGCAAGGTAAGGATTGTGCCTCTAACGCTGACATGATGTGCAAGATAAGGATTGTGCCTCTAACGCTGACATGATGTGCAAGGTAAGGATTGTGCCTCTAACGCTGACATGATGTGCAAGGTAAGGATTGTGCCTCTAACGCTGACATGATGTGCAAGGTAAGGATTGTGCCTCTAACGCTGACATGATGTGCAAGGTAAGGATTGTGCCTCTAACGCTGACATGATGTGCAAGGTAAGGATTGTGCCTCTAACGCTGACATGATGTGCAAGGTAAGGATTGTGCCTCTAACGCTGACATGATGTGCAAGGTAAGGATTGTGCCTCTAACGCTGACATGATGTGCAAGGTAAGGATTGTGCCTCTAACGCTGACATGATGTGCAAGGTAAGGATTGTGCCTCTAACGCTGATATGATGTGCAAGGTAAGGATTGTGCCTCTAACGCTGACATGATGTGCAAGGTAAGGATTGTGCCTCTAACGCTGACATGATGTGCAAGGTAAGGATTGTGCCTCTAACGCTGACATGATGTGCAAGGTAAGGATTGTGCCTCTAACGCTGACATGATGTGCAAGGTAAGGATTGTGCCTCTAACGCTGACATGATGTGCAAGGTAAGGATTGTGCCTCTAACGCTGACATGATGTGCAAGGTAAGGATTGTGCCTCTAACGCTGACATGATGTGCAAGGTAAGGATTGTGCCTCTAACGCTGACATGATGTGCAAGGTAAGGATTGTGCCTCTAACGCTGACATGATGTGCAAGGTAAGGATTGTGCCTCTAACGCTGACATGATGTGCAAGGTAAGGATTGTGCCTCTAACGCTGACATGATGTGCAAGGTAAGGATTGTGCCTCTAACGCTGACATGATGTGCAAGGTAAGGATTGTGCCTCTATTACGCTGACATGATGTGCAAGGTAAGGATTGTGCCTCTAACGCTGACATGATGTGCAAGGTAAGGATTGTGCCTCTAACGCTGACATGATGTGCAAGGTAAGGATTGTGCCTCTAACGCTGACATGATGTGCAAGGTAAGGATTGTGCCTCTAACGCTGACATGATGTGCAAGGTAAGGATTGTGCCTCTAACGCTGACATGATGTGCAAGGTAAGGATTGTGCCTCTAACGCTGACATGATGTGCAAGGTAAGGATTGTGCCTCTAACGCTGACATGATGTGCAAGGTAAGGATTGTGCCTCTAACGCTGACATGATGTGCAAGGTAAGGATTGTGCCTCTAACGCTGACATGATGTGCAAGGTAAGGATTGTGCCTCTAACGCTGACATGATGTGCAAGGTAAGGATTGTGCCTCTAACGCTGACATGATGTGCAAGGTAAGGATTGTGCCTCTAACGCTGACATGATGTGCAAGGTAAGGATTGTGCCTCTAACGCTGACATGATGTGCAAGGTAAGGATTGTGCCTCTAACGCTGACATGATGTGCAAGGTAAGGATTGTGCCTCTAACGCTGACATGATGTGCAAGGTAAGGATTGTGCCTCTAACGCTGACATGATGTGCAAGGTAAGGATTGTGCCTCTAACGCTGACATGATGTGCAAGGTAAGGATTGTGCCTCTAACGCTGACATGATGTGCAAGGTAAGGATTGTGCCTCTAACGCTGACATGATGTGCAAGGTAAGGATTGTGCCTCTAACGCTGACATGATGTGCAAGGTAAGGATTGTGCCTCTAACGCTGACATGATGTGCAAGGTAAGGATTGTGCCTCTAACGCTGACATGATGTGCAAGGTAAGGATTGTGCCTCTAACGCTGACATGATGTGCAAGGTAAGGATTGTGCCTCTAACGCTGACATGATGTGCAAGGTAAGGATTGTGCCTCTAACGCTGACATGATGTGCAAGGTAAGGATTGTGCCTCTATTACGCTGACATGATGTGCAAGGTAAGGATTGTGCCTCTAACGCTGACATGATGTGCAAGGTAAGGATTGTGCCTCTAACGCTGACATGATGTGCAAGGTAAGGATTGTGCCTCTAACGCTGACATGATGTGCAAGGTAAGGATTGTGCCTCTAACGCTGACATGATGTGCAAGGTAAGGATTGTGCCTCTAACGCTGACATGATGTGCAAGGTAAGGATTGTGCCTCTAACGCTGACATGATGTGCAAGGTAAGGATTGTGCCTCTAACGCTGACATGATGTGCAAGGTAAGGATTGTGCCTCTAACGCTGACATGATGTGCAAGGTAAGGATTGTGCCTCTAACGCTGACATGATGTGCAAGGTAAGGATTGTGCCTCTAACGCTGACATGATGTGCAAGGTAAGGATTGTGCCTCTAACGCTGACATGATGTGCAAGGTAAGGATTGTGCCTCTAACGCTGACATGATGTGCAAGGTAAGGATTGTGCCTCTAACGCTGACATGATGTGCAAGGTAAGGATTGTGCCTCTAACGCTGACATGATGTGCAAGGTAAGGATTGTGCCTCTAACGCTGACATGATGTGCAAGGTAAGGATTGTGCCTCTAACGCTGACATGATGTGCAAGGTAAGGATTGTGCCTCTAACGCTGACATGATGTGCAAGGTAAGGATTGTGCCTCTAACGCTGACATGATGTGCAAGGTAAGGATTGTGCCTCTAACGCTGACATGATGTGCAAGGTAAGGATTGTGCCTCTAACGCTGACATGATGTGCAAGGTAAGGATTGTGCCTCTAACGCTGACATGATGTGCAAGGTAAGGATTGTGCCTCTAACGCTGACATGATGTGCAAGGTAAGGATTGTGCCTCTAACGCTGACATGATGTGCAAGGTAAGGATTGTGCCTCTAACGCTGACATGATGTGCAAGGTAAGGATTGTGCCTCTAACGCTGACATGATGTGCAAGGTAAGGATTGTGCCTCTAACGCTGACATGATGTGCAAGGTAAGGATTGTGCCTCTAACGCTGACATGATGTGCAAGGTAAGGATTGTGCCTCTAACGCTGACATGATGTGCAAGGTAAGGATTGTGCCTCTAACGCTGACATGATGTGCAAGGTAAGGATTGTGCCTCTAACGCTGACATGATGTGCAAGGTAAGGATTGTGCCTCTAACGCTGACATGATGTGCAAGGTAAGGATTGTGCCTCTAACGCTGACATGATGTGCAAGGTAAGGATTGTGCCTCTAACGCTGACATGATGTGCAAGGTAAGGATTGTGCCTCTAACGCTGACATGATGTGCAAGGTAAGGATTGTGCCTCTAACGCTGACATGATGTGCAAGGTAAGGATTGTGCCTCTAACGCTGACATGATGTGCAAGGTAAGGATTGTGCCTCTAACGCTGACATGATGTGCAAGGTAAGGATTGTGCCTCTAACGCTGACATGATGTGCAAGGTAAGGATTGTGCCTCTAACGCTGACATGATGTGCAAGGTAAGGATTGTGCCTCTAACGCTGACATGATGTGCAAGGTAAGGATTGTGCCTCTAACGCTGACATGATGTGCAAGGTAAGGATTGTGCCTCTAACGCTGACATGATGTGCAAGGTAAGGATTGTGCCTCTAACGCTGACATGATGTGCAAGGTAAGGATTGTGCCTCTAACGCTGACATGATGTGCAAGGTAAGGATTGTGCCTCTAACGCTGACATGATGTGCAAGGTAAGGATTGTGCCTCTAACGCTGACATGATGTGCAAGGTAAGGATTGTGCCTCTAACGCTGACATGATGTGCAAGGTAAGGATTGTGCCTCTAACGCTGACATGATGTGCAAGGTAAGGATTGTGCCTCTAACGCTGACATGATGTGCAAGGTAAGGATTGTGCCTCTAACGCTGACATGATGTGCAAGGTAAGGATTGTGCCTCTAACGCTGACATGATGTGCAAGGTAAGGATTGTGCCTCTAACGCTGACATGATGTGCAAGGTAAGGATTGTGCCTCTAACGCTGACATGATGTGCAAGGTAAGGATTGTGCCTCTAACGCTGACATGATGTGCAAGGTAAGGATTGTGCCTCTAACGCTGACATGATGTGCAAGGTAAGGATTGTGCCTCTAACGCTGACATGATGTGCAAGGTAAGGATTGTGCCTCTAACGCTGACATGATGTGCAAGGTAAGGATTGTGCCTCTAACGCTGACATGATGTGCAAGGTAAGGATTGTGCCTCTAACGCTGACATGATGTGCAAGGTAAGGATTGTGCCTCTAACGCTGACATGATGTGCAAGGTAAGGATTGTGCCTCTAACGCTGACATGATGTGCAAGGTAAGGATTGTGCCTCTAACGCTGACATGATGTGCAAGGTAAGGATTGTGCCTCTAACGCTGACATGATGTGCAAGGTAAGGATTGTGCCTCTAACGCTGACATGATGTGCAAGGTAAGGATTGTGCCTCTAACGCTGACATGATGTGCAAGGTAAGGATTGTGCCTCTAACGCTGACATGATGTGCAAGGTAAGGATTGTGCCTCTAACGCTGACATGATGTGCAAGGTAAGGATTGTGCCTCTAACGCTGACATGATGTGCAAGGTAAGGATTGTGCCTCTAACGCTGACATGATGTGCAAAGTAAGGATTGTGCCTCTAACTCTGACATGATGTGCAAGGTAATGGTTGTGCCTCTAACGCTGACATGATGTGCAAGGTAAGGATTGTGCCTCTAACGCTGACATGATGTGCAAGGTAAGGATTGTGCCTCTAACGCTGACATGATGTGCAAGGTAAGGATTGTGCCTCTAACGCTGACATGATGTGCAAAGTAAGGATTGTGCCTCTAACTCTGACATGATGTGCAAGGTAAGGATTGTGCCTCTAACGCTGACATGATGTGCAAGGTAAGGATTGTGCCTCTAACGCTGACATGATGTGCAAGGTAAGGATCGTGCCTCTAACGCTGACATGATGTGCAAGGTAAGGGTTGTGCCTCTAACGCTGACATGATGTGCAAGGTAAGGATTGTGCCTCTAACGCTGACATGATGTGCAAGGTAAGGATCGTGCCTCTAACGCTGACATGATGTGCAAGGTAAGGATCGTGCCTCTAACGCTGACATGATGTGCAAGGTAAGGATTGTGCCTCTAACGCTGACATGATGTGCAAGGTAAGGATTGTGCCTCTAACACTGACATGATGTGCAAGGTAAGGATTGTGCCTCTAACGCTGACATGATGTGCAAGGTAAGGATTGTGCCTCTAACGCTGACATGATGTGCAAGGTAAGGATTGTGCCTCTAACGCTGACATGATGTGCAAGGTAAGGATTGTGCCTCTAACGCTGACATGATGTGCAAGGTAAGGGTTGTGCCTCTAACGCTGACATGATGTGCAAGGTAAGGATTGTGCCTCTAACGCTGACATGATGTGCAAGGTAAGGATTGTGCCTCTAACGCTGACATGATGTGCAAGGTAAGGATTGTGCGTCTAACGCTGACATGATGTGCAAGGTAAGGATTGTGCCTCTAACGCTGACATGATGTGCAAGGTAAGGATTGTGCCTCTAACGCTGACATGATGTGCAAGGTAAGGATTGTGCCTCTAACGCTGACATGATGTGCAAGGTAAGGATTGTGCCTCTAACGCTGACATGATGTGCAAGGTAAAGATTGTGCCTCTAACGCTGACATGATGTGCAAGGTAAGGATTGTGCCTCTAACGCTGACATGATGTGCAAGGTAAGGATTGTGCCTCTAACACTGACATGATGTGCAAGGTAAGGATTGTGCCTCTAACGCTGACATGATGTGCAAGGTAAGGATTGTGCCTATAACGCTGACATGATGTGCAAGGTAAGGATTGTGCCTCTAACGCTGACATGATGTGCAAGGTAAGGATTGTGCCTCTAACGCTGACATGATGTGCAAGGTAAGGATTGTGCCTCTAACGCTGACATGATGTGCAAGGTAAGGATTGTGCCTCTAACGCTGACATGATGTGCAAGGTAAGGATTGTGCCTCTAACGCTGACATGATGTGCAAGGTAAGGATTGTGCCTCTAACGCTGACATGATGTGCAAGGTAAGGATTGTGCCTCTAACGCTGACATGATGTGCAAGGTAAGGATCGTGCCTCTAACGCTGACATGATGTGCAAGGTAAGGATTGTGCCTCTAACGCTGACATGATGTGCAAGGTAAGGATTGTGCCTCTAACGCTGACATGATGTGCAAGGTAAGGATTGTGCCGCACTTTTCATCAAATTCATTTGCCTTTGTTTTTAGATCTTATAAATACAGAATGAATAGGAGGTAGTTTGTGTCTCCCCTATTATAATGAGATTTTGTCTCGCCACTCATTGAGCCGAACAATTGCTAAATTGTTTCGGATTTGTTCACTACATTGCTTCCCGACTCCGCCAATTTGAAATCAAAATATCGAAAGTGTTGAATTCAATTTATTGAGAGCTATTAACTGTCGCGACAGGAAAAGCACTTAAACCTATAAATTATTGTAACACCATGGCGTCACAACTAGCATTTAGCCATTTTTACAGTAGCTGTTATGAAAAGTTCTTTCTAGAGAAATTTTATTATAAATTCTGACTTTCAGGGAGTTGTTCGGTTAGAATATGTGACAAACGCAGCTGATTACATCGAAACAATCATGGAGAAAATAAAACCCAAGTATCTCACACAAGCGTACAAGGTGAGTTTAAGTTATAACATAAAACTTTGTTAACATAACAAATTTACATCCAACAGTCAGCAGATTAAGAAACGAAATAATACATATTCGATTTTTTTAAATCGCTGTTCAGTGTTCAAACATCTAATCGTCTGAAAAAATATAACTAAACATTAATTATTTCCCTTCATTAAGGTATATATTCTAAGCTACACAAAATTAATATAATAAAACAAATTTCTAAAATCTGAATCCTTCCCAGTCAATCAATCTGTTTCGTCAGTATTCGGCTTAATCACTGTCTACAATCTACATTAAAATATTGTGCTGCAAGATACTAGTTTATAAACAAATTGACGGTCAATGTTTAGCGTTATGAATAACGCTAAACATTGATCGTCAACTTGTTCTAGTTAAATAAATAGCACTGATATTAATCTGTCGAGGAAGCAACTCGAAACTTAAGTACTAGCTGGTTTGGGAACACTTAAAACCTCTTTAAGCCTCACTCCCCCTGGTTTGGGAACACTTAAAACCTCTTTAAGCCTCACTCCCCCTGGTTTGGGAACACTTAAAACCTCTTTAAGCCTCACTCCCCCTGGTTTGGGAACACTTAAACCTCTTTAAGCCTCACTCCCCCTGGTTTGGGAACATTTAAAACCTCTTTAAGCCTCACTCCCCCTGGTTTGGGAACACTTAAAACCTCTTTAAGCCTCACTCCCCCACCCGGCTGAGGACCCTTATTACGATACACTACAACAGCCGGAATGGGACGTGTAGGAGTCTTGCTAGACTCGCTCCTCCAAAATGTCGCTCCTAAATTAATGCTATCTCGGCCACAAAACAACTTGTTTATGATAAAAATTCTAAGTTTCTCATTTCTAGCAAAGTATACAACCGGATTGATGGCAGAGTTTAGTGGTATACACAAGCTGTAAACGAAAATGTAGATATCGTAGTTGTGAACTGATCCGTACAGACTGCCAGGTCCAAGGGCGTACTCCCAAATGTGAACCACGCAGAAGGGGATGTTAAAGAGACAGAAGATCATGGCAAGGATCAGGACTGTTGTAGAGGCGTGCACATTCCTTCTCCTCTTACCGTTTGTGTTCAAATCTCCTCTTCCAGAAGCCAATAGACAGCAGATAGATATGACACAGGATAGGATGATGAGGGTGGTAAGGGTGGTGGGCAGTACAGCCAGCTCTAGCCAGTAGTATTTGTAGTGGATTGTTTCTGAGAATGCCAAGCTGACAATGATGATCTCGTAGAGGAAGAACAGTCCGCCCAGGATCATGATGTGACTCACTGTTACTCTGAGAAAGGGTTTCACCAGAGACAGCGTCCTGATGACGGTCATCATGCACGTCACAAACACTGTCATCTTCATCGTGATGTCACTTGTTGCTATGAGAGCCTGGGGTAGGGCGTTTATTTAGAATGTATCACGTGTAGCTATTTAAAAGGACGAATAATATATTTGCACTGTAAGTTTTGGTGGCATCACACTTGCACTGATCGACTTTACCTGGAAAGAAAGAGGAGGGGCTGGCTGGACGGTGTCCAGGAACCAGAAGGAGTGAACCCAAGTAGCCAGACTGGTGACACAGACCAGCATGTCGACCAGGTTGAGTGAGATAAAGAGGACAGTGCCAGGAGAGGGAGACTGTCTCTGGAGGAAGAAGGTGAGAGACAGGGTGTTGGTGAAGAGTCCCAGGATAACTATAGTTGCTGCCAGGTAGCTGGTAATGCTGATGTAGTCTGACATGTTGCTGGGTGGGAGAGATGTTTAGTAACTCAAATCACTTTATCTTGTGATAGTTGGGGGGGGGGAGTAGTAAAAATATATTTAAGAAATTATTAAGATTCTAGTCTCGATAGGGGGAGGGCGAGAGTAGTAAAAATATATTTAAGAAATTATTAAGATTCTAGTCTCGATATTGAAAATGGTAATAACGCCAGCGCAACCTCCTGCAATCGATACTACTGTACGGTTACTTCCCCGAATATAAATATTAAATATTGTAGCACCTGGATCACAACTTGTCGCTGGCAAAAACCATTTATTTAAGTTATGCGTTCGAACAGAAACGCTAAATAGTCATTTATAACGATATAACCGATCAAAGGCTTAAAATTTACAGTTCCACGCGCCAGTTGAAGAATGGAAGTGGTTTAACAAAGTAGGGTTAGTCTCTTAAAGTCTTAAATTTTAGTGCATGCAGTCTAGGATAGCCCCCCCCCCCTCCCGATGCGCAGTAGGCGACCCATCCCTCCACCCACCCCACCGCCCCCACCCCCCCCCCCCCCTAGTGCCCTGCCCCCTGGCTACCAACTCGTATTATTGGTTGCATAACCCTTGCATAACCGGAACTGAGCATGGTTATACGGTTATATTACCACATATTATCCCAATCTCCCTTAAGTTATAACCAACTTTGCAAAACCTACAGTTTCACAGAAAATCATGTCTATGTTAGGCATAAATGGACCATAGTTTATTAGATATGGCCCATCCAGACATCCCAGACCAATAAATGATAATAAGCTGACTACGGCTGAGTCCTCCTAGAATGGGATATGTTTCTTTGATCTCAGTCTACAAGTGGTTATCAAAGTTCAAATAGCTAAATAGACACGGCGCAATTTGATGTTGTATAACGGTCAAAATGAGTTGAAGAAATTCTGAATCCTGTAAGCCAAAACGGCCCCCTTATACGATCATTAGGCGCTGAACCAGTAAAGAACAAACACTACTACACTCTAGTATAATTATATAATACTACTGTACAGGAACAAACACTAGTATAATATAGAACAAACACTACTACATAATATAATTATATAATACTACTATACAGGAACAAACACTCTAGTATGATATAGAACAAACCTCTTATCTCATTTTCAGTCGTTAACACCATTAACAAAAGAAAACTTAGTCACCTTGAATCCAGACTATAGTGAAGTTAAACTTAATAAATAATTGTTGACCAGGTGTTAATCTTAGTATTATATTTAAATAATAATTGGGAGTCGAGTACTTCACAACGATAATCCGCCTCCCCACTAGACATATAATAGTATATAATATATATATTGAGGTTTTAATAAATCAGGTGTTCAAGTTTTGCGAGGGGCCTTGTGAAGGAAATGGTGCACACTTCCGGCGCTACAAGGAATCCCTCACAAGGTTATTTAAGAGGAAATGTATGCAGTTAAACTGGCTAATTCAGCACTTAACTTCAGTGAGGCGTACAATTAATAGCGATAGAGTAAGTAAAAAGAGAATATACCCAGCTAGCCTCATTGAATATTGGGAGTTGTTAAAACTCATGGAACTAAGGTATTGGACATTGATATGAATTATATGGGATAATGTAATTGGAATAATGTAATATTATCTGGAAGAAGATTAAGTTGTATAATATTTTAAACCAAGGATAGACATTAGACACAGTCTCATTGACCACTAGCTATTTGACTATATTACTGAGGGAAGTTGGGACAAACTCTAAAGAGGAACTGCGAACCCTGATGCGAGACAGGGATATAAGGAGGGGGTTATCCGGGGTAGATCAGACTTAGTTCCGACCTAGTAGTAATACTACTGGATTACACCAACCCACCAGATTACACCAACCCACCAGATTACACCAACCCACCAGATTACACATGTAAGCGGTTCAAATCCTCAATCATTAGCAAAATAACTACATACCACTTTTTGAAATCAGCAGCCGTATTTTACAATATAATTTACTAGAAGCTGCAAACAGATGACGCTCTGTCGTTTTAACAATTGAAAACTGCTCGGATATTTGGTGTAATCTGGTTGGCTAATCGTTGCTATGCGCCGTTGCTATGCGCCGTTATCAATTTGCCCCACCGGCCACCAGTTTTCTAGAGGATCTAGACAAATACTTTTAAACAAAGCTTATATCCATTGTGTAACGTAAATGTGGTATGTTTCATGGAATTAATGACACGTTAGTTTGGACACCACCACGCTGTTACCAATATAGGTAACGTCTATATTATATTAACAATATAACAATATATAGCGTCTAGCCACTATTGTAGAATTAAAGTAAGTTACAATGTCTACAATAATTATAATAGCGCCTGGTCGGCGACAAGCAATTAGAAGGTAGGCACAACTCACAAGGCATAAGGGAGCCTCTATTATTAACAGCGTGGGCCGTGGGGGTCATTAATTCCATGAAACATACCACATTTACATTTACGCTACACAATGGATATAAGCTTTGTTTACAAGTATTTGTCTAGATCCTCTAGAAAACTGGTGAGTGGTGGCCACCTGCAGAGCTACCATCAATATGATTATAACGAAAAACAAACATTGGGGGGGGGGGCTGACCATATTAAAGTATATTAAAGTATATCCCCGGCCCTAAATCGGGAAAAACCTACATTTTAATATACTTTAATATACTTTAATATACCCTAAATTAGTCGAGCTATATTCTTCGTTTAGATTTGCAAGAAAAGCCTGTTTTTGGACTATTACATGAATTTACATCCAGTTTGGTCAAAAAATGGCTGAGTTATGAGCTTTAAATCATATGCCCATATTTGGGCATACGCACCAAATTTGAAAGCTTTTGCCCAAAATTCGATCAAATTTCAATATTTGTTAATGAGACTATCTTTATGTGAAAGATATAGCTCAATATCTGTTGAATAGTGGATACTAAGTAAAAAGACCTCCATGAACAAAATTGCACATAAAATATCTCGGTTTGTACTTTGTAAAATTGAAATCAGTTTTCAATATTTTTGCCTCCAAAAAGACACATAATTTCCAGCGACAGATTATAAATTGCCGGATTAAGAGATGTTGTCATTAAAGAAATGTAACTATGGCAAATTTTAAAGTTAAAAATAAAATCTGTTAACGGTTCATGATCTTCAAAGCAAGTCACTTGAAGCATTCGTTTGATACAGTGGCTTTAAAGAAGGGTATGAAATGGTGTGCGTCTCCAATAAACAGATAAATGCTGTAGGAGTTGTCTGTCTAGCTAGCCGCTATATGATATTATGCGGCGTAATGCTATTGGTTCATTTTGTTAACGGTTTTAATCGGTTGCAGTGCAACCTTCACAAGCAATCATTGTTGCGCAACCTTCCCACGAGAAGAAAAACTAAGAAGAAATAAGAATGCGATATTTAGGTTACCTGGTTACCAGATAGCAGAGGGCTAAAACAGAAAGGACGATGACGTCATGGATCCTTAGCGTATTCAGAGATAGGTCACGCTTCCTCATGCTCACACTCTACAAAACCCTGGTGAGAAGCAAACTCGAATACTGCTGCCCGGTGTGGAACCCGGACAAGATCAGCGATATAGAAGCTATTGAAAGCATACAACGACACTATAACACTCGTCGAATCAGTGGCTGCCAGAACCTTGATTACTGGGAACGCCTGCAGAACCTGAATCTTCTCTCGTTACAGAGACGCAGAGAACGATACATCATAATCCATACGTATGGAAGATGATGAATGGACTAGCTCCGAACGACATCAGCATGCAGTTCAAGGAAAAAAGGCACAATTCTCAATCTCGACCCATTATGAAAACTCTTTTGGAGTAAAAGCAGCCAAACTATGGAACCTGCTCCCCAAGGAAGTTAACACAATCCAAGTCTTGGAAACTTTCAAATCCTCCCTTGCTAAATTCTTGAAAGGCTTCCCGGATACCCGCCCACAAAAGGGTATACCGCCATCACAAATAACTCTTTTTGGAATGGACTCTACAAAAAGATCTAAGCCAGGAGTGATTGGAGGCTAGGAGGTATAGTATCAGGTACTTGATACTGTTGTCCAGAAGCGATCCCTGCCGAACCTACCTAAAGTAACCCTAAGTAAGTAGATATTTGATAACCCGTTAGGATCTTTAGAAAAACTGTCTGAAAGGATATATTAATCTCCTAGCATAAAACGGGGTAATCTTCACTCAGCCCTTGTCCGAATGCTTTTTACAGTGCTAAGTGGCTCGTGTCATACTGTGGATATTATATTATTATATTATTATGTCTCAACCTAGAACATGATCACTAGCATGACAAAGCCTTTATTGAAGGTGTGTTAGCAATGAGTGCCACCTTGATAATAATATAACTGACACCCCGATAATATAACTGACACCGAGCTATAAATCTACTTACTAATACTTAGGCCGGCTGGCGAATACTCTAGGAGAGATTAGCAGATTCTCCTTCTGGATCAATGCTGGTTTGTTTAAATACTACTTGTTATACAAGACCACAATTCAGCTAAGAATTTCCATTACGGCAGTAGGGTTGCCATTATCGGTACAAAATTTTTTATCGCGATAATCGATAATTTGGCACCGTTTGGCGGTTGGGGTCTAGTTTGTTGGTCAACTGCTATCTCGAAACCAAGTTTCACAAAAAATCAGGGTGAACCACCCACCCCCACCCCCCTGTAAGGACATGTTTTATTCATAGGACAGAGAGGAGCGCGATTGGATATCCAATTATCATTAAATATTAAGGACATGTTTTATTCATAGGACAGAGAGGACCGCGATTGGATATCCAATTATCATTAAACATTATATACTTGCTTTAGGTACTTGGTATAATAGATATGATAATGATATTGGCTTGAGCTTCCATCATTTCTGTTGGACCAGGAGCTTCCTATTATCATGTTAAATTGAGTTGAATAATTAACCTTATTAAAGATACAGTGGGACGGTGGAATATGGTATTCAGTACGGAGTCTGCTCAGTAGTTTATAAATGAGCTTTAAAGAAAGATAATCTAATTTCTATCTACAAACAAACAGATAAGAATGATATGATAGAAGTATGTTTAATTTTAAACGACAGTAATAGTGTTACGTCCGACAGTGAACAGCAAAGTTAACAATCACGCTACTATTTGTAGGTTTCAGCTTTAATTTGCGATAGATATAACTTGACCCACAGATTTGTTAACTTCAATATGACAGTATGAAAATCGATAAATCCCAAAATAAATCGCGATACAGAACGAGATTATGGTTAGGTATGAAACTCCGTTATAAATACTGCAACTCCCTGTAGTTTAGAGTGAGGTTATACTAATACAGAATACTGCACTGGAAGCTATCGCACGTGGAACTAAACACTTCCGTGACACGCGTTAATCGCTGACACGAGCACCATTTCATACATCCATGTAATAATAATCACAAATATTGTCTCGAAGCAAGCCTGCAATTAAATTTGAATCCTGCAGTTAACACCATGACAGTTCCCCCACGTAGCTTCGTGTGACATGGGTCACGTGTGACATGGGTCACGTGTGACATGGGTCACGTGTGACATGGGTCAACTGCATGTGTTATTTAATTAATGGCAGTAGTAGTAGTAGTGGCAGCAGGATGACTATCACAAGGGTAGAGAGCGAATTATAAGTTATAATAAGTGCTATATTGACATTTTAAATATATTGAGTGGAGGTCAAACCACCGCTTTTTTATTCCCATCGAAGATTGGTTACACTTTCAATTAATCAATATAAAAGGATATATTCGATTGAAAACGCTAATATCTTATTTTCTTAACACATTTAAAACCCAAGGTGGAGAGTTGGACGAACGGAGAGGACTTTTTAGCTCAAATGTGCAAGTTAACCGGAAAATTACTGAAAAAGGGGGAGCCAGATCTGAACACCTGCGCTAGAATGGTATTCCAGGACTTCCAACGAGGCAAATTACCATACTTCAACGTTCCGCCAAACAGTTCCAGGGTTTGTTATTTCTTAATTTTCTAATGCCTGGTTTTACTACTTTCCTTAGCATTATTCATTTTTAACCATTTCTTGTTCATACTTTCATAGTTCAGACGCCTTCTTTACGCGAAGAGAGCACTGTTATTTCAATCGAGAGTTTTTGCTAGCCTTGTTTTAATTCAGCTTTAAAACACTATTTAATACGGTTTAATATAAACATACAAATTACAGTTTTAATGTAGAACATGATTGGTTTCTATAACATATAGTGGTATATATATAGTGTATAACTTCCGAACATTGTTATCAGAAGTCAACAGACGAAGCAATGCCGACAGCGAAAGATATGTCATTTATAGACGAGGCTAATAATGAACAATTAAAAGAAGATAACCCTGAAGATATGAAAGACATCTCAAACGAAACAACAGAAGATGCAGCTTTAACAGAAGATAACACACCAGATGATAATAATTGTGGTGAAATATCAGACGGTAATCAATTAGATACTAGTCTTCCTGAGAGGACTCCCGAGCAAGCTAAGAAACGGAGGAGAATTGTTCCTGATGATGATTGATAGAGTGGTGTTCCCTTTTTATTTTGCTTCATATCGCCAGCAAAGGCGCCTTTTAAAGTCTATTTTATGTTTTACCGTAGGGTTTTTAAGAGTTTTTGTCCGGAAACTTGACCGGGGGTAATTTATTATCGACTGTAATCGTTCATTTTAAAGAGCATTTTAATTTAAAACTAAATTGCTGCGTTTTAGTATCATCAAATTAAATTACAAGTAAAATGTTTGACGTTCCCACTTGCAACCTACAGTTACACTGAAACCATGGGACGCGACCAAAGTGCGTCTGAAAATCCGGAGGCTAAACTATAAAATGAGTTACATTGTCTTATAATATGTAATACTAATGTTCCTTAAGTACGGGAACTGAGACAAAGTGACTTCATCACTTCAACTCGAAGCATTCTCCAAATTAAAATGTGTACCATTATACCATATTCAATATTTAAGACTGATAATAATATCAAATTTGCCATATTGGATATATTCAACTACAAATGTAGTGGAAGATTGAGATTAACCATTAACTGGATATACTTCTACTACTACTATGTTGGAGCTAAGTCCGATCTACGCCAGATAACCCCCTTCATGCATATATCCCTGTCCCGCATCAGGGTTCGCAGTTCCTCTTTAGAGTTTGTCCCAACTTCCTTCAGTAACATAGACAAGTAGCTTTGTCTTGGTCGGCCTTGCTGTGCTCTACCGTGCGTAGGTTCCCATAAGACTAAATCACTGGCAAGTAGCTCAGGATGTCTGATGCAGTGTCCCGCCATTTGTAATTTCCTAACTTCGTAACTGGATATAGGGTATTATAATCATCACGATAACTAGCATGCAGCAGCACTATAGCGGTATCCACAGACTATTAATTAGAATCTTGCGATCTACTTATTCAGGGGTGATTTTAGGGATTCGTGAATCCATCGATAGAAAAATGCGACTGTTAGGGGTCGTTCACATATTACGTTCTCTTTTTTAGAACATTTTTAACCCCCCCCCCCCCCTCCGTAATCAGTTTTACATATAGCTATTGTAGTGTGTCAAAATTACACTAGCGTAATCATTCGGAACCCCCCCTCCCCCCTCAGCTGATAACGTAATATGTGAACGACCCCTTATGTCAATTAGCTGGTCGAGGGCTGCCGTACAATGGTGACGGGCTTACCTGGGGACCTCAGGCTATTATGTTCATAAACATAATAGCCGAATAGAGATTAGGCGGAATGACAGGCTGAGCGCGGCCCAGTAACTGTTCACGTGACATGGACGACCAATCAAATAGGTAATACAGTATGTAACAGGTAATACAGTATACACCTTGTCTATATGGTCTAACTCACCAAGTCAACATACATGACACATGAGATTGAGAACTAAGCAATTGAAACGTAACACATCTCACCAAATCTAGATCAAGTAACCACCATTGCATGGGAAGATGATAAATCAATTAAACCAATAAAAATTGCTTAAATAGATAAGACAGGTGCTGCGATTTTCGTGTTTTTATCTGTATAAGAAATAGGGGCGTGGTCCACGGCCAGGGCGTGGTCACAGAGTCTTGAAAATATGTTTCAACGAAATGCCATCATCACATTTATATTAGAGTAGAAAGTCTCAAAGCACAGAAATGACGCTATCATGTTAAAAAATGCGATGTTCCTTATTTTACCTGTATAAGAAACGCGCTATAAAAATGGGCGTGACCCAAGGCGACATTATCCGAAACACTAGAGTCAAAAAGATTTGTTTGCTTGTTCCTGACCCTATTGCGCCCTGTTACTGTCACCAAGATGCAGTTAGACCTAACCAGTTAGGCCTAACGTAGAGTTAGAAAGCGGCGCGCGCTACTTCGAAGAAATTTAGACGAGTAACATCCGTCAAGCCTAACTCTGCGTTAGGTCTAACTAGTTAGACCTAACTGCATCTTGAGGACAGTTAGTGTTAATCACGAAATCCTATTTTTTGAGCTTCACACTTCAGATCAAATACAATTGTCCATATTATGTGATATGTATATTATAATTAGTTAATTAATAGTTCTTAAGTAATATTGGCAAATCGATTGACCCAGTTCAACGGGTGATACTCTGTACTCGTAAAATATTTGTTCCAAATATATACAAGCACAAGACTGTCGACGAGTCCAACTCGGCGCGCGTCTCATGGTAAGTTATAAACCTTGAAATCTACAAAACTCTTATTGGGCCGCGCTCAGCCTGTCATTCCGCTTAATCTCTATTCGTTTATTTTCGTTTATGAACATAATAGCCTGAGGTCCCCAGGTAACAGGTAACAATACCTTTTTATATATCACCTCCACAGGGAGACTAAAGTGCAAAGAAACTGCTGCTGTCGCGCGCGCGCCATTTGCATCAGTTTCTTTGCACTTTAGTTTACTAGCTCCCTGTGCCTTGACCATTGTTAATGGTTTGGCCCGGCGCGCGCTACTTTGTAGCACTTGCCATCTGGCCGAAATAACATTTCGAGAAGAAAGCGACGCGCGCTATTTCGAAGAAATTTAGACGAGTAACATCCGTCAACCTGTGCCTGGCTTCGTGACCGGTGGGTCCAGTGACCCCGGCCCCATTGTCGAGCGCGAGCGAAAGCCCCAATATTGATTCACATTTCACGATGTCAATTTTTCGCATCTCGCCGATCTGCATTGTGGTTGCGAGAAGATGCGCGGCGCGGCCCGGTGGTGCATCGCGCTACAATTTTCACGTTTACTTTAAAACCAGAACTAACTCAAATCCTAAAGCATAAACAGCTCAAATATTTTTTAACAAACTGTCACACGACGTGCGCGCGTTCGACAAAAATGGTTATTTACTCATAACTCGTCAAAAAATTATTTTCATGCTATGTAGTATGTAATTATTGTATCACGTCGTGACTTGCTCTATTCAGAGCCCTTGTGCTTGCAGTAGTGCGCGCCCGCCTCTTGACTTGTGAAACAAGCGCGCCCGCAGTGGCGCGCCCGCACATGGTTAGGTGAACGTCGTGACCCCTATTGGCGTGTCACTAAGTAGCGTTTCTACGACACAGGGGGAGCCGCGCACTCGTGCGCGGCGGGTCATACAACGTAAGACATTGTAATCAGTAATAGGTTTTATTCTAAATCAGCTTAAAAAATACATTGGTATATAAGCTTAAATTAACCTTATTAAGCTTACTTTCACAATCCCACAGCTTAGGTGTCCATGTCGTTCACATATTATATAACGTAATCAATATTTTGGCAATTTTTACCCTCCTCCGTAATCAACCGTAATCAAGACCAAACCCCCCTAAATTACGTAATCAAGGTTTGACCCCCCGTAATCAAGACCCAACCCCCTATATTACGTAATCACGGATTAATGAATGAAATAATCTCAAAGCACTTACTAAACGAAAATTGGTTTAAAAAACGAAATTTTTGATTACTTGATTGACGATGTCAACCCTTTCTAGCTCGGCGCGACCCAGTGGTGCATCTCGCCGATCTACGGAAGGTTGCGAGAAGCATTATTGGATGCGCGCGCGACCCAGTAGTGCATCGCGCTACAATTTGATTACATAATTAACGAAAATTGTCCAATTGGTATTTTGAAAATCGGTAAAAAATAAAAATTTTGATTACGTTATCAACGACCAAAACCCCCCCCCCACAGGAGGAGCAAAGTGCAAAGAAACTTCTACTAACTGCTACTAACTGCTACTAACTGCTACTAACTGCCACTAACTGCCACTAACTGCCACTAACTGCCACTAACTGCTGCACACGGCGCGCGAATGCGTGGGCGCGAATGCGTGGGCGCGATTGCAGCAGTTAGTGGCAGTTAGTGGTAGTTAGTGGCAGTTAGTAGCAGTTAGTAGCGGTTAGTAGCAGTTTCTTTGCACTTTGCTCCTCCTGTGCCCCGTAATCAACCGTAAGCATTTAAAAACCCCCCTCGGCTGATTACGTAATATGTGAACGACCCCTTACTCAATACTCATAATATATAAAACAAAAACGTATAAGCATGTACACAGAACGTCAAAATCTAATATGTAATAGTGCCCTCAGCTCTGGCACCCCGCGACTCAAGTGTCAAGGTTTTACTGGTTAAGTAAAAGTAGTTTGATTATTTATAAACGTTGCATACCTGGCCTCGGCCGGTGCGAGAAAAGTGAAAGTATACAACGCAAATGCGTGTATAAAAAATAAAAATTTGCTGCAACTGATTTATAAGCACCACTAATAATTAAATGCACTGTTTTACTTGATACAAAGCATTCAGAATAATTCATGGCTCATGCCATAATGTAAAAAAAGTAACCCACCGCAATTTTATTTTTGTAAGACCCAGGACCCGTAATATAAGTCTCGCAAAGGTATATTATACTACTTCTTTTTTCTTCTATCAGTTGTGATGGAATTGTAATGAACAAAATCCATATATAATAATTTATGATATGTTTGATTTCTTGTTATTGTATGTCATTCAAATTTGGTAGACGGCCCCAACGTTAATGTGGCTCTTGCTATGTGTTGGTTCAGCCGAATTAATTAGTATGTAATCAAGATCATTTTACTCTTTTAGTTAGTTGTCTTCCGGCCAAACATTAAGCAACTTATATTGCAGTACCATTTATCAATTAGTATATCTAAATATTGTAATTTTGTATGGCTGAAATGTAACGCTTGATTTGTATATATACAAATTTTTTTTAATTTGAAAATTCAATTAATCATCATATATATATATGATAATTAATTGAATTTTCAAATAAAAAAATAACTAAAAACAAGAAATACAAAATAAGAAGTTTCAAGTTCAGCGAAACTAAACTATCTTCTATAGACTTTACAAAACCATTTCTGCCAGATGTATCTAATTTAGTATTTACTAATCCTTTTGGTTTTATTTGAAATGCTTATGATTTAAAATCGTCTTATAATTATTATGGCGACATGTATACTGGCACGCCACCCCCTCTTTTTCACTATTGTCATTATAAACTAAGAACTCTTTGAGAGAATAGAAAGATTCCAGGATGAATCTTTCTGGACAAATTTGGCCAAGTTCCGAAAATTGTAAGTTGACATTTTAAAATTTAGCAGAGTTATTACCATATCAAAATATGGCAGACATGTGATCTCAGCACCCAATCAGTTATCTCCTCACTCAATCAATGGCCTGTTTGGTTCACATGCACAGCTTGATTGGTTGCAGGATTCTTAGAAGCTGATCCTTTTGGCTGACAGCTGCACCTGAAGCGATGTAACACAACCCGGATAAAGTGGTGCAGAAAAAGGCTTTTTCTGGAAGGTAATAATCTGGTGCGCCATCAGCTTGTACTTACGAGGAAAACGGAGTAGAGCAAGAAAGAAAACAACAATTTCAAGAAAAAAAGTTCACCATGCGTATCTGCTGACAAAATAAATGAAGGAACAACAAACATCCCACAGCTGCTTAAGTGCCATTTAATAATAATTTAATTTAATTTAATTTGACGAACATCATTAACAATATAGACCCATAGCTTGCTGTTTATGATTATCGGAGTGTAAAAAAGCTATGAGCTATCCCACAAGGTGCTTGCAGCTGCGTGAAGGCATTTTGAACATCTTTGAATCATTATTTTATTATGTAGGAATTTTTTTAACATGATCAGATCATCGTCTCCCCAACATTCTTGGTACCTCCTTATGAGGTGCATTGTTGCGTGTTAGCGACTAGCTTCTGATGAGATCACTGATTAAATGATCAGGTAACTGATTGAGTGCCGAGATCACGTATCTGCCAAAATTTCAAATGGTTTTAACTCAACTAAATTTTCAACTATCGACTTGAAATTTTGTAAAAAATTTTCAATTTTCTGACCAAATGTATCTCAAAGCGTTCTCATTTTATGACAATAATAGTGAAAAAGAGGGAGTGCTTTTAGGAAGTCTAAGTTTGACCCATATCTGTAATATCTGAAATTTTGATATGCTGACATAAATTACACGAGTTGTGTGTTACTTCTCGCCCACCCTGTATACAATTTTCCCTTCTTTTTCTACCTCAGAGTATGCTTTCAGATCATAGCATGAAATGTTCAGTGACATTATGAGGTTTGGTAAAAAGAAGCAGAGCAATGCCTCTATTAAAATGGTGAGTTGTAAATGAAAACTGACAATTGTTCTCTTTATTGTCTTTACAGAAAGAAAGAAGTGAGCTAGTCCATATTGAAAACAACTCGTAGACAGTACTGAGTACAAGTTTCAAAATTAAATTATTAGGATTTAAGAGAGATTTGAAAAAAGCACACTCCCCAAATTGTGCACATTGCAATAACTTCTTTTGAACTTCATGAATCACATGCATATAATTAGAGGTGGTAAATATTGCTGATGTAGTTCCCACAGGAAATTATTGAGATCCACGAGGATATCTGCTGTCTCACTATTGATGAGTGCCTAACGTTAGTGGAACTCTCTGAGCAGTTTTATATTGTTATTTATATCTGCCTTGGTTAACTTCTTTCAGAATGAACTATCACCTTTATTAAAGTAAGATTTTTCCCTAGTAAAGTAACGAATATTTCTCAGTTTTGCTCAAGAAGAGCACCAGATAATGCAGTTTGTTGGAGCTAATCAAAGATCTCAGCGTAAACTTCTGCGTTATGACTTAGAAACACACCAATTGGCAGTGAAAGGTGTAGGCCACAGCTCCAAAATAGATCTCATCAAATGTGAAGACATAAAAGAGGTAAGTAAACTATAAAACCATGGCAAGTATGTCCCCGACGCATAGTCAGCTACGTTTTATCCCTGCAACTAAAATTCTGCGACTGAACTTCAAAGTTCTTTGAATTTATAACCTCGGGAAACCGAGTAGGTTAACTCAGTTTTACTATAAAATTTCAAATTAGAAGAAGTAATTCAGTCTAGTTTTGTGTTTTCGTAGGTACGCTATGCTGCAGAGTGTTTCCAGCTACAAAAACAGTACGAAGATATTGAGGTGGATCTTTGTGTCGCTATTAAGTATAAAAACGGGGACAACTTTCTTTGGAGCTCCTTCAGATTTGAAGGTAAATAAGCGCCATTCGCCATATTTTCACTGATGCTTAAATTACCTATTATAAGGTTTTAGCGCTATATAATTCCGTATGAAAAATAAAATTAGAAAAACGTACAATGTACATCTGTACAAAAATAGAAAACATAATTTCAGCGTTTGACCCGGACTCAGCCCAGAAATGGGTGCACACTTTACGAACTCTACAGAAAGCTGCTCTACACAAACAGAGTGTCCGGCGGTACAAGTCTCTATTTGTACACCGCTTCCCTTATCAGCTGGAGTCTATTGGTGGCTCCAAGTAAGTCGTGCTGGTCACGTGCTGGTCACGTGCTGGTCACGTGCTGGTCACGTGCTGGTCACGTGCTGGTCACGTGCTGATCACGTGCTGATCACGTGCTGGTCACGTGCTGGTCACGTGCTGGTCTTTTTAGGAATAACCTTTAATAAATATTTCGTGCATTTTATTATTCTGATACCAGCTATTCGGCAATGGTAGACGTGCAATTTAAAGTATTTGCAACTCGTCATCAAAATAAAAACTAAAACGGTGTAATTTTCCTAGAGCGATCAGTCCAAAGGATTTGAAGGTGTTTCTCTGTGATCACATGAACTACAAATTAGAAATTGATGAGCTCAGTAAAATTATGAAGGTACGCTCTCAAGCTAACTATTACAATTTCTAATAGCCGAAAATTCTGGTTTAGAATAAATCTTGACTTTGGTTTCGATAAACGTTACCCTAATCATTAGCATGCATGTTCGATGTTTGTCCATCAATGAAGTATCGATTTAAACTTGTAGTCAGGTATAATTGTTTACAAATCAGGAGGAAGGGCTAGAAGAAGAAGATTGCAACATTGAACTACCTAACCTAATGTTAGTTAATTAGGTATAATTAGGTATAATTAGGTATAATTAGGTATAATTATGTATGATTAGGTATAATTAGGTATAATTAAGTATAATTAAGTATAATTAGGTATAATTAAGTATAATTAGGTATAATTAGGTATAATTAGGTATAATTAGGTATAATTAATTAGGTATAATTGTTTACAAATCAGGAGGAAGGGCTAGAAGAAGAAGATTGCAACATTGAACTACCTAACCTGGTGAACATCTTCAACAAACTAACATATGAAGACAAGGTATGGACACTAAACAGTAGGGATCCCAGTAGGGAGCCCCCTGTACTCCACTGGACACTGAACAGTGTGCTTTTTTTTTTTTTTTTTTTTTTTTTTTTTTTTTTTTTTTTGTTTTTTTTTTTTTTTTTTTTTTTAAATGAGGAACCTGCCAAACCCCAGGACACCAGGACAGTGTGCTTTTGCTAATTACTTTTATTCGCACCACACTTGGCAACATTATGCTGTTCAGCGGGAATAATGAACAAGCCCTGCACCCTTTAACACCTAGATAATAGATTGCTTAATTAAGATTAGCATGGAGTGTAGTAGGATTGGCAGAATCTTTTAGTTTTTCATTTTTCACTGAACGTCTACGACAAAGTTTCAATAAACTTTGACCGATGGAATTCTTAAAATAGGTACTTAGTTGTACTTTAGCTGGTAATTCATATTAACTATAATAACTACAATACTACTGTACATTAGCTGGTAATTCATATTAACTATAATATATAATAACTACAATATATAATAACTACAATACTAGTTACTGTACTTTGTATCAATAACGATTATTCCTCAGATAATTGACAATCTCTATCGCCTTCAAGAAGGCACGTCTGATGAACCAATCTTCAAAAACAGGTACCTACCCATATTCCATTACTTTACCTCTCCTTTGATCACATTTAGTACACACTCAAATTGTAAAGTATTTTCCTCTGTCCTTAGCGTAAGGACCTGGTCAGTGGTCAGGGAAGGGTTGTAAATGTTGTGTAGTTGTTGTGTAGTTGTTGTGTAGTTGTTGTGTAGGGGTGTAGGAACCCCTGTTGTAGTGTTGTTGTGTCAGAGTGTTACGTAACTGTGATAATTGGTAGACAGTGGAGCGTGGGATGGCACTTGTCAGGTTATATTGGTGTGATGTCATGAGTAATGTGTGTAGTACAACACAGTCACACCTGCAAACTGGTCAATACAGTATCACACCTCCGCATTGTTACTGTACTGTCACACCTCCACATTGTTACTGTACTGTCACACCTCCACATTGTTACTGTACTGTCACACCTCCACATTGTTACTGTACTGTCACACCTCCACATTGTTACTGTACTGTCACACCTCCACATTGTTACTGTACTGTCACACCTCCACATTGTTACTGTACTGTCACACCTCCACATTGTTACTGTACTGTCACACCTCCACATTGTTACTGTACTGTCACACCTCCACATTGTTACTGTACTGTCACACCTCCACATTGTTACTGTACTGTCACACCTCCACATTGTTACTGTACTGTCACACCTCCACATTGTTACTGTACTGTCACACCTCCACATTGTTACTGTACTGTCACACCTCCACATTGTTACTGTACTGTCACACCTCCACATTGTTACTGTACTGTCACACCTCCACATTGTTACTGTACTGTCACACCTCCACATTGTTACTGTACTGTCACACCTCCACATTGTTACTGTACTGTCACACCTCCACATTGTTACTGTACTGTCACACCTCCACATTGTTACTGTACTGTCACACCTCCACATTGTTACTGTACTGTCACACCTCCACATTGTTACTGTACTGTCACACCTCCACATTGTTACTGTACTGTCACACCTCCACATTGTTACTGTACTGTCACACCTCCACATTGTTACTGTACTGTCACACCTCCACATTGTTACTGTACTGTCACACCTCCACATTGTTACTGTACTGTCACACCTCCACATTGTTACTGTACTGTCACACCTCCACATTGTTACTGTACTGTCACACCTCCACATTGTTACTGTACTGTCACACCTCCACATTGTTACTGTACTGTCACACCTCCACATTGTTACTGTACTGTCACACCTCCACATTGTTACTGTACTGTCACACCTCCACATTGTTACTGTACTGTCACACCTCCACATTGTTACTGTACTGTCACACCTCCACATTGTTACTGTACTGTCACACCTCCACATTGTTACTGTACTGTCACACCTCCACATTGTTACTGTACTGTCACACCTCCACATTGTTACTGTACTGTCACACCTCCACATTGTTACTGTACTGTCACACCTCCACATTGTTACTGTACTGTCACACCTCCACATTGTTACTGTACTGTCACACCTCCACATTGTTACTGTACTGTCACACCTCCACATTGTTACTGTACTGTCACACCTCCACATTGTTACTGTACTGTCACACCTCCACATTGTTACTGTACTGTCACACCTCCACATTGTTACTGTACTGTCACACCTCCACATTGTTACTGTACTGTCACACCTCCACATTGTTACTGTACTGTCACACCTCCACATTGTTACTGTACTGTCACACCTCCACATTGTTACTGTACTGTCACACCTCCACATTGTTACTGTACTGTCACACCTCCACATTGTTACTGTACTGTCACACCTCCACATTGTTACTGTACTGTCACACCTCCACATTGTTACTGTACTGTCACACCTCCACATTGTTACTGTACTGTCACACCTCCACATTGTTACTGTACTGTCACACCTCCACATTGTTACTGTACTGTCACACCTCCACATTGTTACTGTACTGTCACACCTCCACATTGTTACTGTACTGTCACACCTCCACATTGTTACTGTACTGTCACACCTCCACATTGTTACTGTACTGTCACACCTCCACATTGTTACTGTACTGTCACATCCTCCACATTGTTACTGTACTGTCACACCTCCACATTGTTACTGTACTGTCACACCTCCACATTGTTACTGTACTGTCACACCTCCACATTGTTACTGTACTGTCACACCTCCACATTGTTACTGTACTGTCACACCTCCACATTGTTACTGTACTGTCACACCTCCACATTGTTACTGTACTGTCACACCCCCACATTGTTACTGTACTGTCACACCTCCACATTGTTACTGTACTGTCACCTCCACATTGTTACTGTACTGTCACACCTCCACATTGTTACTGTACTGTCACACCTCCACATTGTTACTGTACTGTCACACCTCCACATTGTTACTGTACTGTCACACCTCCACATTGTTACTGTACTGTCACACCTCCACATTGTTACTGTACTGTCACACCTCCACATTGTTACTGTACTGTCACACCTCCACATTGTTACTGTACTGTCACACCTCCACATTGTTACTGTACTGTCACACCTCCACATTGTTACTGTACTGTCACACCTCCACATTGTTACTGTACTGTCACACCTCCACATTGTTACTGTACTGTCACACCTCCACATTGTTACTGTACTGTCACACCTCCACATTGTTACTGTACTGTCACACCTCCACATTGTTACTGTACTGTCACACCTCCACATTGTTACTGTACTGTCACACCTCCACATTGTTACTGTACTGTCACACCTCCACATTGTTACTGTACTGTCACACCTCCACATTGTTACTGTACTGTCACACCTCCACATTGTTACTGTACTGTCACACCTCCACATTGTTACTGTACTGTCACACCTCCACATTGTTACTGTACTGTCACACCTCCACATTGTTACTGTACTGTCACACCTCCACATTGTTACTGTACTGTCACACCTCCACATTGTTACTGTACTGTCACACCTCCACATTGTTACTGTACTGTCACACCTCCACATTGTTACTGTACTGTCACACCTCCACATTGTTACTGTACTGTCACACCTCCACATTGTTACTGTACTGTCACACCTCCACATTGTTACTGTACTGTCACACCTCCACATTGTTACTGTACTGTCACACCTCCACATTGTTACTGTACTGTCACACCTCCACATTGTTACTGTACTGTCACACCTCCACATTGTTACTGTACTGTCACACCTCCACATTGTTACTGTACTGTCACACCTCCACATTGTTACTGTACTGTCACACCTCCACATTGTTACTGTACTGTCACACCTCCACATTGTTACTGTACTGTCACACCTCCACATTGTTACTGTACTGTCACACCTCCACATTGTTACTGTACTGTCACACCTCCACATTGTTACTGTACTGTCACACCTCCACATTGTTACTGTACTGTCACACCTCCACATTGTTACTGTACTGTCACACCTCCACATTGTTACTGTACTGTCACACCTCCACATTGTTACTGTACTGTCACACCTCCACATTGTTACTGTACTGTCACACCTCCACATTGTTACTGTACTGTCACACCTCCACATTGTTACTGTACTGTCACACCTCCACATTGTTACTGTACTGTCACACCTCCACATTGTTACTGTACTGTCACACCTCCACATTGTTACTGTACTGTCACACCTCCACATTGTTACTGTACTGTCACACCTCCACATTGTTACTGTACTGTCACACCTCCACATTGTTACTGTACTGTCACACCTCCACATTGTTACTGTACTGTCACACCTCCACATTGTTACTGTACTGTCACACCTCCACATTGTTACTGTACTGTCACACCTCCACATTGTTACTGTACTGTCACACCTCCACATTGTTACTGTACTGTCACACCTCCACATTGTTACTGTACTGTCACACCTCCACATTGTTACTGTACTGTCACACCTCCACATTGTTACTGTACTGTCACACCTCCACATTGTTACTGTACTGTCACACCTCCACATTGTTACTGTACTGTCACACCTCCACATTGTTACTGTACTGTCACACCTCCACATTGTTACTGTACTGTCACACCTCCACATTGTTACTGTACTGTCACACCTCCACATTGTTACTGTACTGTCACACCTCCACATTGTTACTGTACTGTCACACCTCCACATTGTTACTGTACTGTCACACCTCCACATTGTTACTGTACTGTCACACCTCCACATTGTTACTGTACTGTCACACCTCCACATTGTTACTGTACTGTCACACCTCCACATTGTTACTGTACTGTCACACCTCCACATTGTTACTGTACTGTCACACCTCCACATTGTTACTGTACTGTCACACCTCCACATTGTTACTGTACTGTCACACCTCCACATTGTTACTGTACTGTCACACCTCCACATTGTTACTGTACTGTCACACCTCCACATTGTTACTGTACTGTCACACCTCCACATTGTTACTGTACTGTCACACCTCCACATTGTTACTGTACTGTCACACCTCCACATTGTTACTGTACTGTCACACCTCCACATTGTTACTGTACTGTCACACCTCCACATTGTTACTGTACTGTCACACCTCCACATTGTTACTGTACTGTCACACCTCCACATTGTTACTGTACTGTCACACCTCCACATTGTTACTGTACTGTCACACCTCCACATTGTTACTGTACTGTCACACCTCCACATTGTTACTGTACTGTCACACCTCCACATTGTTACTGTACTGTCACACCTCCACATTGTTACTGTACTGTCACACCTCCACATTGTTACTGTACTGTCACACCTCCACATTGTTACTGTACTGTCACACCTCCACATTGTTACTGTACTGTCACACCTCCACATTGTTACTGTACTGTCACACCTCCACATTGTTACTGTACTGTCACACCTCCACATTGTTACTGTACTGTCACACCTCCACATTGTTACTGTACTGTCACACCTCCACATTGTTACTGTACTGTCACACCTCCACATTGTTACTGTACTGTCACACCTCCACATTGTTACTGTACTGTCACACCTCCACATTGTTACTGTACTGTCACACCTCCACATTGTTACTGTACTGTCACACCTCCACATTGTTACTGTACTGTCACACCTCCACATTGTTACTGTACTGTCACACCTCCACATTGTTACTGTACTGTCACACCTCCACATTGTTACTGTACTGTCACACCTCCACATTGTTACTGTACTGTCACACCTCCACATTGTTACTGTACTGTCACACCTCCACATTGTTACTGTACTGTCACACCTCCACATTGTTACTGTACTGTCACACCTCCACATTGTTACTGTACTGTCACACCTCCACATTGTTACTGTACTGTCACACCTCCACATTGTTACTGTACTGTCACACCTCCACATTGTTACTGTACTGTCACACCTCCACATTGTTACTGTACTGTCACACCTCCACATTGTTACTGTACTGTCACACCTCCACATTGTTACTGTACTGTCACACCTCCACATTGTTACTGTACTGTCACACCTCCACATTGTTACTGTACTGTCACACCTCCACATTGTTACTGTACTGTCACACCTCCACATTGTTACTGTACTGTCACACCTCCACATTGTTACTGTACTGTCACACCTCCACATTGTTACTGTACTGTCACACCTCCACATTGTTACTGTACTGTCACACCTCCACATTGTTACTGTACTGTCACACCTCCACATTGTTACTGTACTGTCACACCTCCACATTGTTACTGTACTGTCACACCTCCACATTGTTACTGTACTGTCACACCTCCACATTGTTACTGTACTGTCACACCTCCACATTGTTACTGTACTGTCACACCTCCACATTGTTACTGTACTGTCACACCTCCACATTGTTACTGTACTGTCACACCTCCACATTGTTACTGTACTGTCACACCTCCACATTGTTACTGTACTGTCACACCTCCACATTGTTACTGTACTGTCACACCTCCACATTGTTACTGTACTGTCACACCACCACATTGTTACTGTACTGTCACACCTCCACATTGTTACTGTACTGTCACACCTCCACATTGGTCACTGTACAGCTAAATTAACCCCATTTTACCAGATCTTCAGTAATAGTGAGTACTACTCGTTTATCAGGGAAGTACTATCACACCTCAACATCACACCTCTTTTACCAGGGAAGGAGTGATAACCATCACAGAATTAGAGGATTTCTTAGTTTCCGAACAAAAGTCAGAGGTCCCAGCGTCGGTTATCATGAACAGATACGGCAACGAGGGAGTCATAACTAAAAACCAGGTAGTTAGTTAGTTAGTTAGTTAGTTAGTTAGTTAGTTAGTTAGTTAGTTAGTTAGTTAGTTAGTTAGTTAGTTAGTTAGTTAGTTAGTTAGTTAGTTAATTAGTTAGTTAATTAGTTAGTTAGTTAGTTAGTTAGTTAGTTAGTTAGTTAGTTAGTTAGTTAGTTAGTTAGTTATTTAGTTAGTTAGTTAGTTAGTTAGTTAGTTAGTTAGTTAGTTAGTTAGTTAGTTAGTTAGTTAGTTAGTTAGTTAGTTAGTTAGTTAGTTAGTTAGTTAGTTAGTTAGTTAGTTAGTTAGTTAGTTAGTTAGTTAGTTAGTTAGTTAGTTAGTTAGTTAGTTAGTTAGTTAGTTAGTTCGTTCGTTCGTTCGTTCGTTCGTTCGTTCGTTCGTTCGTTCGTTCGTTCGTTCGTTCGTTCGTTCGTTCGTTCGTTCGTTCGTTCGTTCGTTCGTTCGTTCGTTCGTTCGTTCGTTCGTTCGTTCGTTCGTTCGTTCGTTCGTTCGTTCGTTCGTTCGTTCGTTCGTTCGTTCGTTAGTTAGTTAGTTAGTTAGTTAGTTAGTTAGTTAGTTAGTTAGTTAGTTAGTTAGTTAGTTAGTTAGTTAGTTAGTTAGTTAGTTAGTTAGTTAGTTAGTTAGTTAGTTAGTTAGTTAGTTAGTTAGTTAGTTAGTTAGTTAGTTAGTTAGTTAGTTAGTTAGTTAGTTAGTTAGTTAGTTAGTTAGTTAGTTAGTTAGTTAGTTAGTTAGTTAGTTAGTTAGTTAGTTAGTTAGTTAGTTAGTTAGTTAGTTAGTTAGTTAGTTAGTTAGTTAGTTAGTTAGTTAGTTAGTTAGTTAGTTTGTTAGTTAGTTAGTTAGTTAGTTAGTTAGTTAGTTAGTTAGTTAGTTAGTTAGTTAGTTAGTTAGTTAGTTAGTTAGTTAGTTAGTTAGTTAGTTAGTTAGTTAGTTAGTTAGTTAGTTAGTTAGTTAGTTAGTTAGTTAGTTAGTTAGTTAGTTAGTTAGTTAGTTAGTTAACATCAGATAATGTGGTATTACACGCTAGACTAAGTGTTGACTAGACAATAACTTGGTGCTCCTACGTGAAATATCGCCCGTGCGCGTTGGCACAGTGAACTTGTAGAGATTCTCCCTTTTAAAACGGGCATTGTACCGCTGTGTTGATGTAAGCACTACGTAAATACATTGACGTGGTGAAAGTATTTTCGCTTTTGGTGAAGTGCGATTCCCAGCCCTGCTCACGAACTTCCCTCCCCAGTTCCTGGACTACCTTTACTCTGACGAGAACTCTGTCTTTATGCGGAGTGAAACTGTTGACGAACTGATGGACTCACCGCTCAGCCACTATTGGATAGCTTCCTCTCACAACACGTAATATAACGTGGAGTCACGTGATTTGGGACGTGGTTTTGTCTTGTAATCTATGTAGTGTAATTTATGTAGTGTAATTTATATTATAGTGATCACACTTTGTAAGTGATTTAACAGTTTGTTGTAGTGGACTGGCGTGGTAAATAAAGTACGCATTTATTCTGACACCCAAACAGTCGACTAGTACAGTATTACAGCATTAGTTAATTAGAGTCACACTAACTTACATTAAGTTACCATGGTTACATGGTGTAACTTAGTTACCATGGTTACATGGTGTAACTTAATACACTTATCAGCACCCACCACCCATTTCAGCTGACACCAACTTGTTAGGTAACACACCAAATTTTAACGGCTTCAGATTCATTACCGGCATGATTATACGCTCTCAAATAACTGCACTTAGAAATCAAACGATATCGAGTATTATAGTAGTTAGGAATAGTTATGTATCCTCGGTACGCACCGTATTGTTTATTTCATACAAACGTCAATTTTCCTGACTGAAAATTGAGTGAAGGTTAAATCATCGGCAACTAAGAAGTAAAATATGGCGACTGTTTACAGGGTCCAACGAGTTTACTCCACCGTTCCGAGTAGGATGGTCAGTGGTCACTCTCCACTTGTAATAAATATGCAGTGACCGGGAAAATGTTAAACTAGTAAAGTAGTAAGCTCACGTATTTGAAACCAGGAATCTCAAGAACTTAGTAAGTTCGGGAAAACCAGAGAAGAAGAGTTTCTGTAGTCGAGCATCGAGCACATAAAAAGGTTCAATAGTTTGGCAATTTATAGATGATGGGATATTCTTCATTTATTATAAACAGAGGTTTGTCATGAGTACAAAATATATATTTCTCCTGACGATACAACGGTATTTGGTAAAGTTGTGAGATGTAGCCGGTAAAGTTGTGAGATGTAGCCGGTAAAGTTGTGAGATGTAGCCGGTAAAGTTGTGAGATGTAGGCTGTAGCCGGTAAAGTTGTGAGATGTAGCCGGTAAAGTTGTGAGATGTAGCCGGTAAAGTTGTGAGATGTAGGCTGTAGCCGGTAAAGTTGTGAGATGTAGCCGGTAAAGTTGTGAGATGTAGCCGGTAAAGTTGTGAGATGTAGCCGGTAAAGTTGTGAGATGTAGCCGGTAAAGTTGTGAGATGTAGCCGGTAAAGTTGTGAGATGTAGGCTGTAGCCGGTAAAGTTGTGAGATGTAGCCGGTAAAGTTTTGAGATGTAGCCGGTAAAGTTGTGAGATGTTGCCGGTAAAGTTGTGAGATGTAGCCGGTAAAGTTGTGAGATGTAGCCGGTAAAGTTGTAAGATGTAGCCGGTAAAGTTGTGAGATGTAGCCGGTAAAGTTGTGAGATGTAGCCGGTAAAGTTGTGAGATGTAGCCGGTGTGATTTTCCAGATCTGTATTTTAGTCAGGGGTTACTTGAAACGTCTCATATAATAACACAGTATCCCCATCAGTTGCAGAGTTTAGAGCCTCTATTAGTATTATATTCCTTACCAGTAACCAGTACTTCCAATTTAAATATACAGCCAGTAACATAACCTCCGGACCCGCAAGATTTCACGACCGGAGTCGTGATGCATGGCCCGGAGTGCTCAGTGCATGGCCGTGTGTCCATTGTAACTTGGCAAAGTTTAATACAATCGTATCTCGAATTATTGATAACTTGATGCCGGCTAGCGAGTACTATACCGGCATGTGGGATGGAGGTTAATTGTTAACATAAGTATGTAGTCTCGTAAACTGTAAAGATGAATATTAAAATTGTTAATGTTTTCTGATTGTATTCAACACACTCGATACTTCATTCTTCAATTGCGCAAAGTGTAAGAAATAAGTCAATAGAAACTAGCAAAAGGATCTTTTAGACAGATTAATTAAGTGCCGATTAATTAGCAATACACTCATACCTCGCCACCGTGGACTTAATATGGATTTGTCAAGGATATTTGTAATATGATATACTTAAGACTTATCTGCCGACAGTAACCATTTTAATTAACACTTATTTTAACGGCTTCTAGTTCATTACCAGTGTAACCACCGGCCACCACGGTGTAACCACCGGCCACCATGGTGTAGCTAATGGTAGTCCGTCAGCTATTCAGTTGGAGTAATCACTGAAAACATGTACATAGAAAATGGGTTTCAGGGTTTGGTGTGGACTTGAAGTGATGTGTTTGTGTGAGGAGTGGAGTAATGGAGTTGTGCATAGCCGTACTTTTATTTTAACATTTTAACAAGATATATGCAGAGTACATTTTCGTGTTCAGACACTTTCATGTCTGCTATTTGAGCAAACGTCTGAATAGTCGAGAAGCTGTCATACACAAATCTCACCTCAGCACAACTCGCCTTCTTAACGAGTACATTACTTCGTAGTTACAACAGACACATCTCATGTAGGTATTATATAGTTTGTTCTAGTTTTGGCACTGGTCTGTTGAGTGGTAACTTGTTACCGTAAACTGCACTAATCATGAGCCATATCTGATGTTAAGAAAAGATGTCAAATTTCATATTACGAAGGTTTAACACAAGTGAAATTATTTAACATTCCATTAAGACTCTTGGCCGATCGTGTATGACGCACGAATTGTAGATTTGAACACCTAAAATAAGCAGAGACTTCAAATAGGTCTACATGTTTTTAAGTTGGACCGCGCGCAGTAAATCTTGTACAGACTGCGGCGTTGCACGAGCGTTTATTATGTGTAATTAAGGCCAAGAAACCACGTGCTACTTGGATAACCGGACACCATAATACCGTCGCATCTTATCTCGTATGAAAGCGATCTTGCGGAAGATCGACAATCTTGTCGACACCCCGGAAAATAATTGGCTTGCAAATCAGAAATCTTCAGCAAGTCAGGTATTTTCTGTGGCACGTGCATAATAACATTACTAGTACACTTCCGTATGCCAGCTAACTTCACCACTTTTCCACCAATCGCTTTTCGTGGCTGTAAATTGAAATTTAAATAATACCATCACAAATTGTGGAAATGTACTTACACCTCGCCACAAACACTGCCAAATGGTTATTCGATAAGAACTGGTAACTCGTTATTCGTTTATCATTACCGACTGTCAAACCAGCGCCCACATTACTACATTACATCGTATAATAAAGACAGAAAGTGAAGATAACGGGAACACGTGATGATATTGACTCAATCTCAGGTACCTGATCGGTAATCAGTTGACGAGTAGAAGTGACGTTGAAGCGTACGTACAGGCCCTCCTATCAGGATGCAAATGTTTGGAGCTGGATGTTTGGAAGAGAGATGGAACCATTAAGATACTGCACGGTCACATGCTGACGACGATGATTAACGCGGAGGATGTTCTGGCGGCTATTGATATGTACGCCTTCAAGGTGTCCCCGTAAGTGCTACTGGAGGCTATTGATATGTACGCCTTCAAGGTGTCCCCGTAAGTGCTATTTAGTGCCCTTGTGTCCAATTCATGGCGCTTACTAATACGGTAACACCTTACCTACTAATCTCTTAACCATTGGGTGAATACATCATCCCAGGTATCCTCTAATTTTATCCATTGAGAATCATCTTGACACAGAGATGCAGGAAAAGTTTGCGAAGATGATTAAAGAAAAGCTGGGAGGTAACTATTGATAAAGTAGTAGCAAACGTATGTACCGTAGGATGAAATTTTGATATTGAATACTAACAATGACATATCAAAATAAATTGCCCAATTTGCTAATTAAATAATATACGTATCTCCCTCAGATAAGTTGTTATCAGTTCCCTTGCCAGATTCCGGCCAGCTACCCTCCCCAAACATACTTAAAAATAAGATCCTTATTAAAGACAAGAAATTTAGCAGAGAAAACGTGGATTACCGTAAGTTTAAAGTTATTGATAAATTTAGGAGCCTTATTTGTTATTGTATTTGTCGCTTTACAGCCATGATCATGTATTAACGTACAGATACACTGTAAACTAAACCGTATTTTATATTCTTGAAAAAACGTTTCAGTGAAGTCAGATATCGTGAAACGAGGTGAAGTTTACATCGAAAGTACTTTACACGTGAGTTATTCTAAAATAAACCTATTTTGATCATCTCCCTTAACAAACTAAATGAACGAACATTGCAATTTTGTACGAATTTTTGTACACATTTACCAATTGATTGGCTTCCTATCCATAAAATCTCTCAAATCTCCTCTAACTGCCAGGCAAATGACTGGAGTAAAAGAGCAGTGTTGATGACCCCCGATTTTATCTACTACTCCCACACGGAGGGAACAGATGAGGAGAGTGAGGTTGTCAGAGAGAGAAGTGAAGTGCTGACGTCACGTGCTCCCACCGCGCAGAAACTATCTGAGCTTCACCTCGCTGAGCCGTGAGTTTACTTACTGTCACGTGCCCCCGCCGCGCAGAAACTATCCGAGCTTCACCTCGCTGAGCCGTGAGTTTACTTACTGTCACGTACCCCCACCGCGCAGAAACTATCCGAGCTTCACCTCGCTGAGCCGTGAGTTTACTTACTGTCGCGTGCCCCCGCCGCGCAGAAACTATCCGAGCTTCACCTTGCTGAGCCGTGAGTTTACTTACTGTAGCGTGCCCCCGCCGCGCAGAAACTATCCGAGCTTCACCTCGCTGAGCCGTGAGTTTACTTATTGTCAAGTGCCCCCGCCGCGCAGAAACTATCCGAGCTTCACCTCGCTGAGCCGTGAGTTTACTTACTGTCATGTGCCCCCGCCGCGCAGAAACTATCCGAGCTTCACCTGATCGCTGAGCCGTGAGTTTACTTACTGTAGCGTGCCCCCGCCGCGCAGAAACTATCCGAGCTTCACCTCGCTGAGCCGTGAGTTTACTTACTGTCACGTACCCCCGCCGCGCAGAAACTATCCGAGCTTCACCTCGCTGAGCCGTGAGTTTACTTATTGTCAAGTGCCCCCGCCGCGCAGAAACTATCCGAGCTTCACCTCGCTGAGCCGTGAGTTTACTTACTGTAGCGTGCCCCCGCCGCGCAGAAAATATCCGAGCTTCACCTCGCTGAGCCGTGAGTTTATTTGCTGTCAAGATGTTTGCTGGTTTTCAGCTATGATCATCACGTGACTCAGTGCTCATCACGTGACTCAGTGCTAATCACGTGACTCAGTGCTCATGTCACGTGTATCAGGTGGTACTGGGGCGGAGTTGACGGTACAGCTGGTAATTTCTACGTTAGTGAGTACGTGAAGAGAATGATAAACCAGCTGGGACGTGACGTACAGCTAGTCGGCGACTTCGCCATCAGACCCCGGACTCAGTCTACTGGAGAATACGTCCTTCTCTTCCTTGAGTTAGTGGATACGGGATGGTTTCTACCAGTTGTTTAGATAACTGAAACTAAGCAAGAATCTGGAAAAAAGTAACCATTGTGCAGATCATTTGATGCGAACCAAGCGCAATTCGTTACGTTTCATACAATTTTCTTATTTTCTCTTACCTTATAATAACGACAAACGAACTCAACATATTCCACAGTGCTCAGAATACTCCGAAGAAGATCAAGATTCACTCACGATATGAGAAAGGATTTCCTCGTTACTTTATAGAGGAGTACTCAAATGCCCCAGTATTCGAATCTCTGTACACTCTCGTCCGGCATTATCAGAGAGTTCCTTTCTCTGTTGAGAAAAGCCCTCTAATATTGAAGAGACCTATTGAGGAACCTAGAAACTTTGCGAAAGAAACGTAAGTTATCATTTAACATGTTTGACTAAGATTTTACATTTTACATCAGGATCTTTTAGTGACCTCTGTCCTATCTTTAAACTTTATATCTCAGTTGGTTTCACTACGGTGCTACGTTTGAAGACTCAGAGAGGAGGCTCAGATATCAGAAAGTTAACGGAGCATTCCTTGTGAGGGAGCAGCCGGACAACAAGTTCAGACTGGTCTTTAGAAGTGCTGGAGCTGTGAGTCTCACTTAGTTACTTAGTTACTTAGTTACTTAGTTAATTAGTTGCTTAGTTACTTAGTTACTTAGTTACTTAGTTAATTAGTTAGTTAGTTAGTTAGTTACTTAGTTACTTAGTTGCTTAGTTACCTAGTTACTTAGTTACTTAGTTACTTAGTTACTTAGTTACTTAATTACGTAGTTGTTTAGTTACTTAGTTGCTTAGTTACTTAGTTACTATGTTACTTAGTTGCTTAGTTGCTTAGTTGCTTAGTTGCTTAGTTACTTAGTTACTATGTTACTTAGTTGCTTAGTTGCTTAGTTACCCCTTAGTTACGTAGTTGCTTAGTTGCTTAGTTACTTAGTTACTTAGTTGCTTAGTTGCTTAGTTACTTAGTTGCTTAGTTGCTTAGTTACCCCTTAGTTACTTAGTTACTTAGTTAATTAGTTACTTAGTTACATAGTTACATAGTTACTTAGTTACTTAGTTACGTAGTTACTTAGTTACTTAATTACTTAATTACTAAGTTACTTAGTTACTTAGTTACTTAGTTACTTAGTTACTTAGTTGCTTAGTTACCCCTTAGTTACTTAGTTACTTAGTAACTTAGTTACTTAGTTACTTAGTTAGTTAGTTACTTAATTACTTAGTTGCTTAGTTACCTAGTTACTTAGTTACTTAGTTACTTAGTTACTTAGTTACTTAGTTACTTAGTTACTTAGTTACTTAATTACTTAGTTACTTAGTTACTTAGTTACTTAGTTAGTTAGTTACTTAGTTACTTAGATATTTTGATAGACGAAACCGAAACTTCGATTTATCCAGACTCCAACTGCATAAAATAACATTTTTGACTCGGTTTTCTACATTAAAGTGACAATAAATTTCAGGTGAGATCCTGTAAAATAGGGCAGGACGGGAGACTCTGGGTCATTGGCAAGTCTCAGTTTGAGGGATTGACTCAGCTGATAGAGTATTATAAGAAGAGACCTCTCTACATCACCAAGAACAACCAGGAGATAAAGCTGACCAAACCCGTTGAGATGATCCCTTTGAATGAGGTTTCAATACTACTGACAAGTTACCAAAATATACAGCAGCACGAAACATTATTAAATAAATGTGAAATCCTTCGACTTAAAATGTAATATTTATTGTTACCTTACCCTCCTCCAGGCTTCTTCACCCTCACAATACGAACTTATAAACAAAGCGTACGTGACAGAGGAGGAGATAAGAGAGCGTCCTGATGAGGTGTACGAGGCGGAGGAGGATTACAGAGGACGAGGAGACAACGAGCTTACCTTCCTAAGGGGGAGCATCATTAGGAATGTGGAGCAGGACCCTGATTACGTGGGCTGGTGAGTTCGTGTTCATTGAGGAAAGTTCCTGTTCATTGAGGAAAGTTCCTGTTCATTGAGGAAAGTTCCTGTTCATTGAGGAAAGTTCCTGTTCATTTAGGAAAGTTTCTGTTCATTGAGGAAAGTTCCTGTTCATTTAGGAAAGTTCCTGTTCATTGAGGAACGTTCCTGTTCATTGAGGAAAGTTCCTGTTCATTTAGGAACGTTCCTGTTCATTTAGGAAATTTCCTGTTCATTTAGGAAAGTTCCTGTTCATTGAGGAACGTTCCTGTTCATTTAAGAAAGTTCCTGTTCATTGAGGAACGTTCCTGTTCATTGAGGAAAGTTCCTGTTCATTGAGGAAAGTTCCTGTTCATTGAGGAAAGTTCCTGTTCATTGAGGAAAGTTCTTGTTTATTTAGGTTGGAAACATTGAAAATGTAGATGCAATATGTTGTCCGAAACCACATGGGTAGGTCACATGTTCACTGTATTGCAGGTGCTTTGGAGACTACGGGCCGAGAAGGGGGAAGAGGTTCCCAAAAAAGGTGGTCAAGTTGTATGAGTGGGAGGAGGAGGAGAATACCGACAATCCACTAGGTATAAACTAGTAGTAACAAGTATTAGTGGTTACCGACAATCCACTAGGTATAAACTAGTAGTAACAAGTATTAGTGGTTACTATGAATTATTAGTACCTCTGTGATTTGACTATTCGTGTATCTTTCACAGACAATTACCATTCACAAACTGAAATGATTGAATCAGCCAATTGAAAGCATTCTACTGTCAGGTAACATGTGCGACGGAATGATAAACTTGAAGAGATCAGTAACCCGATTTCACACTGTATCCGACAACAACTTCATCCCTCACTACATCTCTATCAAATGCGAGGGCAGGGAAGAGTACAGGATGGGCTTCAAACAGTACGAAGATATGGAAAAATGGCACGAAGCTATCACAAACGTCCGGAAGAATAAACCGAACAACAAGAAGCCAGCCAAAGTTAAACAAGCACCCACCTATTCAGCTCTCGTGATTTATGTCATGGCAGTACCGGCACCCTCCGAGTTTACCTCTGAGTACATATCAGCTCTAAACTATCGGGAAATGTCTTCATTCGCTGAAAACAAATTAGAGGGATATGTTCAAAAAGCATCCGCTGCCAACCTCCTCTCCTTTACTAGCACGTGCATGGCGCGCGTGTATCCCAAGATGTGGCGAACTAACTCCTCCAACTACGATCCCTTGTTAGCTTGGAATTACGGAATCCAGCTGGTGGCCCTCAATTATCAGACCCCAGACAAGGCCATGCAGCTGAACTGGGGCAAGTTTCACAACAGTAACGGTGGCTGTGGTTATGTCAAGAAACCTTACGAGATGGTAACCAACAAGTTTGATCCAAGACAGGACTCCTTTTCAAACTCAGTGGCATTGTTCATCAAAGTGTTGGGTGGAAGAATGTGTTTTAGCGAGGCAGGTAACTCCCCCAAAGTTAGGATATCATTGGAGGGGCTGGACTGTGATATTACCTCTAATGAAACTCTTCCTGCTAAGTCAAGTACCTGTCCCTTCTGGGGGGATGGCAAGGTTATCAGCTTGCTTTGTCTGAACCCCGATATGGCCATGATCAGGTTTGAGGTGACGGATTGTAACGATTTTGGGGACGAGAAGTTTATTGGACACTGCACGTTTCCAGTGAAGCAGTTGAGGTCAGGATGGAGATCGGTGATCCTGTATGATGGGCACGGAAACGAGAAACACATGGCAAAACTGGTGGTTCATGTTGAGAAGGAGGTGCTAAAGAGCACGGATCCCGAGAGAGAGAAGAAGAGGATAAGAGGAGAGATACAGCAACTCAATGAGTTCTTCAGTGACAGGGAGGATGTCACCGCAGAAGATATTAGTAGACTCAAGCACATTGAAGATAAATATTTCGAGATGGTGTTTCAGAGGAATCGATCTGATTTAGATGCGAAAAGGTAAACATCTTCGTATTCTTCATTCTTGTATATCATTAATATTTTTCCATTATAATTTATATGGAAGTGAATTTTCCATGTCATTACAGCACTGTTTTGGGGTTAAAATGTATGTTGATTGATCTTTTTAAATTGATTTCCGTGATCAAAGCACTGAACGTTCAAAGTCTAATAAAACCGCAGCATTGTTGATTTGGAAAGTTTGATTAGGGAATTTTATCTGTTACGTAGATAGATGTGACACCAAGATAAAGCAAAGCATCTTAAATTACCCCTAGAGAGGTGAGTTACTATTTGACTACTAGTTTCTATTTTACGATCGTAATATCATGTTTTAATGTCAAACATGAATTCAATAATGATATTTAGAGATTGTACGAAGATCAGCATGACCGACCATTTCAAAAAATAACAGGAAGATTGGTAAGGGTATTGAAAACGGTTCTCACTTTCCAGGTTAGGATCACTCGGGGACATAACTGAGGAAGTGAGTCACACTCGGACATTATCTCGCGGTAAAACGTATGTCCGGCTGACCAGCACGAGAAAACCAAAAGCTCCGCTAAGAGAAATCACTCTGAATAGGGAATGAGGAGAATACTGATCCTTCAAGGAATTTAGGAGGGGGAGGTATGATTGTCAATCATGTTATTAATTTGTCCTTCATTTCACGTTTGTTTAAGACGCACATCCGTAGTAATGACTGGTGTGCTGGGTCACACAACTCATGCGGCAAGTCTTAAAATTGATTTTTTAAAGATTTTCGATTGAAAATGTTGTGTTTTTCGTTGAATTTTAATTTTGATACCTGTTTTGATACCTGTTTTTTCTTTCTTTTGACTACCAGCGGTACTTATGTTGTTGAGAATATTGTTTGATGTTTTACGAGTGGGCCCAATATTGACTAATGAGCTTGAAAGTAAAACTAAAAAGTACTTAATCATGATCATTTTGAAAACACGCTGACATAGCTCACCTGTGACTTAAATTGTGATTTAAATTTGACTGATTTAATTGATTGCTATTTCAAATTGTTTAAAGTATTTGATTTATTGTGATTTGAAACATTTATTTTAGATGTAAAATAAAAGATTGCTAATATTCAGTGTTTGGGAACCTTATCTATTTACTGGCCCTCTTTCCTGCTACACAGTCTGTTTCTTTAATTCAGATAATATAATTCGAAAAGCCAAATATTTCACAGAAAGGAATGGTGAAACCAAGGTAATATGACGCAAAATCACTAAATTTTTGGGGGATGGGGGCCATTTCCCCAACTTCTGGCCAAATGGGCATAGATAGACAAAGCCTTAAAGTTAAAAACAGCTTAGAATTTATTCATATTACGAAAACAATATCAGAAATATTAATTTTTTTTCGATTTTAACAGAAAAATGAAGGAAATCACGAAATTTTGCCCCAAATTTAAGTCAACAGACGTCGATTGGCATAGATGGGGTTGCCCCCCCCCCTACAATTTTTCTTATGAATTGAGATGACAACTAACCATCGTTGACGTAGTATTTTGATTTTATATTGAATATTTCTATTTTGGTTGAAAAGTAAAGTATGGGCGTTTCATTTTGGTTCTGAGATACATTAGAATAGATTTTTATACTTTAATCCCGTTTTATTTATTTACATTTACCAAAACCAAAACGTCACTCACTGTTTCAGGAGGGTGCATCCCAGAGAAAGTTTTACAAAACGACAATTCTTATTTTCTCATTTTTGTTCCATTTCCAAATATGATATTTCCTAATATTTTCTTGATATGAACAGAAATTTCACAGATTTAACGAAATTTGCGTCCAGTGACCAATTAGTCAGTTAATTATGTAAAAATTAGAAATTAGAAATTAGAAATTAGAAAGATCATAATACATACAATTTTACAATTTACATGTGTCAGATCCAGACCAACTAAATGAAAATTATTTAACCAAACAGTAAACATACCAAAAATAAAGAAATGATTTTAAAATGACCACGGACTATGGATACTATAAGAGTCACAGTTTACTTTTAGGAAATTAAATCTTTCACGAAATAAGAAAACTAAACAATATTTCTAGTCTCAAGAAACTAGTTTGTGAAGTTTCGTGCTGTTTCTCTGTCTGATCTCCTCCAATCCAAAACTGCTTTTGATTTCGTTGTAAAATACAATTTAATTGGTGTTTTGGGACAAAGTGAGAGTCCCCGCTCAGTGGAGACTCTCACATTGTCACAAAACATTAATTATATGGTCGACCCACTCAAAAGAGTGAAAACAGATTATTATTTTAAAATACAATTTGATAAGTTATTTCCTGATACAAACAGAAATTTCACAGATTTAACGGAATTTTTGTCCAGTGACCAATTAGTGAGTTATCTATGACACGATACCAATAAGTGAGTTAACTATGACATGAGACCGGTAGTCCCTACAATTAGTGAGTTAACTATGACATGAGACCGGAAGTTCCTACAATTAGTGAGTTAACTATGACATGAGACCGGTAGTCCCTACAATTAGTCAGTTAACTATGACATGAGACCGGTAGTCCCTACAATTAGTCAGTTAACTATGACATGAGACCGGAAGTCCCTACAATTAGTGAGTTAACTATGACATGAGACCGGAAGTCCCTACAATTAGTGAGTTAACTATGACATGAGACCGGTAGTCCCTACAATTAGTGAGTTAACTATGACATGAGACCGGAAGTTCCTACAATTAGTGAGTTAACTATGACATGAGACCGGTAGTCCCTACAATTAGTCAGTTAACTATGACATGAGACCCTATGGAAGTAAGATTCCTGTCGGACAAAGCACCACAAAAGAGAAAATCATACTGTAAAACTCTTGTCCCATTTTTTAATTTCGAAGGTGATATTTACTGGCCTGAAATTACACAGTTTTTACTGAATTATTGTCCAGTGAGCAATAAGACAGTTTCTTGATGGTTTTATTAACCGCTCAAGTATATATTTCAATAGTTTAAAGTGTATAAGATAAAATAGCTATTAGTATTACTAGAATAAAATAATGCTAATAATAAGATTGTTAAGCTCCAAATGAAATAGTTTCTCTCAAAAGATTGTCCACCCAGCACTAAGCTCAAGTATATATTTCAATAGTTTAAAGTGTATAAGATAAAATAGCTATTAGTATTACTAGAATAAAATAATACTAATGATAAGATTGTTGAGCTCCGAATGAAATAGTTTCTCTCAAAAGATTGTCCACCCAGCACTAAGCTCAAGTTTATATTTCAATGGTTAAAAGTATATAAGATGAAATAGCTATTACTAGAATAAAATAATGCTAATATCATAAGATTGTTAAGTTCCAAATGAAATATTTTCTCTCAAAACATTGTCGACCCAGCGTTGACACACGCTGTGACCCCTTTTGATCGCCGAGAGGTATACAACGCGTATCAACTACAGATTACATATACTCATACTGTATGATACAGTCAGGGAAACTCTTTTAGCAAATACCTCGTGCAAGGACATCCTTGAAGGATGGGCTGAACAGTTTTTCATCGTTTTGAACTTTAATCACGATCCAATGTATTTCCCTTTCCTGCAAAGTATCTTCCGGCTTCGTTTGAGAAATTATCCATTTACCGCTCCCATTTCACGCTGCTCACTATCCTTCGCATTGGTCCCACGAACTTCACTCTCAGTTGACTGCTTCTCGTGATGATGATAACGGGATTGAGTGCAGCGTTCAGCATTGGTAATACTATTCCGAGCACTGCTACGATAGTAAAGTGGGTTGCATTAGAAGTTACATAATATGCATCGAGATATAGAGACGTTATATAGCCATAGAAGGCGGAATTACAGACTACAAACAGGGATGAAATCAGGAGAACAGTGATGGTCACGTGTCGTTGAGTGGAGCTAAATTGAAACTGACTTGATCTGTGCAGTGATACTAGTTGTACAACACATGTGATAATGATGATAAGGACCGGTATTATAAAAGCTATCGCGTCAGGCAGAAGACTTATGAAGGTAAAGATATCATAATTGTAGTTGTACGAACTATTTTCGTAAATATCTGAAAGACCAGAGCCCATTTGCAGAGCGTAGTAGGAATACACCTTGGTTGTAAATTTGTTTTCAACAAAATGAAACTGATATATATCAATAGCAGTTAGGATAAGCCATGGCACAATGTACAAGAAACATGCCAGTTTCACTGCATTTAGCTTAATCTGGAAAAAAGGTCTTAAGATCAAGAGAGTCCTGGAAACAGCCAGCACTAAGTTGTAGAATACAGATGATCTGTAGCTTACTTGGATGAGAGTGAAGCAGACAATGCTGTTTTTATCTGTGGTACTTTCATCAATACTTCCTTTTGTGAACAATGATAGTGTTATAGACTGGTGTATAACCCCAACAGATGTCAGAATATCCGCTGATGCTATCATGGTGTAGAGAAATGGAACTAGAGAGAGTTCGCCTTTCCGATAGTAGTTGATAACGAAGATGTTGAGGGTGATGGTTATCATTCCGAGTATGATGCACGGTGCGCTGATGCTAGAGTAGGGCTCTAGAATATGCGCAAGTGATGGCGTCATATAATAAACAGTTGCATATGTACTGTTATTAGCCATTTCACAGTTTTCTGTAGCTTTATGAAAATCAAAACGATTTTAATTGAATTCAGAGCAAATATTTGTAAGGGTGGACCGTATAGAATACCTGCAATCAACCGATAAAATCAAACAAATGCGGTTCAATTGACCTTCTCAATTCCATGCAGTTCCCTGATTATAGTTGCTGGTTTTTAGCTACGGAGTTCAGCATGAATCATGAATGATATAAAATTGAAATTATGTAAATTTTACAATTTACCTGTCAAATCTTTGCAGGTTGCATTTCAATAGTAATACTAATACTATTGTTTTGAAATGCAACCTATTAATAATAGAAGTCGTTGAGAAAGTTCATGTTGAGTCCAAAATTGTAAACTACAAATGCGACAGCACTATAATAGTATTTATACTAATATTATACAAAATCCTAAAACCTACATATCGCCATCGGCCGTGAAGAAATTAAAACAAATTCTAAATGAGGATTAATTGAAACATTGTTTACCTCTTACTCTTACTCTTAGTCCTACTCGATCCTATCATTAATGCACAGGATGAAATACCCTGAAACAGTGCCAAAATCAATCAAAGGCCTTTTTCCAAGTAATATCCCGACAGTTAACTCCAGCCATGAGACTAGCTCTGACTGGCTTCTTACATACGGTAGTAACACTTTTAGACAATCAGTATTTTTTAAAGGTCCACTGCTTACCATCACTGAAACAAACTTAAATATAACGTGTCTTCCCAGCTTACTTTCAATAAACATATACAAGTCTAATGCAAAACGTGTGCTATTGGAACACCAATCAAGAGGTAATAACGAGGAAAGCTGGCAAACCTTTTTACTGAATAATATTCCAGGTTTAAGGAAATCTCAACAGTCACAAAATCACACACCTCACAACATAACTTAGTATTAGTAAACTATCTAAACAGCATGAGGCATACATTCTTCTCCTGTCTCAATTCATCACCCAATACCAAAATACTTCAACATTATTCCTTATACTCGGCAGTGTTTAATGAGTGAGAGGAAATATAAATATCAATATGGCCATGGGAGTGCCGGCCATAAACAATAGAAGCAATTATTCTCATTGTCCTATCAAAAACTAAATCTCATCTGTTCGTCTGCCAGTTCAGACTCATGACCCAGACCGGCAAGCGGGCAACCGTTCTCAGTTCAACAAAAGCAAAAAATGATTTCAACAAAACAACAATTGGGAAGGTCTATGTTCTGGACCGACTCCATTGTCAACCTGACATATTTATAGATTGTATTTTGAAGTTTAAAATAATTGTGTGATCGGCCAGGGAAACTCGACATTCTGCTCGAATCTGAGCAGAAACTACGATATACCCAATTACTTTGATTCACGATGTCAATCCTTCGCATCTCGCCGATCTGGTTGCAAGAAGCATATTTGATGCGCGCGCGACCCAGTAGTGCATCGCGCTACAACCAATTACTCAATTATACCGCTCGTGAATTTCTTAAAATGGAGAAAAAAGGAACGGCGCGGCGCAGCTCAATTGTCAATTGTTGATTGTAGATTTTATTTATAGATTGCATTCTGAAGTTTAAACTAATTCAAATTGTGTGTGGAGTAAAAGCTAATGGGCCATCTACTTAGGACGTCCGGCAAATAGGCCGGGAGGGGGTGGTTTTGGAATTTCGGACAAATCCGGACAAATCCGGACAAATCCGGACAGGGGGAGGGGAGTGGTTTCTAAAAATCGTGACGTCCCGAAATTTTGGCAGTATTAACGAAAAAGTTTTGTTTATTTCAACTTTATACTAACTTTTTACTAACTCTTTGAATTTTATTAACAATGAATTTTAGTTGGTTTTATTTGTATTTTTAAAAGTAGCTAGAAATTTAGCTAGCTCATGTGTCTGAATTTTCAAAACCACCCCCTCTCCCCCGAACATCTTAGATGGGGGGGGGGGGGGGGTGGTATTGAAGATTCGGACACACCAGGAGTAAGGACATAGTAGAGGCTCTTACGGGCAAAAAGACGTGTTTTCTGCTATGATTTTGGAGACCTAATCATTAATTGGACACAATAGTATTATGGATCGAGAATATGTTAAATGTGCCCCAGCTGTGTCCCAAGTAACTTTTTGCCCCAACTGTGCCCCAACTGTGCCCCAAGTGTGCCCCAGGAAATACAATTTTGTGCCCCAAGTGTGCCCCAACTGTGCCCCAACTGTGCCCCAAGTGTGCCCCAACTGTGCCCCAAGTGTGCCCAGCGCGATTACCAAATTGCCCTGAATTCAGCCATGGAGTCATGGCAACCACATTAATTTGTAATGTTAAAAAGCTGTGATCTTACATTTGTATTATTGGCCCAAAATCATACTTTTCAGGATAACTCAAAATTTACAATGTCCCTAATTTTCCTCCTGGGAATGTAACCTTAGTTTTACAAAACGAAAATTTTGTTGAAAACCAGACGTTTCTATTTCTTTTATTTTCGAAGTTAGGCCCCATACCAGTAATGTTTTTTGAGTTTTTGTAAGGGTTACACTTACTGTCCTAGCGCACATTGCTGATTTATTTTTATGCTTTTATATGTGCATATTTGATATATGGTGCTGCATTGCATTAAAAGATTTTATCAATTCGATGACAATTTAAACTGCGAAGTTGCATGATTTTGAAATTATTGATAAAATTTTTGAAAATGCATTCTAAACTCAATTAAAGCTAACGTGGAATTAACCAAATGCTTAAATGCATACTACTAGTCCACTGTTCATTACTTAAACACTTAAACACAAATCTCAAGTTCGTCCTTCCCCTCTGATAAGTCAGATGACAGCCATGTGCTATCCTCGTTCTTGAAAGTCCGGGAAGATTTACCTCGTGTAACTTTAATCTCGTCAAACAGCCAGGCATCATCTTGAGCAGCAGTGATGAAGATACAGCCAGCTTTTCCAATGTTCTTTAGGTTGGGCAGGGTGAAGGTGTCTGTTGCCCCTTTAATAAAGTCGTCTTTACCTTTATTGTCCAGGATCCCTGTGGTGGTGTTCCCCTTCCTGCTTTTAGTGCTGCTAATTGTCAGTCTAGCGTGGATGTTGTCCGTGCCGGCGTGATTCTCATCTTTAGTCGTGATCGCGAGAACGTAGGTTGCATCCCCCTGTTTGCAAAAGCTCATCTTATCCTTTCCTTCACTTGTATCTGAGGACAGATAGCTACCGTCAGTGTTGTACACGTATGTCTTCTCCGAGCCAGCAGTCACAGTTATGTAGTCTACCATCCACGCGTCATCTGATTTAGCTTCGATTTCCACGCACTTCACTTTACCGATGTCGATGTCGGACTCAGCTGCAAAGTTGTCAGTTGCTCCCAACTGGAAATCATTCTTCGATGGGTCGTCTAGTACTCCAAACGCTATTTCACCATTGCTTCCTTTTACCTTTGCTACAAAGCTACCGTCAGTGCCGTCGTACTTCCGAGATCCAGTAACGACATCCAGCTGGTAGTGGACAGAGAGAGCTTGTGCGGCCAGGAGACCCAGTAACAGGAGTTGAGAAAGTTGTTGCTTCATTTTCAGCTGGAACGAATAGATAAAAATATCGAATGATGGTAGCTTTATAGACTGCTTTGAACGCGGCTCATTGGATACTTGAAGTTTAAACAATGGGCTACCTCATGGAGATTTAATAAATCTCCATGAGGTAGCTTATCGTTTAAACTTCAAACCTCTTATATTCTCCATTGCAGAATAAGAATTTTAAACTTGTAATTCAATATTATAGTTTACTACGGACAGTAACCACACTCACAGTACTCAGATGGTGCTACACCGTTAGTCTAGACCTGATCATTATCTTCTCGTCCGCACATGACAGAATTCAAAACAGTTATTAGTAAATGACAACTCCACTTTTCAAACGTCCCCGGAGTGTTGAACGAACAAATGAGAAAGTTAATCCAAATAAAAAGATTGATCTGAAAATTTCCTGGTGTTACCCCCCAGTTTCATAGCCGGATATTATGCCAAATTATTAGACGGAGGTCCATTTCCCGTAGATCATCTCTGGAGATGATTCTCCGGCTCCGTCTACTGTATTAGACGGAGATGAAGCTCTCCGGGAATTTAACGGAGATTAATTCACACAGAATCAACAAAATTACCGTAGATGGTCTCCGGTCATGGAACTGCAAACTCCGGAAAAATATCAGTAGACGATCTCCGTCTAATAATTTGGCATAATATCCGGATTCCGGCTATGGAACTGGGGCGTTAACAAATTTAGTCTAACATTTACACTTTACATACAGGCTGGGTTAAACAGATCAGATCATTTGACATTTTTCACTCATGACTCATTTAAAATTAAAGTTTTAACGATGTTTTTGACAAGGAAATCTCTAGACACTTTGGACTATAATTTCTATAATGAGTGTTTTGGAACTTGTTTAGAACAAAAATAATTTGTTTAAGACATCATCGAGATTTACTGTAAAGCTGAAGATAGATAGCGCCGATTAATCACATATGCCCTTTTAATGTTTTAGTAATTAATAGTAATTTATATTTTAGAGTGCAGTAAACCTCTATTATACCATGTTTATCTATAATATGAACCCCGGCCCCTCCCCTCCCCCCGGGGCCGGAGGCGGGAGGGGGAGCCCCCCCCCCCCCCAATACGACACTGTAACCACAATACACGTACAGTTACACTAAACTAATAATACGCTCGACGCTTGACAGATACTGGCGTCATCTTTTTTATACCAATTTCTTGCTGTATCATTTATTTTTCGTTTCATCCGACAAGCCCGGCATAGGGGGTTTTACTGTACAGTGTACATGAAAAAATAGTTATTAGTTGTTGTGCTGTTGGAGTCATTGAATTTGAACGAAGAGCTTAAAGACTGTTGACGGATGTTACTCGTCTAAATTTCTTCGAAGTAGCTCGCGTCGGGCCAGATCATTAACAATGGTCAAAAATACTGTCACACGGAAAGGATGGTTTTACTGAGAGAAGCTAAGCCTCATTGAGTGCGCGGCGCGGCTACAACATCCCTCACTACACGGTGTTCAGTCTAGGTAAAGTTTAGATTGTAGGTTGATAATGTACTTTTATAACTTAATAAGAAACCATCCTGAATTTCTCAGATTCGAAAATAAGTTTTGAGACATTATTGAGTATTCCCGGTGAAAATGGTCAAATTCTCAGATTCAAAATTTCTCAAAAATACTTATGACTCCCCTCCCCCGCCCCCCCCCCCCCCCTGAAGAATGAGAGTTCTAGTTTCTAATATGACCGAGATATGAAGCATAACGAGTTTATTCATTTACATGTAAGGTGGTAAGGTACTATTACTAACTGCTAATACCTTTGCTCCTTTTTGAAAAATTACGGAATACTGCAAAGGGACGGGAAAGAATGAAGAAGGATAAAAAGAAAAGGGCGGCGTTATTTTTATCCATCCCGCTCAATAAATGATCTCTGCACATGCACAGTTTTAACATTCAGGGAGTTGTATTTATTTCACTGAACATAATAAAGTGATAAACCGCACAACGATGAACGATAGTGTTAAACTGTAATTAGGACTTTAGGAGTGTGGCAGGTATACATACTGTTTGACACGTGCTCAGGTTCAACACACCCTGAGGTTCAATTCCGCGCGTTCTTGGACACGTACAATTACAAAAGTTCGACAAAAATTCTGTCGAAATTCTGCACTCATAAGTCATAATTGGATACATTTTCAATTAATTCAGATTCATCATTGAAAAATCCGGTTATCTGCATGCAGTCTGATATTGTACATTATATTTATAATTCAAAAGTTGGCGAGCAAGGAGGGCCTCGTAGATTACAAGCCCATTGTAACAAATATTCAGATTAAACTTTTTCAATAATATGATTTTATTCTCAGTTGTGCCACTGCCTGGGTTTCTACGTGCTTTTTGTCATCAGAGATCCTCAACGAGCAAAGAAACCAAGATCCGAATCCGTCAGTTTAAAGGAGGTAAGTTATTTCGAGATGATCATTCAAACGCCATCTTATGCTGCGAATCAAGTATCGATTGATTTGAACCAAGTGTTTACGTTTCGGGTTTCAAATTAAATTGAAATGCAGCGATGAGCGAAATCAGAAATTTTTTTTAACATACACCACATCAAAAAAATCTATAAAATCTCGTTTTAGTTTAACTTTACTTATATCTGTTAAAATACTATATCATTATATAATGTTTAAACTATGATATAAATCACAATTGTTGTTAACCTAAAGAAAATCACCTGACTTTCTGCGATTATTTGAATATTATCTAAATATTTCCCAATAAACAGCTCTCTTTAGTTCATAACCATTAGTCTATCTACGATAGCTATAACGTTAGCTTAGTTCACGATATAGTCATCTTGACAAACCTACAGCAGAACCTGCATCAGGAGGAGGAAGGTCAAAATTCGAGGTCCTAATTTTACACCAAATCCCAAAACCGGCTCATCTGAAAATATGTAGATTAAATCTCTGAATTCTTTGGATAAATGTGGCGTTACTTTTTAAAGTTTGTACTTTGTTTTTAATCTAAAGTTTTATCGGGTGTTAACGTTGGAATATTCATACTGATGACTGGTCACCCAAGAAGTGTCCAGAAATATATTACCCAGTACAGTGAGAGTCATAGAATGAGATAAAGTTTCGTTCAGTTCACGAGACAGCTCTACGGTTATAACTCCTGATTGTTCCACTTTAAGGTCTACAAGTTTCAGTGTGTACGTTGTGATGTAGGTTGCTGGGTCAAAAGATTCCTCGATGAATATAGTGGCCCTGATAATGAATGGAATTTAATTTCTCCAAGAGTAACAATGATAAGACTCAATAAAATATATTTTAAGGTAGTATAGAATCTGGATATAGCAATATCAAAAACTAGGCAGTAATGAAATATAATGTATCATGTTATTTTGAGTTTAAAATTTTAAGTGCAATTTGATTACAATTCGATCCAATTTAACATTGAATTTCATTACCATGATTACGGACAAAACTTACTTATTATCCACAAGGTCAGTGTCATCAAGCTTCCAAGTTACTCTCTCTGGAACCGGCTTAGCAATCACATGTACATCTAAATTCAGTTCCTCACCATTGTTTAACTTCTGATCTTCAACAAAGGTTTCGGTAAATGTCATCGGAACTGAAATGTTATAACTTTATAAGTTTACTAGAAAGCCTGTGGTCACAGGGAGGAGGCTAATAGTATTATTTGGTAGTCAGTTTTTCGCATAAAAAAAATCCGTCAAAACCGAAGATACAACTGATCAAAATGTAACTTGCACTGAACACAATACGTAATTACCACAAGACCGATCAAAATGACGTTCCAACAATCATTGCAGTGCGGCATTTTTGGCACATCTACCGCTATTTTCGCAGCACATTGGAAATATAAGATATACCTTTTGCTATTTTGATGTCACGACGATAATTTGCGTTTTGAAGTTGTATACCATTAACCTATCAAACTTTACAATTAAAAATGGTGTGTTTACGCACCATTTTTGCGTGACGTCACGATATTGGAGAGCTTGGAGCAGCAACTTTGTAAGCCATGCAAGTTAGAACGTCTCAATATATCCCAATTATTTTGCAAAAGTGAGGAGTGAGGAGTGAGGAGTGAGGAGTGAGGAGTGAGGAGTGAGGAGTGAGGAGTGAGGAGTGAGGAGTGAGGAGTGAGGAGTGAGGAGTGAGGAGTGAGGAGTGAGGAGTGAGGAGTGAGGAGTGAGGAGTGAGGAGTGAGGAGTGAGGAGTGAGGAGTGAGGAGTAAGGAGTGAGGAGTGAGGAGTGAGGAGTGAGGAGTGAGGAGTGAGGAGTGAGGAGTGAGGAGTGAGGAGTGAGGAGTGAGGAGTGAGGAGTGAGGAGTGAGGAGTGAGGAGTGAGGAGTGAGGAGTGAGGAGTGAGGAGTGAGGAGTGAGGAGTGAGGAGTGAGGAGTGAGGAGTGAGGAGTGAGGAGTGAGGAGTGAGGAGTGAGGAGTGAGGAGTGAGGAGTGAGGAGTGAGGAGTGAGGAGTGAGGAGTGAGGAGTGAGGAGTGAGGAGTGAGGAGTGAGGAGTGAGGAGTGAGGAGTGAGGAGTGAGGAGTGAGGAGTGAGGAGTGAGGAGTGAGGAGTGAGGAGTGAGGAGTGAGGAGTGAGGAGTGAGGAGTGAGGAGTGAGGAGTGAGGAGTGAGGAGTGAGGAGTGAGGAGTGAGGAGTGAGGAGTGAGGAGTGAGGAGTGAGGAGTGAGGAGTGAGGAGTGAGGAGTGAGGAGTGAGGAGTGAGGATTGTAATTCGAAATATTATGTCTGTATGTCTGTCTGTATAGCTGTATGTACGTCTGCCCACGTGCAAATTAGGTAAAAAGCAAAAGTTTGCATAGTAACCTAAACCATGGTAACGGTGTTGAAACGCGCATGGGCACGTGCAAAGATTTGCGAGCGACATTTTGATCGGCTTTGTGGTAACTTGGTAATTACGTTTTGTTCAGTGCGAGACATTTTAATCGGCTGCATCTTTTGTTGTAATGGACATGTTTTGAAGCGTTTAAAACTGGCTATCAAAAAAATACTATTAGCTTCCTTCCTGTGACCACGGGCTTTCTAGTTATAAATAAAATAAGTCTGAACTCTTTAGGATCATAAAGTCCGGCAAAACTTCGCCAGAACTGACCATCATTAATTCACTTTTCTGTCCATAATTTCAGGATAAGAATTGTAATTTGTATCCCACCTCTGATTTCAACGGGGTGACTAGGCACTATCGGTCCTTGGAAAATATGGAACTGTTCACCGTTCAGATCACTTGATACTTCAACGAATCTCTTCCGTCTGCTTTTTGTGCACAAGTCTGTACAGCCAAAACTGAAAGTGTTGATGAATTACGAATGAAGTCATAAAGCCGTAGTACATACTTATTACTTATTACTATATTACATTGCGATGAAACCTAGCCAGAAATTCTTACTGGCTGGGTCCCAACTTCAAAACTTCAAAAGTAAAAGAGCTAGCGCCTTCCGGTTTTTTGAAAAATGTTCGTTTTGTAAAATAACCTTCCTCCCCAGGAGGAAAATTTGGGACATTGTAGATTTTGAGTTATCTCAAAATCTCCGGAAAAGTCTCATTTTGGGCCGATCAAAAGTTTGCAACTTTAACTTTGCGGATTCCTGTCGTCTGATTGGCTAAATTGTGTCACGTGCTGGCTGCTTGAAGATTGGAATGCGCCACGCGTGCAAATCACTTAATGTCGTACTCGTACGAGAGCTCAAGTTGACAAATGTTACTCCGTACTCGTCTAAATTTCTTCGAAGTAGCGCACGACGATTTTTTCTCGACCATTAACGATGGTCAAGAGCTCGAGCCGTCTGTTTGAATAAGACCACTTTTAGTAACACGGCCAGCCAGTAGGGTTTGCTGGGTACATTGCAATGAAAACCGCGATAAAATGCTGCGTCTATATAAAATTAAACGTATGCCTGTATTAAAAATGCGCGGCATTTAATCGCAGTTTTCATCTCAATGTAGGTTTCATTGCAATGTAATATGTATGTACTACGGCTTTAGGATGGGATACAGTTGAGTAATACTAATGAGTATAACTATAACATGATAATTAAATAATTGATGAATTATGCACATATTTTAAAGCTTAAAGCTAACTTCCCAGGAAATCAAAAAGGTTCTAATTCTAAATTATTTTATTTTTACGGAAGAAAATTAAATTAGGAAGGCCCACCTTGAATATTCTTTAAACAGAAGGTTTCTGAATGTGTTAAGTTTTACAAAAAGATCGTTCAACTTCACTTAATGAAGATGCCTGCCTGCCTGCATAGCTCAATGAATATAATCAATAATGACATCATAATACTATTACCTGTTATCCGAAAGACTACAGACTTTTATAACAGCGTGAATGTAAATCGGAGTCTGGCTGTCCAAAAAGCTAAAAGCTTTAAAAATAAATCGTTTAGATTTGGGGTCGGAAAGAGGCTGTAAATTCGAGTCTGTTTCAATAAACTTGAAGGTGGAGTCAACGATGCACCTGAAATGAATTTAAATTAATTAAAACCTAAAGGTCACAGCATATTTGTCTAGCTATATGGAAATTAAATTCCCTTCGTTAATATTTCACCTTTAAAAAAACTTTGAAATTTTGGATATAAGCAATAGTTTCGTGCTATAAGCAATATCATCGTTATCACTATTTTAACTCAGTCACGCTCACTACTGTGTGATATGAATATTATTTATGGCACGTTGAGACAGCAATAATCCAATCAGCTTCCAGTGTTGACCCAATAAAATTAAACATGTTTCACCTCCCCCTATGCGGGGGTAGCGGGGGCGGTCGTACTGAACCTCCCCACTATAATACCAATTAAAGAACTAACCCTTCCTTCACCAAGTCGTAGGACAAGTTTCTATCCTCCTCGGTTTCACTGTCCTTTGCCTGTATTCGAACCACACCCAGAGACTGGTCTGGATCTAATGAATCCAGCGTGACCTGGTTATGTGTTTTAGTTTATCAAAGCTATTCTTCTAAGTGCTTAAGTGGTCACTAAACACTTATACAACCGTTGGGAATATAATAAGTTGCTATAAAGTGGTAAAAAAGAATCGAAATTTGATTCTATCCTAATTTTCACATCCCAATCAGGGACAAAACTAGTTAATAACCATGGTAACTAGTTAGTAACCATGGTAACTAGTTAGTAACCATGGTAACTGTTACTGTTTATTTTATTCCATCCTAATTAACACATCCCAATCAGGGACATAAGAAAATCGCGATTATTTTGGCCAGAAATCGCGATACGGCGACAAGCCAAAAAGACGACATATAAAATTTGTCACAAAGAATAAGAAAAATCGTGATCCCGCCACATGCCGTGATTTCCTTTTGTCCCTGATCCCAATCAACTCCTAAATTGATTTAAAGTCTTTAAATTTCAGATGATACTGGCGATGAGTATTACAAATCAGTAGATTAAATATTTCAGACAAGACCTGCATGTTGATGTTAGCATTAAGGGTTAACTGAAATGGAAAGTTGACCACTTTGTTGGCATATGTTGCGTCCTCGTAGATATCTAGAAGGAAACGTAGCGAACCTTCACCCGTCACTCTTTCCACAATGGCTGCACCCTTTACCTCCCAAGATGCATACTCGGTAGCACCTAAAAAAAATTAAAGTGTCTATGATTGTGGTTAAAGTTTTTCTTTTTAAACTTTTTGCTTTTTTTCTTTATAAATCTAACTTTCGATCCGACAAAACTGCTCCGTCAAACTATCTTTTATCATTTAAAACCTAAATTGCAATTTGAATTGTGTTTAAAAATAAAGGTATATTCACAATTATAGTTCATAGACAATAAAAAATTGTTGAAATTAGATTAATTTCCATGCTATTTCACCTGTTCTATTGAATGAGCACTCAAATGCTATCTTAAGTTCTCCTCCTCTGGTTATACCGTTACTGTAATCAATTTTGCTGGAAATTCCTGTCATCTGAAAAATTAATTTATAAGAAAATTTACAAGGAAAAAACGTAATTTTTAAGACTTGATTTATAATCTTTTTAAAATTTATAATGTATTTATTCTACCACCCGTCTCTTCAGCTCAATCGAAATTCAACGACCAAAATCTGCTAATAACTAACAAATATAACGGTAAATGAAGAGCATCTTACTTGGTTTTTGTAAATGACATGACTGTTATTATAAGATACCGTCGTACCGCATTTGTCTAAATCTGTTCTGATTTCTTGAGAGTCTCCCTTAAACTCACAATCTGTAATGAAGTATTGACAACGTGATTTACGGTATAAGAATTCTATCAGATATTCAAAAAATAGAAGCAAACAAACTCTAAAAATTATCAAATAAAATACCTTTGTCGTTGAGCAATATTGTATCAAAACTGATTTTCTCGGTAACGAACAACTTTATTCCGTATTCATCACAAGTGACGGTAGCCACTGAAAAAAAAAGTAAATTATCATAGACAGAAGTATCCCTGTTGGTAAATATGCAGTCACAAATTTGGAAAATATTTCTCAATTTACATTGATCTATACCAAATGTGAAAGTGTAATAACATTTAACAAGTACTGAGGATAACCCGATTGAACTTTATTCCTTATCAATGATAATTTCATTTGGAAACCATAATATCTCTAAGTCATATTTAGTAGATTAACCTGGTGGACAAGATGGGGATTCAGATAAGGTACCGTTAGTGCACACCATCGAGGACGGTCCAATTATGACAAACCCGCTGTCGCACCTTATTTCGTATGTTGAGCCTGAATCAATCGTCGAATATGGAGATATGATGCCTTGTTCGATAAAGGGCATGCTACAAGGTGCTGAAAGGGAAAATATGATTAAGGGTAAAAAATGCTTCCTCAGTTCAAAGTATTTTAGATAAATACACTTTGTAAATTGTAGCGACTTACTCATGAATCAAAAATAAAATCTAATTTTACAATCCACATTTTGAGGACAACGAAAGTTTTTGTTTTATTACGAGACACCGTCAAAGTTATTTTTATGTGAGCTCAAACATCTTCAAGGGCGAATCAAGCTATTCCAGCTGTACGCTTACTGCAACGTATAAGAATACTATTAGCTAAAAGGGAATCAAAATATTATGGAAACAAGACCATACACAAATAATTGTCCTTAAACTTTTGCAGAACATTATTCTTTATTAAATCACCTAGAACGTTGACCACAACTCCGTGGGTAGATACAGGTGAGTTTGGGTACTGTGTTGATGTTACCGAGCACTTGTATGTGAATGTTGACTGGTTAACAAAATCAGCAAGCTTGGTAGCCTTGATGGTGAGTTCTGCCACCTGTATGCCGGTTCCATCAACTGCACCGTTGCTGACATAGTAGTTCGTAATATCCGAGACAGATACAGTCGTACCATCAGGAGCCTTCCAGACTACATTAACAGGGGTTCCACCTACGTCTAGTTCTCCAACTGTACAGGTCAATGTCTGATCCTTACTAGTAATGACTGACTTAGTCACTGACGCTACAGCTGAAAGATGTATATGTTAATAAATCATTTTAAACTTTGGAAGATGGCTATAAAGTTACTCATGTTTTCAAGTGTTTTTTGCCTACCCCAGAGATAGACAGAGCATCTCAATACTATTCTCTCGTGGGCTATCTTGGCCCAACCTCTCTTAAAAAAAGAAAAAAAAGCCTCAATTAAGAAAGATTACTGCTACAAAATTCGATTAAGACCTCGTTATACACATTGTGGTTCTCAAATTGTATCAAGATTACTCACTGAAAACGTTTGAGTTGACATCAGTCTTTTCTGATGTTTTTGCATGCTCGTCAGATGTAATGACACAGGTGAAAACAGCATCAACCGTGTTTTCATCAGCAGGTACGGTCAGAATTGTAGTTTGAATGTTGGTGGTATGATCGTAAGTTCCAAGCTCAATAGCATAGCTGCCAGCACTCGCAGTTATAGCTTCACCCGAAGGTTTCTTCCATGTTACCGCCTCCAGCTGCTGACTCAAACCACTTACTACACAAGATATTGTAGCTTCTGTGTTTATCAGCACTTCGCTACCCTTAGCTTGTACATCTGAAACAATCAGTCATTTAAAGTAAGCCCGTAATAAAAAATATCAAGAGTATTGTACAGGAACTGAATCATTGAACTTTCTCAACTAAATTCACTGGATCCTTTGATGAGTTTAATTTTGTTTTAACAGTAGGATGTAACAAGTTATTTTAGATATAAAGTTAAAACAGCAGGGCATCATTTATGGGCAGTTATAAATACCCACCAAGTCCTAAGAAACTTACCGAAAGTAAGAAAGTTGACAACAATGTCTTTGAAAGTAGATGTTGCTGAATCCGAATATTCTGCAGATTGCGCAGCACATGTGTATGTCGCGGGATTTCCTGCTTCAGCTACACTTGGAAGAGTGGCAGCATCAATGGTCAGAGTTGATTTCTGAATCTTGGTACTAGGGTCAGCTGCTCCCTGTGCGATGATGTACCCTCCACTACCACTTGTTATAGCAGCCCCAGCATGATCCTTCCACGACACAGTGACACTTGTATCCACAGCTCCGATATCACAAGTCAATGTCTGAGCCACAGCGGTGGTGGCTTTTTTAGGAGTCTCCGGAACGACGGCTGAAATAATTTGATTCTTTCAAACTCACAACACATTTGGTATGTTAAAGTATCATTACATTTAGTTGTAACTAAAATAGCCTAAATTAAGAAAGATTACTGCTACAAAATTCGAATAAGTCCTCGTTATACACATTGTGGTTCTCAAAATGTATCAAGATTACTCACTGAAAACGTTCGAGTTGACAGCAGTCTCTTCATCAGTTTTTGCATGCTCGTCAGATGTAATGACACAGGTGAAAACAGCATCAGCCGTGTTTTCAACAGCAGGTACGGTCAGAATTGTAGTTTGATCGTTGGTGTCAGGAAGGTAAGTTCCAACGTCAATAGCATAGCTGCCAGCACTCGCAGTTATAGCTTCACCCGAAGGTTTCTTCCATGTTACCACCTCCAGCTGCTGACTCAAACCTTTTACTACACAAGATATTATAGCTTCTGTGTCTTTCAGAACTTCGCTACCCTTAGCTTGTACATCTGAAACAATCAGTCATTTAAAGTAAGCCCGCAATAAAAAATATCAACAGTATTGTACAGGAACTGAATCATTGAACTTTCTCAACTAAATTCACTGGATCCTATGATGAGTTTAATTTTGTTTTAACAGTAGGATGTAACAAGTTATCTTAGATATAAAGTTAAAACAGCAGAGCATCATTTATGGGCAGTTATAAATACCCACCAAGTCCTAAAAAACTTACCGAAAGTAAGGAAGTTGACAACAATGTCTTTGAAAGTAGATGTTGCTGAATCCGAATATTCTGCAGATTGCGCAGCACATGTGTATGTCGCGGGATTTCCTGCTTCAGCTACACTTGGAAGAGTGGCAGCATCAATGGTCAGAGTTGATTTCTGAATCTTGGTACTAGGGTCAGCTGCTCCCTGTGCGATGATGTACCCTCCACTACCACTTGTTATAGCAGCCCCAGCATGATCCTTCCACGACACAGTGACACTTGTATCCACATCTCCGATATCACAAGTCAATGTCTGAGCCACAGCGGTGGTGGCTTTTTTAGGAGTCTCCGGAACGACGGCTGAAATAATTTGATTCTTTCAAACTCACAAAACATTTGGTATGTTAAAGTATCATTACATGTAGTAAGTAGTTGTAACTAAAATAGCCTAAATAAAGAAAGATTACTGCTACAAAATTCGAATAAGTCCTCGTTATACACATTGTGGTTCTCAAAATGTATCAAGATTACTCACTGAAAACGTTCGAGTTGACAGCAGTCTCTTCATCAGTTTTTGCATGCTCGTCAGATGTAATGACACAGGTGAAAACAGCATCAGCCGTGTTTTCAACAGCAGGTACGGTCAGAATTGTAGTTTGATCGTTGGTGTCAGGAAGGTAAGTTCCAACGTCAATAGCATAGCTGCCAGCACTCGCAGTTATAGCTTCACCCGAAGGTTTCTTCCATGTTACCACCTCCAGCTGCTGACTCAAACCTTTTACTACACAAGATATTGTAGCTTCTGTGTCTTTCAGCACTTCGCTACCCTTAGCTTGTACATCTGAAACAATCAGCCATTTAAAGTAAGCCCGCAATAAAAAATATCAACAGTATTGTACAGGAACTGAATCATTGAACTTTCTCAACTAAATTCACTGGATCCTATGATGAGTTTAATTTTGTTTTAACAGTAGGATGTAACAAGTTATCTTAGATATAAAGTTAAAACAGCAGAGCATCATTTATGGGCAGTTATAAATACCCACCAAGTCCTAAAAAACTTACCAAAAGTAAGGAAGTTGACAACAATGTCTTTGAAAGTAGATGTTGCTGAATCCGAATATTCTGCAGATTGCGCAGCACATGTGTATGTCGCGGGATTTCCTGCTTCAGCTACACTTGGAAGAGTGGCAGCATCAATGGTCAGAGTTGATTTCTGAATCTTGGTACTAGGGTCAGCTGCTCCCTGTGCGATGATGTACCCTCCACTACCACTTGTTATAGCAGCCCCAGCATGATCCTTCCACGACACAGTGACACTTGTATCCACATCTCCGATATCACAAGTCAATGTCTGAGCCACAGCGCTGGTGGCTTTTTTAGGAGTCTCCGGAACGACGGCTGAAATAATTTGATTCTTTCAAACTCACAAAACATTTGGTATGTTAAAGTATCATTACATGTAGTTGTAACTAAAATAGCCTAAATTAAGAAAGATTACTGCTACAAAATTCGAATAAGTCCTCGTTATACACATTGTGGTTCTCAAAATGTATCAAGATTACTCACTGAAAACGTTCGAGTTGACAGCAGTCTCTTCATCAGTTTTTGCATGCTCGTCAGATGTAATGACACAGGTGAAAACAGCATCAGCCGTGTTTTCAACAGCGGGTACGGTCAGAATTGTAGTTTGATCGTTGGTGTCAGGAAGGTAAGTTCCAACGTCAATAGCATAGCTGCCAGCACTCGCAGTTATAGCTTCACCCGAAGGTTTCTTCCATGTTACCGCCTCCAGCTGCTGACTCAAACCTTTTACTACACAAGATATTGTAGCTTCTGTGTCTTTCAGCACTTCGCTACCCTTAGCTTGTACATCTGAAACAATCAGTTATTTAAAGTAAGCCCGCAATAAAAAATATCAACAGTATTGTACAGGAACTGAATCATTGAACTTTCTCAACTAAATTCACTGGATCCTATGATGAGTTTAATTTTGTTTTAACAGTAGGGACCCATTCTTTTCATTCTATACATTGACGACCAACTTGATACATTGGTTACCGCTCTGGGAAAGGTGTTTGCTGACGACACCAAGCTCATTGGAAAAATCATGGACTTAGCTACCAAAAGCCTACTTCAAGACGACCTCCTAAATGTAATCGGTTGGGCCCTGAAGAACAACATGCAACTAAATGAGGCCAAATTCGAAATATTGAATTACAGCTTGAACAATTCATTACTGTTAAGAGAATTGCCCTTCACCAGTCAATATTCCTGTTACAATTTAACAAATGGAAGAACTATTGACCCAGCCAAAACTGTGAGGGACCTAGGGGTTCTCCTGTCAAATGACTGCTCCTGGTCTTCTCACATACAGCAGATGGCTAAAACAGCAAGGACGATGACGTCATGGGTCCTTAGCATATTCAGAGATAGGTCACGCTTCCTCATGCTCACACTCTACAAAACCATGGTGAGAAGCAAACTCGAATACTGCTGCCCGGTGTGGAACCCTGACAAGATCAGCGATATAGAAGCTATTGAAAGCATCCAACGACACTACACTCGTCGAATCAGTGGCTGCCAGAACCTTGATTACTGGGAACGCCTGCAGAACCTGAATCTTCTCTCATTACAGAGACGCAGAGAACGATACATCATAATCCATACATGGAAGATGATGAATGGATTAGCTCCGAACGACATCAACATGCAGTTCAAGGAAAGCTCCCGACAGGTTGTAAAGGCCACTGTGCCTGCATTTAACAAAAAGGCACAATGCTCAATCTCGACCCATTATGAAAACTCTTTTGGCGTAAAAGCAGCCAAACTATGGAACCTGCTCCCCAAGGAAGTTAACACAATCCAAGTCTTGGAAACTTTCAAATCCTCCCTTGCTAAATTCCTGAAAGGCTTCCCGGACACCCCGCCCAAAAAAGGGTATACCGCCATCACAAATAATTCTCTTCTGGAATGGACTCTACAAAAAGATCTAAGCCAGGAGTGATTGGAGGACGTACTTGATACTGTTGTCCAGAAGCGATCCCTGCCGAACCTACCTAAAGTAACCTAAAGTAAGTTAGATGTAACAAGTTATCTTAGATATAAAGTTAAAACAGCAGAGCATCATTTATGGGCAGTTATAAATACCCACCAAGTCCTAAAAAACTTACCGAAAGTAAGGAAGTTGACAACAATGTCTTTGAAAGTAGATGTTGCTGAATCCGAATATTCTGCAGATTGCGCAGCACATGTGTATGTCGCGGGATTTCCTGCTTCAGCTACACTTGGAAGAGTGGCAGCATCAATGGTCAGAGTTGATTTCTGAATCTTGGTACTAGGGTCAGCTGCTCCCTGTGCGATGATGTACCCTCCACTACCACTTGTTATAGCAGCCCCAGCATGATCCTTCCACGACACAGTGACACTTGTATCCACATCTCCGATATCACAAGTCAATGTCTGAGCCACAGCGGTGGTGGCTTTTTTAGGAGTCTCCGGAACGACGGCTGAAATAATTTGATTCTTTCAAACTCACAAAACATTTGGTATGTTAAAGTATCATTACATGTAGTAAGTAGTTGTAACTAAAATAGCCTAAATTAAGAAAGATTACTGCTACAAAATTCGAATAAGTCCTCGTTATACACATTGTGGTTCTCAAAATGTATCAAGATTACTCACTGAAAACGTTCGAGTTGACAGCAGTCTCTTCATCAGTTTTTGCATGCTCGTCAGATGTAATGACACAGGTGAAAACAGCATCAGCCGTGTTTTCAACAGCAGGTACGGTCAGAATTGTAGTTTGATCGTTGGTGTCAGGAAGGTAAGTTCCAACGTCAATAGCATAGCTGCCAGCACTCGCAGTAATTATAGCTTCACCCAAAGGTTTCTTCCATGTTACCGCCTCCAGCTGCTGACTCAAACCTTTTACTACACAAGATATTGTAGCTTCTGTGTCTTTCAGCACTTCGCTACCCTTAGCTTGTACATCTGAAACAATCAGTCATTTAAAGTAAGCCCGCAATAAAAAATATCAACAGTATTGTACAGGAACTGAATCATTGAACTTTCTCAACTAAATTCACTGGATCCTATGATGAGTTTAATTTTGTTTTAACAGTAGGATGTAACAAGTTATCTTAGATATAAAGTCAAAACAGCAGAGCATCATTTATGGGCAGTTATAAATACCCACCAAGTCCTAAGAAAGTTACCGAAAGTAAGGAAGTTGACAACAATGTCTTTGAAAGTAGATGTTGCTGAATCCGAATATTCTGCAGATTGCGCAGCACATGTGTATGTCGCGGGATTTCCTGCTTCAGCTACACTTGGAAGAGTGGCAGCATCAATGGTCAGAGTTGATTTCTGAATCTTGGTACTAGGGTCAGCTGCTCCCTGTGCGATGATGTACCCTCCACTACCACTTGTTATAGCAGCCCCAGCATGATCCTTCCACAACACTGTGACACTTGTATCCACATCTCCGATATCACAAGTCAATGTCTGAGCCACAGCGGTGGTGGCTTTTTTAGGAGTCTCCGGAACGACGGCTGAAATAATTTGATTCTTTCAAACTCACAAAACATTTGGTATGTTAAAGTATCATGACATGTAGTTGTAACTAAAATAGCCTAAATTAAGAAAGATTACTGCTACAAAATTCGAATAAGTCCTCTTTATACACATTGTGGTTCTCAAAATGTATCAAGATTACTCACTGAAAACGTTCGAGTTGACAGCAGTCTCTTCTTCAGTTTTTGCATGCTCGTCAGATGTAATGAAACAGGTGAAAACAGCATCAGCCGTGTTTTCAACAGCGGGTACGGTCAGAATTGTAGTTTGATCGTTGGTGTCAGGAAGGTAAGTTCCAACGTCAATAGCATAGCTGCCAGCACTCGCAGTTATAGCTTCACCCGAAGGTTTCTTCCATGTTACTGCCTCCAGCTGCTGACTCAAACCTTTTACTACACAAGATATTGTAGCTTCTGTGTCTTTCAGCACTTCGCTACCCTTAGCTTGTACATCTGAAACAATCAGTCATTTAAAGTAAGCCCGCAATAAAAAACATCAACAGTATTGTACAGGAACTGAATCATTGAACTTTCTCAACTAAATTCACTGGATCCTATGATGAGTTTAATTTTGTTTTAACAGTAGGATGTAACAAGTTATCTTAGATATAAAGTCAAAACAGCAGAGCATCATTTATGGGCAGTTATAAATACCCACCAAGTCCTAAGAAAGTTACCGAAAGTAAGGAAGTTGACAACAATGTCTTTGAAAGTAGATGTTGCTGAATCCGAATATTCTGCAGATTGCGCAGCACATGTGTATGTCGCGGGATTTCCTGCTTCAGCTACACTTGGAAGAGTGGCCGCATCAATGGTCAGAGTTGATATCTGAATCTTGGTACTAGGGTCAGCTGCTCCCTGTGCGATGATGTACCCTCCACTACCACTTGTTATAGCAGCCCCAGCATGATCCTTCCACGACACAGTGACACTTGTATCCACATCTCCGATATCACAAGTCAATGTCTGAGCCACAGCGGTGGTGGCTTTTTTAGGAGTCTCCGGAACGACGGCTGAAATAATTTGATTCTTTCAAACTCACAAAACATTTGGTATGTTAAAGTATCATTACATGTAGTTGTAACTAAAATAGCCTAAATTAAGAAAGATTACTGCTACAAAATTCGAATAAGTCCTCGTTATACACATTGTGGTTCTCAAAATGTATCAAGATTACTCACTGAAAACGTTCGAGTTGACAGCAGTCTCTTCTTCAGTTTTTGCATGCTCGTCAGATGTAATGACACAGGTGAAAACAGCATCAGCCGTGTTTTCAACAGCAGGTACGGTCAGAATTGTAGTTTGATCGTTGGTGTCAGGAAGGTAAGTTCCATTGTCAATAGCATAGCTGCCAGCACTCGCAGTTATAGCTTCACCCGAAGGTTTCTTCCATGTTACCGCCTCCAGCTGCTGACTCAAACCTTTTACTACACAAGATATTGTAGCTTCTGTGTCTTTCAGCACTTCGCTACCCTTAGCTTGTACATCTGAAACAATCAGTCATTTAAAGTAAGCCCGCAATAAAAAATATCAACAGTATTGTACAGGAACTGAATCATTGAACTTTCTCAACTAAATTCACTGGATCCTATGATGAGTTTAATTTTGTTTTAACAGTAGGATGTAACAAGTTATCTTAGATATAAAGTTAAAACAGCAGAGCATCATTTATGGGCAGTTATAAATACTCACCAAGTCCTAAGAAACTTACCGAAAGTAAGGAAGTTGACAACAATGTCTTTGAAAGTAGATGTTGCTGAATCCGAATATTCTGCAGATTGCGCAGCACATGTGTATGTCGCGGGATTTCCTGCTTCAGCTACACTTGGAAGAGTGGCAGCATCAATGGTCAGAGTTGATTTCTGAATCTTGGTACTAGGGTCAGCTGCTCCCTGTGCGATGATGCACCCTCCACTACCACTTGTTATAGCAGCCCCAGCATGATCCTTCCACGACACAGTGACACTTGTATCCACATCTCCGATATCACAAGTCAATGTCTGAGCCACAGCGGTGGTGGCTTTTTTAGGAGTCTCCGGAACGACGGCTGAAATAATATGATTCTTTCAAACTCACAAAACATTTGGTATGTTAAAGTATCATTACATGTAGTTGTAACTAAAATAGCCTAAATTAAGAAAGATTACTGCTACAAAATTCGAATAAGTCCTCGTTATACACATTGTGGTTCTCAAAATGTATCAAGATTACTCACTGAAAACGTTCGAGTTGACAGCAGTCTCTTCATCAGTTTTTGCATGCTCGTCAGATGTAATGACACAGGTGAAAACAGCATCAGCCGTGTTTTCAACAGCAGGTACGGTCAGAATTGTAGTTTGATCGTTGGTGTCAGGAAGGTAAGTTCCAACGTCAATAGCATAGCTGCCAGCACTCGCAGTTATAGCTTCACCCGAAGGTTTCTTCCATGTTACCGCCTCCAGCTGCTGACTCAAACCTTTTACTACACAAGATATTGTAGCTTCTGTGTCTTTCAGCACTTCGCTACCCTTAGCTTGTACATCTGAAACAATCAGTCATTTAAAGTAAGCCCGCAATAAAAAATATCAACAGTATTGTACAGGAACTGAATCATTGAACTTTCTCAACTACAACAGTTTTGCAATCAATCAGTTTTGCAATCAATATTTTCGCTTGTGAGTTGATATCAGTTGTCTCTTATCAGTAAATAGGTAATTGCACTGCCTTTTACTGTGCAGCTTTGCTATACACGAAGTATACACAATATGGAATTTTCGGTCAGTACTCTTCACGAAATGGAGAAACAGATTGAGGACTTATCAGACTCGGTTTTAGCGAAACTTAATTGCAGGAAACTAGAGGACCTCACTCATGACTTGTTCAAGCCAAAAGGCGTGACAAAGGATGTAATAACCGAAATAGTTTTGAAGATGGGGTCTATAATATGTAAATCGAGAACTGTTTTGAGATCAGCAGCAGAGACGCTTGACCAACAGAAATCAGAACAGATAAAAACTCAGAACGAGCTCATCCAATGCAAATCTGGTAAACTAGCTTCAGTGAAGGAGACAGTGAAAACAGAAATGAAACTGTTTACAGATGTTGTGAAGAATAACAGCGTAGCTAATGATATCTCTCCAGCTAAAATCAAAATGGCTGTGAAATCGGCGATTACAGAAGATGATCGGTCGAAAAACTTTATCATCTTCGGGGCCCCAGAACAGCTCGAATGTGAAGAGCAAGAAATGAACGAACGGGATCTCGTGGGTGATATTTGGGGTTTAATGAAGTTCATTGGAAGGCCGACCATAACAAACATTGAGAGAGTGGGAGTAAAGAAGTCTGACAGCCCTCGATCACGGCCGATAAAAGTTACTTTGCGAGATCCTGAAATTGTACGTGAATTTCTGAGCAGAGCAAAAGTCTTGAAATCGGTTGATGTGGCAGACTACAATTTCGAGTTTCGACTACAACAAAGTCTACTTATCTCCAGACAGGTCGCAGGATGAGCGAATCTCTCGCCAAAAGCTCGTACAGGAAATGAAAGAGCGAATCAAGAAGGACCCGAGCAAGAAATATTACATAAAAAACAACAAAGTTTGTGTCGCTGAGTGACTAATTATTTGAGAAAGTCAAGCATTTGTGTATGTGTGTGACGTTAATTTCATGGAGTTAAAACTTTTTGTATAACTGAGAACAGAGGTTAGAGGAACTACTGATAAGAGTATGATTAGACTGTGTTGCGTTATCAGTTGACTTTTTGCATCACTCTTTTAGATTATACGTAATAGGGTAACTTAGTTATAGAGTAGGATTTTAGTTGTTGCAAGCATTGCACTAAGGTTTTAAGTTAGGTAAGTAGGCCACGAACTGTTGAGCAAACTGGGCTGAAAGCCCAAGCAATATGCAGTTCTGGTCTTGAGGCTATTTTACAATGTTTTATAACATGTGCTTGCAACTAGATCTTGAATGTCGCGTGCCCCACGGGGATTTGATTTATTCATACAATTTATTATATATTGGTTCCAAAGCCCTTATGGGTACCAGCAAAAAACTGGTTTTCAAACAAAAAACAAAATTCACTGGATCCTATGATGAGTTTAATTTTGTTTTAACAGTAGGATGTAACAAGTTATCTTAGAAATAAAGTTAAAACAGCAGAGCATCATTTATGGGCAGTTATAAATACCCACCAAGTCCTAAGAAACTTACCGAAAGTAAGGAAGTTGACAACAATGTCTTTGAAAGTAGATGTTGCTGAATCCGAATATTCTGCAGATTGCGCAGCACATGTGTATGTCGCGGGATTTCCTGCTTCAGCTACACTTGGAAGAGTGGCAGCATCAATGGTCAGAGTTGATTTCTGAATCTTGGTACTAGGGTCAGCTGCTCCCTGTGCGATGATGTACCCTCCACTACCACTTGTTATAGCAGCCCCAGCATGATCCTTCCACGACACTGTGACACTTGTATCCACATCTCCGATATCACAAGTCAATGTCTGAGCCACAGCGGTGGTGGCTTTTTTAGGAGTCTCCGGAACGACGGCTGAAATAATTTGATTCTTTCAAACTCACAAAACATTTGGTATGTTAAAGTATCATTACATGTAGTAAGTAGTTGTAACTAAAATAGCCTAAATTAAGAAAGATTACTGCTACAAAATTCGAATAAGTCCTCGTTATACACATTGTGGTTCTCAAAATGTATCAAGATTACTCACTGAAAACGTTCGAGTTGACAGCAGTCTCTTCATCAGTTTTTGCATGCTCGTCAGATGTAATGACACAGGTGAAAACAGCATCAGCCGTGTTTTCAACAGCAGGTACGGTCAGAATTGTAGTTTGATCGTTGGTGTCAGGAAGGTAAGTTCCAACGTCAATAGCATAGCTGCCAGCACTCGCAGTTATAGCTTCACTCGAAGGTTTCTTCCATGTTACCGCCTCCAGCTGCTGACTCAAACCTTTTACTACACAAGATATTGTAGCTTCTGTGTCTTTCAGCACTTCGTTACCCTTAGCTTGTACATCTGAAACAATCAGTCATTTAAAGTAAGCCCGCAATAAAAAATATCAACAGTATTGTACAGGAACTGAATCATTGAACTTTCTCAACTAAATTCACTGGATCCTATGATGAGTTTAATTTTGTTTTAACAGTAGGATGTAACAAGTTATCTTAGATATAAAGTTAAAACAGCAGAGCATCATTTATGGGCAGTTATAAATACCCACCAAGTCCTAAGAAACTTACCGAAAGTAAGGAAGTCGACAACAATGTCTTTGAAAGTAGATGTTGCTGAATTCGAATATTGTACATATTCCGCAGCACATTTGTATGTCGCGGGATTTCCAGCTACAGCTACACTTGTAAGAGTGGCAACATCAATGGTCAGAGTTGATGTCTGAATTTTGGTACCAGAGTCAGCTGATCCCTGTGCGATGGTGTACCCTCCACTACCACTTGTTATAGCAGCCCCAGCATGATCCTTCCACGACACAATGACATCTGTAACCACATCTCCGATATCACAAGTCAATGTCTGAGCCACAGCGGTGGTGGCTTTTTTAGGAGTCTCCGGATCGACGGCTGAAATAATTTGATTCTTTCAAACTCACAAAATAAGATAAATTAAGATAACTCTCAGTTTTTATACTTTAGGAAAAAACAAACTGATGTTTAGACAGCCCACTTTGAATGGACTGGTTGTGCAAAATATATAGGACAGGCTCAGCGCTTATGTTTTTTTAATGAAGAAAATGATCAATAAAACATTTAATAGTGCTACTGTTTAATTAACAGACCCGATCTTTTTAAAACAAATAAAAACTGATTGATAATTACCTGGACAGCTTCGATTGTTGCAACTCTGAGACTCTGAAGCTGTTCCCGAACAACTTGCACCTCCGTGTGCAGGATGAGGATTTGTACAAGTTCTCCTTCTTGTTTGTGTTCCCGATTCGCAACTCTTTGAACAGGTAGACCATGAGCCGTATGAAGTCCAACCTCCGTTCACTGAATAGGATGTTCGGGTCAATAAATCACAATATCTTTCTAACAGTATCTGTCGTGTTTCAGCTAAACAATTTTGAATTAAAACTACACTTAGAAAAGAAACAAACCGTTTATGACACAGCCCACTTTGAATAAACTAGTTGTGCAAAAGATATTTAGGCCAAGTTCAGCGCTTATGTTTATTTTAATGAGGATATGATGAATAAAACATTCACTAGAGCTACTATTTTATTAACATACCTGATCTTGTTAAAACAAATGAATACTGGTTGAATTACCTGGACAGCTATGGGTGTTGCAGCTTTGACTATATGAAGATGATCCTGAACAATAAGCACCTCCGTGTGCAGGATAAGGATTGCTACAAGATCTGTATCTTGTTTGTGTTCCATATCCGCAACTCTTTGAACAGGTAGACCATGAGCCGTAGTAATTCCAACCTCCGTTCACTGAATAGGATGTTCGGGTCAATAAATCACAATATCTTTCTAACAGTATCTGTCGTGTTTCAGCTAAACAATTTTGAATTAAAACTACACTTAGAAAAGAAACAAGCCGTTTATGACACAGCCCACTTTGAATAAACTAGTTGAGCAAAAGATATCTAGGCCAAGTTCAGCGCTTATGTTTATTTTAATGAGGATATGATCAATAAAACATTTAATAGAGCTACTATTTTATTAACATACCTGATCTTGTTAAAACAAATAAATACTGGTTGAATTACCTGGACAGCTATGGGTGTTGCAATAATGAGGGTCTGAAGATTTTCCTGAACAACTAGCACCTCCGTTTCCAGGAGAAGGATTTGTACAAGATCTGCTTCTTGTTCGTATTCCCTTTCCGCAACTCTTTGAACAGGAAGACCACGACCATGAAGTCCAACCTCCGTTCACTGAATATGGGTTAATAAATCAAAATATCTTTCTAACAGTATCTGTCATGTTTCAGCTGAACAATTTTGAATAATAAAAACTAATTTAATTACCTCAAAAAAGATTTTAACAATTAATTTGTGTGCAAAAAATTTGGGCGAGAATTTTTCGTTGCCCAAATTTTTGGGAATAGGCAAGATCTTAAAAGCGTCATAACTCGGTTAAATTGTTAACAACCAACTTGAAATTTTGGGAAAGCACTTCAATTATCAAGCTAAATGTGTCTAGAAACTTTGAAGTTCCTAGCTAAAAGCGTTCTCACTTTATGGTGACAATAGTAGAAAAGAGGGGGTAGCGTGCAACACCTACTGTAATTAATTAAATTTGACGAAACGTTCAGAAAATTTAAGTTTGACCCATATCTATAATCTCTAAAATTTCTGTGCAATTCTAAGAAGAATAACGTGAGTTATTAAAGGGTTGCGTGTGAGAAGTTACTTCTTGGTCAGAAATTTCAAGTTTCAGGAGTATCGGGAAGTAAGTTTTATGAAACCCCTGTTTTAGAAGAGATTGTCGTGAAATATATTTATATGCTTAACGACTGCTTTTCTTATTAACTGTATAATAAAAACTAACCGTTTAAAAATGGATTTAAAAATCATTTGCTGAAATAAAAAAACGTAAAAATACGAAGAAAGAAATTCGGATTTTTAATGGTTTTGAATGCCTTCTGATCTAGTGTTCATATTAATGTCCGTTCATAATTATGTCCGTTCATTTAATGTTCGTCCAAATAAGGTCCTATAAGGTAGTAATACCAATTATATTTATTGTACAAATACTAAACTTTGCTTGTTGACTGTTTTTCTTACTTACTGTATAAAAATGGATTTTAAAATCATTTGCTAAAGAACATTTAAAAAATGAAAACAGTTAGGATTTTTGATAGTTTTGAATGCTGTCTAGCGTATATATTAAAGTCCGTTCATACAGGGTGTTTCGAGACTCGTGCCCAAATTTTAAATTATAATTTTTCTGTTTTATAAAGGAGCAAATTAAATGAAATCGGTTTGGAAATGCTTGTTAGGTTTTAAATTTTAGTTATTTCTTGAAAAATCGTGCAAAAAACCATTTTTTCACAATTTGGTTTGGTTAGGTCTCGGTAACCGTGGTGTCTTCGCATCTCAATTTTTTGAGAATGAAGATGAGAAGGCAGACACGATAAGGACAGCAAATTATATCGCTATGTTGCGTGGGAAAGTTATTCGAGTCCTTAAAAGAAATAAAAACATAATTCCTGTATTTTCCAATAAGACAGACCCCTCATTGCACTGCTTTCACGAAAGTTTGGGTTGGCTGAGGGAGCATTTTGGAAAAATACTGATTTCAGGGAAAGCAGACTTCGGCTGGCCTCCGTACAGCCCTGACCTGAATCCGGCTAATTTATTTTCAGGGGTGATCTTAAAGATCGTGTTTATTCAGATCAAGTCCCAAAAAAAGTAGAACAGCCGAAAAACAACATCAGAAGAGAGGCTAAAAAGTTAAACTTGACATGGTAAAACGTGTAATAGACAATATGATTTGAGGGTTCCAAACCTGTTATGCCGGAAGGGAGCTTGGTTCGGAAAGTTTATGAAATATTTGGGTTATTTTTGATATGTATTTTGAAATGTAATAATTTATTTATAATTTAAAACAAAAAACGAACTGTTTGACCTATTCGTTAGATTTTAAGGGCCATTCAAAATTTGGACACGAGCCTTGAAACACCTTGTAATTATGCCCGTTCATTTATGTTCGTCCAAATAAGGTCCGATAAGGTATACAGTAGTATATTATTTGTGCATTTCAGTAAAATGGGATGGGCAAGTGGAAACATGCATCAGCATGAAGTAACGTCATAATAATGTATTCCATGCTCCAATTGGAATTACTATTATGCCGGAAATGAAGTAAGAATTAGTTGATTTGCCACACAAAAAAAGTTAATCATTAACCTCTTATTTGGAAATTTTGCGAAATTACTGTTTACTGGGCGGCAATGCTGTTATATACGTAGTGTTTCAAGCAAACGTATGCATACGCAAACGTATCTGTCGCCGAAAATTCGCGTATTTCGATTTCCACTGAGTAAGAACGATTTTTTACAATTTATAATATCACAACCGCAAAACATCCAGTCATTTATTAAGCTTCATACCTCATGTTGTAAATTATTTGTGTCTTAACATTTATATAGGAACGTTTGGAATTAGCGGGCAGTTCTCTGGTATCCTTCTCCTAATCCTATGACTATGAGTTATCAAGTTTACTATATTCCTTCCTCGTAGATACTTCCTCATAGATACTACATTTCTTTTATTCCAAAGAGTTTCAATTCTAAGAAGTTCTCTAAAACACAATGCAAATAGATCGTATCACAATGCTGGCAAGCATTACCGTTGCCATTATATTCACAATACTATTTACCCCCTTTACTATTTACCCCCTTTACTATTATACCACTTTATTATTTATCAGGCATTAAGCCTCATCGAAAGTAGTTGAGCAGGTATATTTAAGCTTAAAAAATTCTAATTCAATGTCAAAGATGACAGGAATAAGAAATAGTTATGTGAAGGTTTTTAAGAAATTTGCGCAAAATACGCGCCAGCATGTTATAGTTATATGAAATTAGGTAAAAAACCCAAAATCGCCATATTCAACAACAACAACAACAACGTTGACCAAATCGACTGTAAATTTTTTTTCAAGTTTCAGGAGTATCGGGAAGTGGGTTTTCTGGAACCCCTGATTTACAACAGATTATCGTGAAGTAATGAAGTATATGTATACATACAAATACTTCACGACAATTTGTTGTAAAACAGGGGTTCCATACATGTATGTATGTATATATATGTATAGACGCTTTGGCAGTCAATTGTAGTCTACATTTAAGTGTCCGTAAATTCGAAAGTATAAAAGATACAGTAATCTCGAACCACAGGTATTAAAGATAATCGTTCACACTTTAGTTAACATTATATTTAAAAATTATTTAACGTCATCATCAACACTTGATGACGTCATCAAATTAGGTGTTTTTAAAACTTGATTTTTGACAAAATAACAACTTTTCAAATTGATTTTACACCATTAAGAAAGAATTTTATTCAAAATCTGAGGACATTTTCACCTTAGATAATTGTTGAAGCATTCTGAAAATCTACCGACAAGTTTTTCTAACTTGCTCCTTCATAAAGATATTTGCTATTGAAGTTAGTGCTTTTTTGAAGAATAATTTTATAAAAACACAAAAGTTGTGAATTAGTATTCTCTGGTGTCGGGCCATCCCTTGGGTTGTGGAGCTCAATTTTGCTTCCTGAAGTAATAGGATAGTTTTAAAGTTGAAAATCGAAAAATTGCACACGTGGGGACACGCCCAAATTGATTTAAAATTGCTAAAATCACTGAAAATTTTTATTTTCACGATTTTTATCAACTTTGGAGTCCCGTTGTGATCCAAGTTCTTTTTGAAATCTTCTGAAACTTTGCATGCTTATCAAACTATATATCAAATAACACTAATTTGTGGTGATTCAATTGTATGCGCACGCAATGTCCGCTCAAAGTTTGCACGTGCGAAAGGTGAGAATTTTGCTCATTCGTGATTTCAAATATATTATGCTTTCCCACGATATTTAAATGGCAGTATATATGATTTTAATGCCAACTTGAATGAGTAAAAAGCGCCATATTCAGTATGTTATCGACAGATATGCCTACCTAAACACAAGGAAACGTTTTCAAAGGTAAAACTTCGAAATCGCTGAAATTACCTCCTTATTAAATATTAATGAAGTTTCGGCTGTGTAAATTATTCTGACATTATAATCAAAAAGAGATGATATTTGACCAAAACCTATAATCATGGGTAGAGTGAACCGCTGCCAAGTGCCAGTGTCTCTCTTTTCCAAACAAAAGGAAATGATATTAATTTAAGGAACCGTCCGCAAATGCAAATTGATACCGAGAATGAAATCGGTCGCTCGCTTTTCCCATTCATTCACGGCTCACGAATTGTAAAAAAGCTTATTGAATGGGGAAAGCGAGCGACCGATTTCATTCTCGGTATCAATTTGCATTTGCGGACGGTTCCTTAAATTAATCATTTACTTTTGTTTGGAAAAAAAGAGACACTGGCAGCGGTTCACTCTACCCATGATTATGGGTTTTGGTCAAATCACTTTTACTAAATTTTACACCAGCAATCAACGCGACAGGTGGTGATTGGTGCTATAAGACTTTCCAATTTTGGGGGAATCAACGCCTGCTATGAGTGCTATCATGATCAAGCCTGTTCTCAAGTTTCTGCTGCTTTGAGCGTGCGTGGCGTTAATTTGATCTGCACGCGCGCGTATTTTGGACAAATTTTAGACATATTTTGGACAAAATTTAACAGGGTCTAAATTTAATTTTTTTCCGGCTTAATGATTGGAAGCTTCACGTATTCTTACGTATTTCTCTCGAACATT